CTAGTCTAGTCTAGTCTAGTCTAGTCTAGTCTAGTCTAGTCTAGTCTAGTCTAGTCTAGTCTAATCTAGTCTATATTCTGTTTACTGTCTACTTTACTCTACTCTACTTTACTGTATTCTATTCTATTTTATTCTGTTCTAGTCTAGACTAGTCTATTCTAGTCTAATCTAGTCTAGTCTAGTCTATATTCTATTTACTATCTACTCTACTCTACTCTACTCTATTCTATTTTCATTCCATTCCATTCCATTTCATTCTAGTCTAGTCTAGTCTAGTCTAGTCTATATTCTATTCTATTCTATTCTATTCTATTCTATTCTATTCTATTCTATTCTATTCTATTCTATTCTATTCTATTCTATTCTATTCTATTCTATTCTATTCTATTCTATTCTATTCTGTATTTTATTATTCTATTCTATTCTATTCTATTCTATTCTATTCTATTCTGTATTTTATTATTCTATTCTATTCCATTCCATTCCATTCCATTCCATTCCATTCCATTCCATTCCATTCCATTCCATTCTATTCTATTCTATTCTATTCTATTCTATTCTATTCTATTCTATTCTATTCTATTCTATGTTTATAGGTATGGTTAAAAAAAAAGTCACAAGGGCAGAAAATCAAAGTTCTCTGGGACTCTTCTAAGTCCCCCGCAGAGACCTTGCAAATATGGCCCGGAGGGCAGACTGACCTGAGGTTGGGGTCCGATAAAACCAAAACGCCCTTCGGATGTCAGCTAACTTTCTCCAGGAGCCCTTGAGGTTCAGCAACCCTTTTAGCTTCAACTCGATTTCTCTGGGGTTTGAAAAAGGGAAGAATAAATGGGAGAGAAGCAGGTGAGAACAGAGAATGAGAGGGCCTGATGGATAAAGGACTTGTGCTCGAGGGGGGGGGGGAACACTTTGATTTTCATTGCTTTGATGAAAGAATGAAGACAATTAATTTTGTTTCTACTTGGAAACCACTTCTGGACTTTGTGCTCTCGAGGGGGGGGGGACACTTTGATTTTCATTGCTTTGATGAAAGAAAAGAAGACAATTCTTTTTCTACTTGGAAACCACTTCTGGACTTTGTGCTCTCGAGGGGGGGGACACTTTGATTTTCATTGCTTTCATGAAAGAAAAGAAGACAATTAATTTTGTTTCTACTTGGAAACCACTTCTGGACTTTGTGCTTGAGGCGTAAAAAAAAATTAAACTCTGATTTCGGGTTTTGCCAGTTAGGTTTGGTGTTAGAGAAATGGCTAGTATATATTCGTATATAAAATTGAAAGTTGGGGCTTCATTTATTACCTTATTCTACTGCACCAAAGGAGATGGAAATCAATGCTTCCCCCCACTTTTCCTTTCTACCTTACACTTTTCTCTTTTCCCATTTTTCTCCCTTATTATACCTTTATTTTCATTTTTATTTCTTTCTATTTTTGTTTCGGTCAATTATTAAAAATTTCGAACCAAATAATAGAGCATAGATAGAATAATAGGTTTGGAAGGGACCTTGGAGGCCATCTAGTCCAGCCCCCCACTGTAGCAATTTGACAGAACTTTAATCGGGAAACCAATTAAACGGCATGAGCCAGCCGTGTGCTGCAGCTGCCAAAAAGGCCAACACAGTGCTAGGCTGCATTAACAGAGGAATAGAATCAAGATCACATGAAGTGTTAATACCACTTTACAAGGCCTTGGTAACGCCACACGTGGAATAAGGCATCCAGTTTTGGTCACCATGATGTAAAAAAGATGTTGAGACTCTAGAAAGAGTGCAGAGAAGAGCAACAAAGAGGATCAGGGGACTGGAGGCTAAAACATACAAGGAACGGTTGCTGGAATTGGGGATGTCTAGTTTAATGAAAAGGAGGACGAGGGGGGACATGATAGCAGCATTCCAGTATCTCAGGGGCTGCCCCAAAGAAGAGGGAGTCAAGCTATCCTTCAGAGTATCCAAAGGCAGGAGAAGAAGCAATGGATGGAAACTAGCCAAGGAGAGAAGCAATCTGGAACTGAGCAGGAATTTCCTGACAGTTAGAACAATTAACCAGTGGAACTACCTGCCTCCAGAAGCGGTGAATGCTCCAACACTGGAAGTTTTTAAGAAGAGACTGGACAGCCATTTGTCTGAAATGGTATACAGTTTCCTGCCTAAGCAGGGGTTTGGACTAGATGACCTCCAAGGTCCCTTCTGAGTCTGTTATTCTGTTATCCTTCCTTCTTTCCTTCTTCCCTCCCTCCCTCCCTTCTCCAACACCGGAAGTTTTTAAGAAGAGACTGGACAGCCGTTTGTCCGAAATGGTGTAGGGTTTCCTGCCTGAGCAGGGGGTTGGACTAGAAGACCTCCAAGGTCCCTTCCAGCTTTATTATTATTAAATGATTATTATTTTTCTGGCAATAATGAAGGATTCTTCGATCCTCCTCGCGATCTGTTTCCAATTTTTTACGTACGCGGCTTTCAGAAGGATGCGGAAGGAACAGGATTTGATGCTGGAATATTGATCGCTCAAATGCAATTGGTCCACCGAATCAGTGTCGAGGCATTTGGGCCATCCGGGCTGATAATCTTTATACCTGTAGCAAAAAAAAAAAAGACGCCGCAAAAAGTTGTGGGTTAATAAAGAAGCAAATTTCTCTCCTTTTGAGATGCTTTTAATTCAGATACTTCGACTTATTTATTTTTTTACCAGCACGGATAGAATGCAGACAACAGTCCTCCACTTATAATTATTCGAGGTTACAGTGGCGTGGGAAAAAAAGTGATTTTTTTCCACCCTTATGAAGTTGCTGTCAACGCTGCTAACATCGGATAGTTTTTGCTTGGACAACTGATGGAGGATGCAACCATTTTCTTCTTATGTTTTACTATTAGAGTTAGGGTTCGAGTTAGACGATGCCAGGGGTAGGAATGTGCATGAGAGTTCAGCTAGACCAGACATGTCAGACACAAGGCCCGGGGCCCGGATGCGGCCCGCAAAGTGGTTTCATGTGGCCCGCGAAGCCATCCTGGAAACAGTGAGGGAACGGCCCCCGCTGCCTTGGCCCTGGCCCAAGCCGGCCGGGAACCAATGTACAATTTTGTGGTGGCCATCTATTCTGAAATGCATTCAGTCTTAGCTGTCTGGAAACAGCGAGGAACCAGCCCCTGCCGTGTCGCCCCCGCCCCCTGGGTGCATGCTGGGGAGGGGTCACCCTTTGTGAGGAATGAAGAAATGCACCATCGCCTGGAAGTGGCCAGCAAATGGCCCTCGCCTACTTCACATATCCAGCTTGATGGGCTCTGCCCTAGAGCTGGCCATGCCCACCCAATAGGCCACACCCACTCCATCCATGCCCACCCAGTAGGCTGCCCCCCGCGCCCCCCCCCGAGGGCAACCGCAATGCTGATGTGGCCCTCAATGAAATTGAGTTTGACACCCCTGAGCTAGACGTAACAATACTGGACCTAGCGTGGGAACCAAGGTTATCAAAATAAGAGATGATAAGAATTGGCGGGCTGGAGAACTGGAGGGAAAGCCTACATTTCAAGCTAATTGGGGAAATGTGATTTACGACGGTTAATTGGAGGAGGGAATTGTGCTTTGGTACTATGTGCTCGGGGGAGGGGAAGTCAGATTTTGGCTCCGATTATGTGAGTGCTACTCAAAATAAAGATTCTTTAAGGTAAACAATGCCTCGAAGTTCTTTTGAAGAGTTTCATCTGTCGGAACCGTGACAGTTGCAGCGTCCCCGTGGTCTGATGATCAAAATTCAGACGCTTGGCAACTGACATGTACTTGCGACAGTTGCTGTCTTCCAGGGGGTCACGTGATCCCCTTTTGCAATCTTCTGACAAGGGGGAAGATGGATTCACTTAACAACCCGTGTTGCGAACTTAACAGCCATGAAAGATCGTAAAACAGGGCAAAACCCGTTTAACGACAGTCTCGCGTGGCGACAGAAGTTTTGAGCTCAGCCACGATCGTACGACGAGGACGATCTTTATGCCTGAAGACGGGGCCATTTTCTTCCTCCTTTATTTATATAATCCCCCCCCACACACTTCTCAATAAATTATTTTTTGTTCTTTGGTAAAAAAAGTGTGCTCTCCAATAGCACACCCAAGCAGCACAACGAAGCACAACAATGTCGCAAAGTGGGTCATCCACGTAACGGGTTCATTTTTACAACTTTTTTTTGCTGTTGTCGTTAAGCGAAACCCGTTATAAGTCCTCGGCTTACGACCGTAAGAGGGCCTGCCCAGAGGGTTTCTAAAGTAGGTCACCCACAAGATCGATTTGTTTCGACAATCCTTTTTTTTTTTCAGTCGTTAAGCGAACCTGTTTTTCGCTATGGGGCTGCTTTGGCCAAAATTGGAAGTAAACACAAAAAGGTGTGTAAATTGTGGTCAACTGGGATGCTGCCCACAGCCATACATGCAAGCTGGGTAGCTGAAATGCGGTCATGGGACCACGGGGGCGGGAAACGCTAGCTGGGGAATTCTGGGAGTTGAAGTCCTCAGGTCTTCACGTTGCTTAGATTGAGAAAAAACTGCTTCGGATAATTAAATTACGCCTTCATGTTCATTTATAAGGCAGGTCGTCTCCCCCCCCCGGGAAACACACCTGTTGGGCTTCAGGCTGCTTCTGCAGAAGGCTTTGATTCTAACCCCAATCATATCTTAGCCAGAAACCGCTTTTAGGGTAACAGAAGTTATGAATGACGGCGTTTTGCAAATCAACATTGACCACATCTGTAACTCGGTTCGAGACTTGCTTGCAAAAGCTGGATTTCTTGCGGAGTTTTCTCGTGGCCTCAGGATTTCGAAATACCTGCCTTGGTTGGTGTCTGCATGCAGGAAGGAGTGGTTTAAATTTATTTCTGAAGATTCACATCCTTTGACATGTCCGCAGGGGGTGTTAGCATTTCCGATCAGCTGACTCACCTGTAGGTTTCCTGTTTTGCTAGCAGCTCGTACCTGCGATGTTCTAAAAGCAGTGGATTGCCGGCATCCAGGGGAGCAATTTTAGCTGCCAAAAGAAAAAAGGGGAAGGAAATTTTTTTTTGGAATTATAGATAAATAGATACAGTGCTGGAATTCAGCCGGTTCACACCACTTTGGCAGAACCGGTAGCTAAATTTTTTTCGCCCAGGTGCAGAACGGACTTCTGGAAGCGACAATCACAGAGAGAACCAGTTGTTCACCTATATGAATCCCACCACTAGATAGACAGACAGACAGATGATAGAGATAGATAGATAGATAGATAGACAGACAGACAGACAGACAGACAGATGATAGAGATAGATAGATAGATAGATAGATAGACAGACAGACAGACAGACAGACAGAGACAGACAGACAGATGATAGAGATAGATAGACAGACAGACAGACAGACGATGATAGATAGATGGATGGATGGGTAGATAGATAGATAGATAGATAGATAGATAGATAGATAGATAGATAATAGATAGACAGATGATGGATGGATGGATGGATGGATGGACGGATGGACGGACATACATACAGACAGATATATATGATAGATAGGTAATAATAATAATAATAATACATATAAAGTCAAAATTGAGAAGACAGCAACAGAGAGTAAGTGCCGCCTATGCAAAGAAGCTGAAGAAACAGTGGACCACCTGGTAAGCTGCTGCAAGATGATTGCACAGACTGACTACAAGCAGCGGCATGACAAAGTAGCAACAATGGTGCATTGGAAGATCTGCAAGAAATATCATTTGCCTGTAAGCAAAAACTGGTGGGATCATAAAATAGAGAAAGTCATAGAAAATGATAAAATTAAACTGCTCTGGGACTTCAGAATTCAAACAGACAAGCACCTGCAACATAACACCCCAGACTTAACAATTGTCGATAAGAAAGACAAAAAAGTCTGGATAGTGGACGTGGCAGTGCCTGGAGACAGCAGAATAGAAGAGAAAGAACTGGAGAAGATAACAAAATACAAAGACCTACAAATAGAAATAGAAAGACTGTGGCAAAAGCAAGCAAGGGTAGTACCAATAGTCATAGGCTCCTTGGGTGCAATCCCAAAACAACTGGAGCACCACTTGAACACCATTGGCATTGACAAATTCGCTATTAGTAAATTGCAAAAGGCGGCCTTATTAGGAACTGCTTCCATCCTGCGACGATACCTGTAATACCATCAAACATCCACATCTGCCTATCCCAGGTCCTGGGTAAGGACTCGATAGGTAGACAAAATGCCAAATCCAGTCTGAACGTCTGGCTGACTGTGCGATGATCCATAATAATAATAATAATGATGATGATGATGATGATGATGATGATGATGATGATGATCATGATCATGATCATGATGATGATGATGTTGGAAGGGACCTTGGAGGTAGATAGGTAGGTAGGTAGGTAGGTAGGTAGGTAGGTAGATAGATAGATAGATAGATAGATAGATAGATAGATAGATAGATAGATAGATAGATAACCTTTATTGTCATTTTTTACTGTGGGCACAACGGCACACATTAAAAATGAAATTTAGTTGCTTGCTCTCAAAGTGTACACATACATAACACCCATTTAAACATACTACACACAACATATGTACATAGACCTACGCCCTTACATATAAGTAACATATAAATATTAGTCACTGTCCAATTATTTGTAATTTATTTGCTGTGTTGCCTGCCTTCTGCCCTGCCGAATGGAGATCAAAACATCCCTTTTATACTAAAGGCATAATTTGTGACTGTAAAACACAGTTTTACAACTGTTTGAATTTACACAACGGCACTGAAAAAGGACTTAACGACCGTGTTTCGCCCTTACGACCGTTGCTGCCTCAAACAGAATCAAATGCTTGACCACTGACTCGTACTTATGATGCTTGCATTGTCCCCAATCATTTCACGCTTTGGAATAGCTGACGCCGAAGGCAGAAATTCCACCGGGAAAGCTTTCTCAAAAAGTTATTATAATATATCTTATTATATTTGTATCCTATGAATCAGGTTGGGATCTGCCAGCTGTCCGAGAATTCAACCGTGAGACAAGTGAGTGGCTGGGCAAATTTAATAAATCAAAGAATAAATTTCTCCACCGGAGAGACGAAATTATACCTGTGGATTCCTGTCTGACGTGTTGTAGGAGCTGGAGGCAATTCAAGGATACTTAACCACAATTTGTTTTCTAGATAAACGCAAACTCCGGAAGTTCCAGTTTTTACATTTCCTAATAAACCATCCCTGGATTTTGTAACTATTTTTACCTGCTAGGAAGGTGTGTCAAACTAAATGGGACAATACTGTGAAGTTGTTGGACCGTTTACTGTTTTTCAAAGTTGGCCACTTGAAGTTGTGTGGACCTTAACTCCCAGAATTCCCCAGCCAGCTTGCTGGCTGGGGAATTCTGGGAGTTGAGGTCCACAGGACTTCAAGTGGCCAACTTTGATAAACAGTGCTCTACTGAGTCATATTCAGTTCTTCGTTGAATATTGGCTGAAGCTTCTGAGGACCTTACTCTACTCTGAACATTGAAGTTTATTGACCTTATTGAAGCTTCTGAGGACCTTACTCTACTCTGAACATTGAAGTTTATTGACCTTCAAACTAAAGTCCACTCATCCACTTCTGGGAATTGAAAACCACCCATCTTCAATTCTGGGCATTGAAGTCCATCGACCTTCAAAATCAAGTCCATTCATCCAATTCTGGGAATTGAAGACCACCCATCTTCAATTCTGAACATTGAAGTTTATTGACCTTCAAACTAAAGTCCACTCATCCACTTCTGGGAATTGAAGACCTCCCATCTTCAATCCTGGGCACTGAAGTCCATTGACCCTCAAACTAAAGTCCGCTCATCCACTTTTGGGAATTGAAGACCACCCATCTTCAATTCTGTGAATTGAAGTTCATCGACCTTCAAGCTAAAGTCCACTCATCCACTTCTAAGAATTGAAGACCACCCATCTTCAATTCTGCGCATTGAAGTTCATCGACCTTCAAACTAAAGTCCATTCATTCAATTCTGAGAATTGAAGACCACCCATCTTCAATTCTGGGCATTGAAATCCATCCACCTTCAAACTAAAGTCCATTCATCCACTTCTGGGAATTGAAGATCACCCATCATCAAGTTGAAGTCCACCGATCTTCAATTCTGGGCATTGAAGACAGACTTCCATTTCATTTGGAGTTCTTCAACTGAAGAAATTCTTCAATTCCCAGAATTGAAGAAGGACTTCAATTTGATGATAGGGGCATTTTAATTCCCAGAAGTGGACTTTAGTCTGAAGATGGGTGCCCTGCCATTCCCAGAAAACCAAAACTAACTCCATCTTCAACTCATCTTCAAATCGAGGGTGGTCTTCAGTTTGAAGATGTGTTGAAGATGGAATTAATCTTGGTTTTTTGGGAATTGAAGCCCACCCATCTACAAGTTGAAGCCCACTCATCTAATTGTCGAAATTGAAGCCCACCCATCTACAAGTTGAAGTCCACTCATCCAATTCTCCGAATTGAAGCCCACCCATCTACAAGTTGAAGCCCACTCATCTAATTGTCGAAATTGAAGCCCACCCATCTACAAGTTGAAGTCCACTCATCCAATTCTCAGAATTGAAGTCCACCCATCTCTAGCTTGCCAAGCTGGAGAAACAGTGTGCTAGGGCTTCCTTCAAGAAGCTTCATAGAATGGTTGGAAAAGATGATGAAACTACAAATAGACTTTAAACCAGAATTGTTTTTGTTAGGAATATTAAGACCTAATTATGGCAAAGAGAATGACTACTTGATATTGCATGTTTTAACTGCTGCAAGGATAGTATTTGCCCAATTTTGGAAAAATGAGAATCTACCATCTGACCAGATTATTATTACCAAAATTCTAGAGTGTGCAGAAATGGATAGACTAACATTAGAAATGAAAGAAAAAGATGATTCAATTTATTTTAGAACTTGGGAAAATTTTTATCAATGGTTAGAGCAGTGGTTCTCAACCTTTTTAATGCCGCGACCACCAACCGGTTGTAAGTCGAGGACTACTCCACCGGTTGTAAGTCGAGGACTACTCAACTGGTGCAGCACCATTTGCAGAATGGGACGTTTGGCTGGCTCAGCAGGGCAGAGACAGCCTGGACAATTCCTATTGGCATTTGAAAGCCAATAGAATTAGACTCTATTCAAGAGAGTCTAATTCTATTGGCTTTCGAAAGCCAATAGAATAAAAGGGAGGAGCACAGCTAAGGAAAAGGGGGAAAAAATGGCGGACTGTATTGTTTGGCGACCCCCGTGAAATGGTCGTTCGACCCCAAATGGGGTCCCGACCCACAGGTGGAGAACCACTGGGTTAGAGACAGGTTAGAACTTGAAGGATTTAATATTTTAGAATAGATGACTGATTTTTAATCGAGTTCTAACTAACATTTTGATGATACGGTTACTTTTCCTGATTTACTGATTTTCATTTGTTACTTTTGATTGTTAGGATTTATTTTTTTTTCATTTCATTTCATTTTATTTTATTGTGATTTTATTAGTAGTGTTTACTTAATAGATCAACGTATTTGTTTACTAATTATTTTTACAGTTTAAGCTTTGTTAAAAATGGTTGAATATGATACTTACTCTTTATTATGAACCGGACGGTTGCTTGTTTGTTGAAATATGTGATTGTACCTATCCTTATTTTACCCTAATGCAGTGGTTCTCAATCTTCTTAATGCCGCGACCCCCAACTGGTCGTAAGTCGAGGACTACTCCACCGGTCGTAAGTCGAGGACTACTCAACTGGTGCAGCACCGTTTGCAGAATGGGACTTTTGGTGGGCTCAGCAGGGCAGAGACAGCCCGGACAATTCCTATTGGCTTTTGAAAGCCAATAGAATTAGACTCTATTCAAGAGAGTCTATTCTATTGGCTTTCAAAGCTAATAGAATAAAAGGGAGTAGCACAGCTAAGGAAAAGGGGGGGAAAAATGGCGGACTGCGTTGTTTGGCGACCCCCGTGAAAGGGTCGTTCAACCCCAAATGGGGTCCCGACCCACAGGTGGAGAATCACTGCCCTAATGCCTTATTTCCTTCCCCTCCCCTTTTCCTTTTACCCCTCCCTTTAGCATACCTGTATTGTTCCTATTTTTCCTTACCTATATAAATTTAATAAAATTTTGTTTAAAAAAAAAAGAAGCTTCATAGAAGATGGGAAGGTCTCACCTGTCCCTTCTCGGAGCTCAAAGGTGGGGTACCCTAAGATCCATTGGTAGCAAGGGAAACGGTGCGTCCGCCCCTGGGGGGTCTCCACTTCGATGAAGCTGCAATTCCAGTTGGTGGGTGGGAAGAAGCCGTAGGGCTCCTTATGGAGACGGACTAGCAGAAGATCCCCCAGCTCCATCTGGGTTTCCACCACGAATTCCTCTACCTGCAAAGCCAAAGAGGAAAGATTCAACGCATCTGGAGTGCAATTCCCATCCGTTCCCATCAATTATTGGCTGGAGATGGAGGGAGTTGAAGAAGGCCAGGCTGGAAGACCAGAAAGAAACGTGGGAACAAGTGCAGAGAAGGGCAACAAAGATGATTAAAGGGCTGGAGACAAAAACATATGAAGAACGGTTGCAGGAATGTCTAGTTTCATTAAAAGGAATGGGGGGGGGGAAGGCATGATAGCAGTGATCCAGTATCTCAGGGGCTGCCCCAAAGAAGAAGGAGTCAAGTTATTCTCCAAAGCACCAGAAGGCAGGACGAGAAACAAGGGATGGAAACTCATCAAGGAGAGAAGCAACCTGGAATTAAGGAGAAACGTCCTAACAGTGAGGACAATCAACCAATGGAAGAGACCTTGGAGGTCTTCTAGTCCAGCCCCCTGCTCAAGCAGGAGACCCTAGGAGCTGGAAATGACCCAGGAGGTCATCTAGTCCAAGATCCCTTCCAATTCTGATTCTATTCTATTCTATTCTGTTCTGTTCTGTTCTGTTCTATTCCATTCCATTCCATTCCATTCCATTCCATTCCATTCCATTCCATTCTATTCTATTCTATTCTATTCTATTCTATTCTATTCTATTCTACTCTACTCTATTCTATTCTATTCTGTATTTTATTATTCTATTCTATTCTATTCTATTCTATTCTATTCTGTATTTTATTATTCTATTCTATTCTATTCTACTCTGTTCTATTCTATTCTGTATTTTATTATTCTACTCTATTCTATTCTATTCTATATTTTCTATTCTATTCTATTCTACTCTATTCTGTATTTTATTATTCTATTCTATTCTATTCTATTCTACTCTACTCTATTCTATTCTATTCTATTCTGTATTTTATTATTCTATTCTATTCTATTCTGTATTTTATTATTCTATTCTATTCTATTCTATTCTATTCTACTCTGTTCTATTCTGTATTTTATTATTCTACTCTATTCTATTCTATTCTATTCTATTCTATTCTATTCTATATTTTCTATTCTATTCTATTCTATTCTATTCTATTCTATTCTACTCTATTCTATTCTATTCTGTATTTTATTATTCTATTCTATTCTATTCTATTCTATTCTATTCTATTCTATTCTATTCTGTATTTTATTATTCTATTCTATTCTATTCTATTCTATTCTATTCTGTATTTTATTATTCTATTCTATTCTATTCTATTCTATTCTATTCTACTCTGTTCTATTCTATTCTGTATTTTATTATTCTAATCTATTCTATTCTATTTTATTCTATTCTATTCTATTCTGTATTTTATTATTCTATTCTATTCTATTCTATTCTACTCTGTTTTATTCTATTCTGTATTTTATTATTCTATTCTATTCTATTCTATTCTATATTTTCTATTCTATTCTATTCTATTCTATTCTACTCTATTCTATTCTGTATTTTATTATTCTATTCTATTCTGTATTTTATTATTCTATTCTATTCTATTCTATTCTATTCTATTCTATTCTATTCTATTCTATTCTATTCTATTCTATTCTATTCTATTCTATTCTATTCTCCCCAAAAGCAAACTAACCCAAATCCATCTAGGCTTCTCTTTGCTATGCAAGACACAAGAACCTGCAATATTTGGCCGAGGTGACTTAATGTTAGTCCTCCTGTTTTCCATTGCAAAACTTGACTTATGGCTGAATTCCAGAATCCTAATCGCACGGAAGTTGCACGACTGGGAGAGAAACTTTGAGGCAGTGCTGTCTGTCAACACGCAAAAAACATCCTTTTCCATCTGTTTTGCTCTCCCCCCTCTCCTGGGAAATGCAGGAACATGCACGAATCAAAGCTGGGAACACGTCCAGCCTTCCACCTCCGCTTCCCTCCCTGAATTTAAAAAAAAAAAAAAAAACACGTTGCAGACTTAACTGGTGGAACCAGATTAAATTTCGGCCCAGATGTGGGCTAAAGAAGAGAGAAATTGCACCGTTCTTATGCTAAGGAGATTAAAAGTAAAAAAAAAAAAAAAAGGCTTCAATTTAGGTATCCTGATCAGGTTAGTAAGAAGTTTGCTCCTTATGGACCCCACTTTGTTTTGGGGAGGGGGTCCAAGGAGAGCGCGGATTTCAGCCTCTATGCTGGCTGGGGAATTCTGGGAGTTGAAGTCCAAGGTTGAGGAACACGGCAATAATGCATTTTCTTTGCTGCCATCCAGTGTGGCAAGCTATGCAGATGATACCACTGCTCTGCTTGCATTCCCATTCCAAAGAAAGGCGACGCCAAAGAATGTTCAAACTATCACACCATTGCACTCATTTCACATGCTAGTAGAGTCATGCTTAAAATCCTACAAGCTAGACTCCAGCATTATGTGGATCGAGAACTTCCAGAAGTACAGGCAGGATTTCGAAGAGGCAGAGGAACTAGAGATCAAATTGCCAACATACGCTGGATCATGGAGAAAGCTCGGGAGTTCCACAACAACATCTACTTCTGCTTCATTGACTGTGCTAAAGCCTTTGATTGTGTGGATCACAACAAATTGGGGCAAGTTCTTAAAGAGATGGGAGTACCAGACCGTCTTATTTGTCTCTTGAGAAACCTATATGCGGGTCAAGAAGCAACAGTGAGAACTGGACATGGAACCACTGATTGGTTCAAAATTGGGAAAGGAGTCTGGCAAGGCTGTATACTGTCGCCCTGCCTATTTAACTTATATGCAGAGCACATCATGAGAAAGGCAGGGCTAGATGAAACAAAAGTTGGAATTAAGATCGCCGGGAGAAATATCAACAACCTAAGATATGCAAATGATACCACTCTAATGGCAGAAAGTGAAGAGGAACTGAAGAGCCTCTTGATGCGGGTGAAGAAGGAGAGTGCAAAAATTGGCTTCAAACTCAACATTAAGAAAACCAAAATCATGGCATCCGGCCCTCTCAATTCCTGGCAAATAGATGGGGAAGAAATGGAGGTAGTGACAGATTTTATCTTCCTGAGCTCCAAGATCACCGCAGATGGGGACTGCAGCCAAGAAATTAAAAGATGCTGGCTCCTGGGGAGGAAAGCTATGGCAAATCTAAACAGCATACTAAAAAGCAGAGACATCACCCTGCCAACAAAAGTGCGTACAGTCAAGGCCATGGTTTTCCCAGTTGCAATGTATGTCTGCGAAAGTTGGACCATAAGAAAGGCTGAGCGCCAAAGAATGGAGGCCTTTGGACTATGGTGCTGGAGAAGACTCCTGCGAGTCCCTTGGACTGCAAGGCAATCAAACCTTTCAGTCCTAGAGGAGATCAACCCGGACTGTTCTTTAGAAGGCCAGATCCTGAAGTTGAAACTCAAGTACTTTGGCCAACTAATGAGAAGGAAGGATTCACTGGAGAAGAGCCTAATGCTGGGAAAGATTGAGGGCAAGAGAAGAAGGGGACGACGGAGAATGAAGATGGCTGGATGGAGGCATGAGCTTCAATGGACTCCAGAAGATGGTAGAGGACAGGAAGGCCTGGAGGAATGTTGTCCATGGGGTCGCGATGGGTCGGACATGACTTCGCAACTAACAACAACAACAAGTGTCACAAAGGATAATCTTAATCTCTTCCTCTGGAAGATCTTCCTGCTGGCCTGCGGGAAGGTGGCAGAGGAAGATGGGAACTGTAGTCTCTCCTATTGGTAAACGTCCTAGCACTTACTTCTCCCGGAGAGAAATCTTTGCCGAATTTATCCAGGTGAAACTTGGGTGTCTCCCCGTGAGCGCCCACCAAGGAGATGGAGATGGTGTCCATGGTGCCACCGAAGAGGTAGTTGCCGGTGGCCACTCGGATTTTGTAGGTGGCGGCGGGGGCGGCTGCCATGCTGGCTGGTGACCCTGATGGAGACAAAGACAAGAGAGAAAGAAAGAAAGAAAATAAGGAAGGAAGGAAGGAAGGAGGAAGAGAAATAACAAAGAAAGGAAGGAAGGAAGGAAGAAAAAAGGAGAGATGAAAGAAAGAGAAAGAAAGAAAGAAAAGAAAAAGGAAAGAAAGGAAAGAAAGGAAGGAAGGAGAGATGAAAGAAAAAAGGAAAGAAAGAAAGAAAGGAAAGGAAGGAAGGAAGGAGAGATGAAAGAAAGAAAGAAAGAAAGAAAGGAAAGAAAGAAAGGAAAGAAAGAAAGGAGAGAATAAAATAAAGAAAAAAGAGAGAGAAAGAAAGAGAATGAAAAAAGGAAGGAAGGAAGGAAGGAAAGAAAGGAGAGATGAAAGAAAAGAAAGAAAAAAGAGAAAGAAAGAAAGGAAGGAAGGGAAGGAAGGAAGGAAAGATGAAAGAAAAGAAAAAAGAAAGAAAGAAAAGAGAGATGAAAGAAAGAAAGAAAGAAAGAGAAAGAAAGAAAAAAGAAAGAAAGAAAAGAGAGATGAAAGAAAGAAAGAAAGAGAAAAAAAAGAAAGAAAGAAGGAAAGAAAGGAAAGAAAGGAGATGAAAATAAAGAAAGAGAGAAACAAGGAAAGAAGGAAGAAAGAAAGAAAGAAAGAAAGGAGAGATGAAAGAAAGAAAAGAAAGAAAGAAAGAAAGAAAGAAAAGAGATGAAAGAAAGAAAAAGAAGAGGGAAAGAGAGAAATAAAAAAAGAAAGGAAAGAAAGGAAAGATGAAAGAAAGAAAGAGAAAGATGAAAGAAAGAAAGAAAGAAAGAAAGAAAGAAAGAAAGAAAGAAAGAAAGAAAGAAAGAAAGAGAAAAATTGGTACCAAAGTCTAGCCTTCTTTCAGCTCCAGGAATTCCTTCCTACAAACCGGGCAACCCGTCCATCCAGCTGCCGCTGTGCCTGGGAGGGGGAGGGAGCCTGCGAGGCCCGGCTGTCCTGGTCCCGGGGCTGTTTGGGGGGGGGTCAGCCCTCCCTCCTTCACCCCCACCTTTCCACCTCCAGTGAGGGCTCCCCAGCGCCCAGGAAGGGCACATAGGCGAAGCCAACCGACGAATGCTGGAAGAAACCAGGTGCCAGCCTAGCTAAAAGACTGCTAAGCATTTCCTACTGCATGAAATCATCCAGGCGGGAGGGTGCCCTGGAGGTCATTTAGCCCAACCCTCTGCTCGGTGCGTGATTTTCAGCGAGGGAAGCCGGCTCTCGCAGACAGTGACTCACCTCCTCAAGGATCTCCAAGTGTCCACCTTCTCATGGGGGCAGCCCGGACTGCCCTCGGCGTGGCAGGTCGTCCTTGACTTACGACCGCAATGTCCGTGGCTAAACAAGACGGTTGTTAAGGGAGCCAGCCCATTTTTACAAAGTCTTTTGCCGTCGTCGTTAAGCAAGACAGGGGCTTAAGAGTCACCTCGTGGGGGAGGTGGGCGGCATAAACCTTTAATAAATTAAAAAAAAGTAGAAAGGAATCACCCGGTCATAAAGTGAATCTGGCTGGTAATTGTAACCACGTGACCCTAGGATGCTACCACGGTCGTAAGTGGAAGGACTGTATGTAAATCAGCTTTTTCAGTGCTGTTAAAACTTGGAACGGGCACTAAAGGAATGATTGCATGTTGAGGACTAGCAACATGAAATTTCTCCTAATTAAATTCCTGAGATGATGTAGGTTCTCCTGCTTGAGCAGGGGGCTGGACTAGAAGACCTCCAAGGTCCCTTCCAGCTTCTATTCTATTCTATTCTATTCTATTCTATTCTATTCTATTCTATTCTATTCTATTCTATTCTATTCTATTCTATTCTATTCTATTCTGTTATTTCTTATTCTGTTCTGTATTTTATTCTATTCTCCTATTTCTCTTCTTTTCTCTTCTCTTCTGTTATTTCTTTTTCTATTCTGTATTTTATTCTCTTCTCTTATTTCTCTTCTTCTCTTCTCTTCTCTTCTCTTCTCTTCTATTATTCTATTGTGTTATTTCTTTTTGTATTCTGTATTTTAATCTCTTTTCCTATTTCTCTTCTCTTCTCTTCTCTTCTCTTCTATTATTCTATTCTGTTATTTCTTTTTCTATTCTGTAATTTATTCTATTCTTCTATTTTTCTTCTCTTCTCTTCTCTTCTCTTCTCTTCTCTTCTCTTCTTCCCACAATCTCTTCATCTGCTGGTGTTTCCACATTCTTCCAGTGCGGAGCAAATACCATCTTGGCCGCTGTTAGTACATGCACCGTTAAATACACACTTTGCTTATCAGATTTCTCTGGTATTATACCTGGTTAAAAAAAAAAATCAGGTTTAAAATCTACGTGTTTTCCTAGGGAATAAATAGCATGGCTCTGAAGGGATGATTAGCAAGTACTTTAAATGCCCAGCCAAGGAACCCAGCAGGGCGGGCCCCGGAAGAATGAATCAAGGCTCTGCAAGGTCATACCTTTGATTTCCTGCTCCAGGATATAATTTAAAAACAATTTAAACCCAAGTTTAATTGACGACTTCAGCCAGAGGATGGGCAAGAGAATCTCTCTCTCTCTCTCTCTCTCTCTCTCTCTCTCTCTCTCTCTCTCTCTCTCTCTCTCTCTTCCCCCCCCCATCTCTCTCCACCTGTTGGGTTTTAAAGAGCAGCCTTAAATCCCAACTAGCTGCCTCCAGAAGTTGTGAATGCTCCAACACTGGAAGTTTTAAAGAAGAGATTAGACAGCCACTTGTCTGAAGTTGAATAGGGTCTCCTGCTTGAGTAGGGGGTTGGACTAGATGACCTCCAAGATCCCCTCAACTCTGTTATTCTATTCTATTCTATTCCATTCCATTCCATTCCATTCCATTCTATTCTATTCTATTCTATTCTATTCTATTCTATTCTATTCTATTCTATTCTATATTTCTGATTCTATTCTATTCTATTCTATTCTATTCTATTCTATTCTATTCTATTCTATTCTATTCTATTCCATTTCATTCTATATTTCTGATTCTATTCTATTCTATTCTATTCTATTCTATTCTATTCTATTCTATTCTATTCTATTCTATTCTATTCTATATTTCTGATTCTATTCTATTCTATTCTATTCTATTCTATTCTATTCTATTCTATTCTATTCTATTCTATTCCATTCCATTCCATTCTATTCCCCAGATCCTTGGCAAAGGGCACGCTGGGTTAAAGAAAATTGCTGTGAATTACAGCTTACAAGACCAGGTTTATAACTAGCCAAGGTTTGTGTGCTGCAGGCAGGTAGCTGCTGAATTGAGTTGGCATTAAAAAAAAACCCATTTGCATCACCTGTTGGTATAAAATTGCTGTTTAGGCAACCTGTGGATTTGCCTCTTTGTAATTACCTGGTCCTGCTCTACTGGCTGTCTGCAAAGGACATCCCCGCCTGGCACCTGGTGGGTTTTAAATGTAGGTCGGTAAGGGATGATGGGCGTTGTTATCCTTCACAGCCTGAGGTTCCCCAGATAGGGAGAGGCTTGTAAAAATCTATGCAAGTCTCTAATGCTTTGGAGAAGGAGAACGTGAAGGACATCTGGAGAGATCCTGTGGCAATTTCCAGAATGGAGGAACTTGTGAATTTAACCTCCCTGGGTTCAAGAGAAGCGATTTAATATTTTGGGTGCTTTGGGTTTGTCCTGTCTCAGGTCAGCCTACCTTACAGGGATGTGTTGCTCGGAGGTAGCACTATCAAAGCCATCTTAAAGTTCAGAATTAAGTAACAGAATAACAGAGTTGGAAGGAACCTTAGAGGTCTTCTAGTCCAACCCCCTGCTCCGGCAGGGAACCCTATCCCATTTCAGACAAATGGTTGTCCAGTTTCTCCTTAAAAATCTCAGTATTGGAGAACCTACCTGGTGGGAATCTGTTCCACTGGTCAATTGTTCTTGCTGTCAGGAAGTTTCTCCTTAGTTCCAGGTTGCTTCTCTCCTTGATTAGTTTCCATCCATTGCTTCCTGTCCTGCCTTCTGGCCCTTTGGAGAATGGCTTGACTCCCTCTTCTTTGGGGCAGCCCCTGAGATACTGGAACTCTGCTATCATGTCACCCCGAATCCTCCTTTTCATTAAACTAGACATACCCAATTCCTGCAACCGCTCTTTGTATGTACCTCCAAGGTCCCTTCCAGCTCTATTCTGATTGATTGATTGATTGGAAGATCCCTGATGATCTCCAGTATGTGATTGAAAACTTGGAAGGATAAATCTTTGGTCCCAGTGACCGACTCAGATTGGATACGGCCACATTATCCTGGAGACACGTATATTTATCATCTCCTCTTTTTACCTCATTCCGATGGCGGGCTCTGAAAGACAAGAAATTTGCAAGTTCTCCACACTCTTCTGATTGCCCCAGGCTTCTTTCCTGTCCTCATTCCAAATGGCCAGAAAGAAAAAAAAAAAAACAGGAGGAAACTCTTAATTCTCACGAGCCTTGGTCTTCCTTGCCTCCCCGTAGGAAAGCCAGTCCTGGATATCATTGGAAGAAAAATCAGGTTTGGTTCCAAGCTGGGAGAAAGGCGCTGAAATAAAATGGAGGCAGGCTGCAGGAAAGGAGGTCTCTGTTTATTTGATAGCCAGAGACTTCAGTGATAGCCAGGAGGAAGGTGTTGAAATAAAATGGAGGCAGGCTGCAGGAAAGGAGGTCTCTGTTTATTTGGTAGCCAGAGACTTCAGTGACAGCTGGGAGGAAGACGCTGAAATAAAATGGAGGCAGGCTGCAGGAAAGGATGTCTATTTGGTAGCCAGAGACTTCAGTGACAGCCGGGAGAAAGGCGCTGAAATAAAATGGAGGCAGGCTGCAGGAAAAGAGATCTCTGTTAATTTGGTAGCCAGAGACTTCAGTGACAGCCGGGAGAAAGGCTCTGAAATAAAATGGAGGCAGGCTGCAGGAAAGGAGGTCTCTGTCTATTTGGTAGCCAGAAACCTCTGTGACAGCCGGGAGGAAGACGCTGAAATAAAATGGAGGCAGGCTGCAGGAAAGGAAGTCTCTGTTTATTTGATAGCCAGAAACCTCTGTGACACCAGCATGTTTCTGAGGTGGCTGACAAAATGGGGCTGAGAGTAGGTGGTTGTTTTTTTTTTTACACATTCTTTGGGGCTTTGTGACTGAGAAGCCTGGTCCTGCGTAAGAATACGTCCTTTCATATTTTAATGGGGTCGTGTAGGGGGTCATGGCTGATACTTTAGGAAAAAGGAGAAATGCAAATCCTAGGGTGTTTGTCAGCTTCAGCCCCGTGCCTATCGCGTTGCTTATGAGGAGTTTCTGGCTGCCCTTTGCTCATGTACAGAGTGCCCCAGTTTTCTGAACGGATTGCAAAAATCTCCATTGCTCAAGAGTAGCCAAGTTTGTGCTGGAGGCTGTTCTCCTACAGCAGGAAGACTGGGGCTGCTTTCTGTGTTTAAGAATATGTCCGTCCTCTTCTCCTTTACTGGAAATATTCTATCCTGCCTCTTTTCAATATTAAAAATAAAGAATATTTTATTCCGGGGATGGGGCGGGGGGACTTCCTACAATACGATGGACCTTTGGTCTGGTCCCACCTCTGGATTCAGAATAACAGAATCACAGAATTAGATGGGACCATGGAGGTCTCCTAGTCCAGTGGTTCTCAACCTTTTTAATGCCGCGACCCCCCAACCAGTCGTAAGTCGAGGACTACTCAACCGGTCGTAAGTTGAGGACTACTCAACCGGTCGTAAGTCGAGGACTACTCAACTGTTGCAGCACCGTCTGCAGAATGGGACTTTTGGCGGGCTCAGCAGGGCAGAGACAGCCTGGACAATTCTTATTGGCTTTTGAAAGCCAATAGAATTAGACTCTATTCAAGAGAGTCTATTCTATTGGCTTTCAAAAGCCAATAGAATAAAAGGGAGTAGCACAGCTAAGGAAAAGGGGGGAAAAATGGCGGACTGCGTTGTTTGGCGACCCCCGTGAAATGGTCGTTCGACCCCAAATGGGGTCCCAATCCACAGGTTGACAACCACTGTTCTAGTCCAACCCCCTGTTCAATAATAAAGTTTCAGACAAATGGCTGTCCGGTCTTTTCTTACAAATCTCCAGTGATGGAGCACCTACAACTTCTGGACGCAAGCCGTTCCACCGATTAATTAAATTTCTTAGGAAATTTGGCTCCAGGTTGCTTCTCTTCTTGATCAGTTTTTCATCTGTTGTTTCTTGTCTTGCCCTTCAGGCACTTTGGAAAAATAAATGGACCCCCCTTCTTCTTTGTGGCAGCCCCCTCAGATATTGAAAGACTGCTTTCATATCACCCCTAGTCCTCCTTTTCATTAAACTAGACATCCCCAATTCCAGCGACCGTTCCTTATATGTTTCAGCCTCCAGTCTCCTGATCATCTTTGTTGCTCTTCTCTGCACTCTTTCCAGAGTCTCAACGTCTTTTTAACGTCGTGGGGAGAAAATCTGGATCATTCTTAAAGACAGAGCTGATTCACTTGCTGTCATGGTTCCGACAGATGAAACTCTTCCAAAGAACATCGAGGCATTGTTTACCTTAAAGAATCTTTATTTTGAGTAGCATAATATCGGCACTGCATATTCGGAGCCAAAATCTGAATTCCCCTCCCCTGAGCACATAGTGTCAAAGCCCAATTCCCTCCTCCAATTAACAGTTGTAAATCACATTCCCCAATTAGCTTGAAGCGCAAGCTTCCTCTCCAGTTCTCCAGCCCACCAATTCCTTATCAGCTCTGGTTACAATAACCTTGATTCTCACATTAAGTTTAGTGTTGTTATGTCTAGCTGGACTCTCGTTCGTATACCCTCTCCCCGCATCATCTAACTGTAAAAGCAAAAGGTAAAAGATGACTACATTTCCCTCTGTTGTCAATGCAAAAAGACCTGATGTTAGCAGCATTGACACTTGGATTGGACACCTCCTGAGTTCCTGCCTGAGCAGGGGGTTGGACTAGATGATCTCCAGGATCCCTTCCAACTTTATTATTGTTATTGTTATTATTGTTATTATTATTATCATTGTTGTTGTTGTTGTTGTTGTTATTGATCATCACACAGTCAGCCAGATGTTCAGACTGGATTTGGCATTTTTGTCTACCTATCCAGTCCTTCCCAAGGATTTTGGATAGGCAGATGTGGATGTTTGATGTTATTACAGAAACAGTTCCTAGTAAGGCCACCTTTTGCAATTGTCTAATGGTGAATTTGTCAATGCCAATGGTGTTCAAGTGATGCTCCAATTGTTTTGGGATTGCACCCAAAGCGCCTATTACTATTGGTGCCACCCTTGCTTGCCTTTGCCACAGTCTTTCTATTTCTATTTGTAGGTCTTTGTATTTTGTGATCTTCCGGGGTGTTATGTTGCAAGTGCTTATCTGTTTGAATTCTGAAGTCCCAGACCAATTTAACTTTTTCATTTTCTATGACTTTCTCTATTTTATGATCCCACCGGTTCTTGCTTACTGGCAAATGATATTTCTTGCAGATCTTCCAATGTACCGTTGTTGCTACTTTGTCGTGCCGCTGCTTGTAGTCAGTCTGTGCGATCTTCTTGCAGCAGCTTACCAGGTGGTCCACTGTTTCTTCAGCTTCCCCATTTTGGGTTGTTGGGCCTGTTGTATGCTGCTGTCAACGCTGCTAACATCGGATGTTGTGCATTGACAACAGATGGAAATGTAGCCATCTTTTTTCCCTTTCGCATTTAGTGTTAGATGATGCTGGGAGTGGGGATGTGAACGAGAGTCTGGCTAGACATAACAAGGCTAAACTCAGCCTGAGAATCAAAGTTATTGAGCCCAGAGCTGATAAAAAATATTGGCGGGCTGGAGAACTGGAGAGGAAGCCCGCGCACGCTTCAAGCTAATTGGGGAATGTGATTTGTGACTGTTAATTGGAGGAGGGAATCGTGCTTTGATATGACATGCCCAGGGGAGGGGAATTCAGTTTTTGGCTTCGATTATGTAAGTGCCGATATTATGCTACTCGAATTAAAGATTCTTTAAGGTAAACAATGCCTCAACATTCTTTGGAAGAGTTTCATCGGTCGGAAGCATGACACAGCAGGATTTTAATTCTGCAAGGGTATGTAGGAAGGGCCTCGGAAGAGGGATGAAAAGATGCTGCAAGGGAAGATAAGTTAGAGAAGAGACAGCTTAGCCCAGAGCTGTCTAATGGGTGGAGAAAGAGAAGAGAGTCTCCCTAAATGTCTATGGAGATTCCCGGTTATCCCAAAGGTGCAACTAGAATTTCTTGCTTCAAAGAAAAACAAGGTAATCCAGTTGCCTGGTGAAAAAGCACCTTTGGGTGAGTCTCCCTAATTTCTCGGGCTGCAAAAGACACCGTGGGGGAAGAATTACACTTCCAGATTTCTCAGATTTTTTTTTTTTTTTTGTCGACGTCGCTTTGCAATCCAGGAGAATTCACTTATCTGATTGTGTTTTTTCCCCCTCTGGTCTACCTGCTCAAAGGTAGACAGATTCCATCTACAAGAGAAACGAGTTTAGTTTTGTTTTGTTTTATTCTCAATGCTCTCTCCTTTCAGGCCCTGAAGTGGAAGCCGTCTCACATCCTCGTCTGAAATAATCCCATTTTAATAGATTCCACAAAAGGCGTTTTTACATATTTCATAGCGCCGAGATGGCCCCGGGGACACCCGGTCATTACAAGAATAAAAACAGGCGACTGAGCAGGAAAAAAGAAATTAAAGGGATTTCTTCTCTCCTTCTTTCCCACTGTTGAAGGAGGATGCAAAAAAAAAAATAGGAACAAAACAGCTCATAATTTTTTTCCCCCCAATTGGATCTTTTTATAGGTTACTTTTTCCAGTTGTAGCTCTTAGGCCAGAGGTAGGCAACCTTGGCTCTTTTACGACACGTGGACTTCAACTCCCAGAATTCCTGAGTCAGCTATGCTGGCTCAGGAATTCTGGGAGTTGAACTACATGAGTCATAAAAGAGCCAAGGTTGCCTACCCCTGTCTTAGGCCAATGTGTGTGTTGGCACTGGCCCCTTTAAGATGGGTGGACTTCAACTCCCAGAATTCCCCAGCAGGAATTCTGGGACTTGAAGTCCACCTATCTTAAAATGGCCACGGTTCGGAAACACTTGGATGAATGTAAATATGCAGATATCAAGGCAATGTGGAATATAATTGCCCACGGATGTTGATGCTTCTTGCTATTTATGACTATTAAACTACTGTTTCTAGTCCTCATGACCTAAACTTTGGAACTACCAGGCGATAATTGAACAACATGCAAAAAAAAGTGAATCGGTCTGGTTGAGTTTCTAGAACATTCCTTTCTGCAATGGATACATTTTCCTTCCTTATTCAGGAGAATTTTTGGTCTAGGGTTTCCTGCCTGAGCAGGGGGTTGGACTAGATGACCTCCAAGGTCCCTTCCAACTAGTATTATTATTATTATTATTATTGATCATCGCACAGTCAGCCAGATGTTCAGACTGGATTTGGCATTTTGTCTACCTATCGAGTCCTTACCCAGGACCTGGGATAGGCAGAGGTGGATGTTTGATAGTATTACAGGTATTATTATTATTATTGGGTTTCTTGCATACACCAGCCCATCCTTCCCACCTTGCAATGTCTCATCTAAAATAGCTGAATATCCCTCAACCCTGCTAGTCTTCTTCTAATCTAAAATTCTCCTAATTTTTTTTTTTTTTGGGCAGAAAAGCAGATTTTTTTTCCTCCAATGTTATCAAAAGGTTATCGAATTAAAATATCATCTTCTGCGGAGTCAGGCGGTGTGACTCGACCCGTTAAATGGAGACGCTGTTCTGGATCAGCGAAGGGTCAAGATAGCGATAAGCAATGGGCAAAGGTTGATTTCTTTCCTCGATTTCTTCAGAAATTACCGCCAGGCGTTTCTGGAAACAAGAGATGAGTTTTTGGGGCATCTCCTCGGTGAAATATTTTTCGGGGTACTGGCCCAAAGGTCTCTGGAAGAGAAGACGATGGAGAACGTCACCTACGGAGGTGCAATCTTCAAACATGCTATCCACGGGCTAAACTGTGGTTAACAACCGCAGTAACTCAGCCTTGCCCCCGCACGCTCAGTTGCAAACATTGGAGTCACACAATGCTCTAGCTTTGTGTCTCGGTGTTAAGACCACTTTACAAGGCCTTGGTAAGGCCACACCTGGAATACGGCATCTAGTCTTGGTCAACCCGGTGTAAAAAAGATGCTGAGACTCTAGGACAGTGGTTCTCAACCTGTGGGTCGGGACCCCATTTGGGGTCGAACGACCATTTCACGGGGGTCGCCAAACAACGCAGTCCGCCATTTTTCCCCCCTTTTCCTTAGCTGTGCTACTCCCTTTTATTCTATTGGCTTTTGAAAGCCAATAGAAGAGACTCTCTTGAATAGAGTCTCATTCTATTGGCTTTCCAAAGCCAATAGGAATTGTCCAGGCTGCCTCTGCCCTGCTGAGCCCGCCAAAAGTCCCATTCTGCAAACGGTGCTGCACCAGTTGAGTAGTCCTTGACTTACGACCAGCTGAGTAGTCCTCGACTTACAACCGGTTGGGGGTCGCGGCACTAAAAAGGTTGAGAACCACTGCTCTAGAAAGAGTGCAGAGAAGAGCAACAAAGAGGGGACTGGAAGCTAAAACATACAAGGAACGGTTGGTGGAATTGAGTATGGGATCAGAGGACCTCAACTCTACCCCTTTAGGAATAAGGTCATCATTCTATTTGCTCCTCTGTCTCTGTTAGCACCTTCTGACTCTTCACTTACCAGGTCTCCTGGCTCGTAGCTGACGATGGACAGCAGTGACAACAAGGCACAAGTGGAGTTGACTTCAGGAAAGGTCTCCAAAATGCTTTTCAGGGAGGCTGTGCCTTTGACTTTGGGAGGAGGCTGCCTCAAAGTGGCTGGCGTGTTGGGCATCCATGCCGCAAAGTCAAACTGTCCCAAGACACAAGGAACCCAAAATTAGAAGTTCTACAAAAGATACAACAGTATCTTGGCTGTGTGTCCAGCCAATGGAGAAGATCTAAGGCAGGAATGGGGAAACTCAACCTGAAGGATAAGGTTGTCCCCAAGGAGACCAGCAGCAGTAGAAAGCCATCAAACTCAGGTTGAAAGGGGAGGTTAGACCCAAGGAAACCAAAATGAGAAGTTCTCCAGAAGTTACAACAGTATCTTGGCTGTGTGTCCAGCCAATGGAAAAGACCTAAGGCAGGAATGGGGGAACTTAACGTGAAGGATAAGGTTGTCCCCAAGGAGACCAGCAGCAGTAGAAAGCCATCAAACTAAGGTTGAAAGGGGAGGTTAGACCCAAGGAAACCAAAATGAGAAGTTCTCCAGAAGTTACAACAGTATCTTGGCTGTGTGTCCAGCCAATGGAGAAGACCTAAAGCAGGAATGGGGCAACTCAACCTGAAGGATAAGGTTGTCCCCAAGGAGACCAAGCAGTAGAAAGCCATCAAACTAAGTTTGAAAGGCAAGAGTAGACCCAAGGAAACCAAAATTAGGTGTTCCACAGAAAGTAGGGCAGTATCTTAGTGGTGTGTCCAGTAAACGGAGAAGATCTAAGGCAGGAACTGGGGAACTCAACGTGAAGATCAAGGTTGTCCCCAAGGGGATCAGAAGCAGGAAGCCATCAAAGTAAGGCTCGAAGCCAAGGTTGGACCAAAACCAGCAGTTTGGAAGACATTAATTCAAGGCTATGTCATCTTTAGAATGCAAATTTGCGGTCACACCCAGCCCTTGGCCATCGAGAGCTCTCAGAAGAAGAGCTTGAAAACTGTGTTTTGTCAGACAAGTTTTTTTGGATTCTTGTCCACACAAGAACCCTGAGGCCCAGTTTGAGTGTATTGTGTGTTCTAAGACAGTCAAAGGCAATGTTGTGATGACTCCTCACAAATGTCCTGGAAGGGGACGTAGAAAAGCAGACACACTTCTTTCTCGTCTTCCTATTTCAGGAGATGTTGAAGGACATCCTCCAGCAGTGGCTGTAACTTTAAGACGTGTGGACTTCAACTCCCAGGATTCTCCAGCCAGCCAGCTAGGCCTGGCTGGCTGGAGAATCCTGGGAGTTGAAGTCCACCTGTCAGAAAGTTCCCAAGTCTTGCGAATCTTACTTAATCCCACGGCAAAGGATGAAAATTAGAAAAAAAAGACACCCCTCACTTGACGAAGGACTCTCCTACCTGTCCACTATTGACCGCTGAATGTCGGGCAGAGCAGTTGAAGATGACCATGGTCAGGAACTTGCTCAGCTGAGCTTTGCTTTCCAAGGTGGATGGGACACCTGTTGGAGGGTGGACAGGATGATGGGCATTGTTCAAAGAAGTTACATTGATAGGAAGACACGTGGCCCTTGTCATAGAAGTTGGGACTCATCAGATATACATAACCAGGTGACACTCTATGGAAGCGTTCCTCAACCTCAGACAATTTAAGAAGTGTGGACTTCAACTCCCAGAATTCCCCAGCTGGGCTGGAGAATTCTGGGAGTTGAAGTCCACATCTCTTAAATTTACCTGGAATTAATCTGGAATTAAGGAGAAACTTCCTGGCGGTGAGGACAATTAACCAGTGGAACTTTTGCTTCCAGAAATCGTGGGCGCTCCATCATTGGAGGTTTTTAAGAAGAGACCAGACCGTCACTTGTCTGAGATGGTATAGGTTCTCCTGCTTGAGCAGGAGGCTGGACTAGAAGACCTCCAAGGTCCCTTCCAACTCTTCTCTTCTCTTCTCTTCTATATTCCATTCCATCTTTTATTCTACTCTACTCTACTCTACTCTACTCTACTCTACTCTACTCTACTCTACTCTATTCTATTCTATATTCCATTCTATATTCTATTCTATTCTATTCTATTCTATTCTATTCTATTCTATTCTATTCTATTCTATTCTATTCTATTCTATTCTATTCTATTCTACTCTACTCTACTCTATTCTATTCTATATTCCATTCCATATTCTATTCTATTCTATTCTATTCTATTCTATTCTATTCTATTCTATTCTATTCTATTCTACTCTACTCTACTCTATTCTATTCTATATTCTATGCTACTCTACTCTACTCTACTCTACTCTACTCTACTCTACTCTACTCTACTCTACTCTACTCTACTCTACTCTACTCTACTCTATTCTATTCTCATTCTATTCTACCGAGGTAGCGAAACACTGCTCCTTGGGGCTCAAATAACATCTGCTGAATCCCAATCCTGCAATGAACAGTTCCTGATGGTCAAGGTAGTTGAAAACACCACACAAGATCCACACCCACACATTGTAAATAGAGATGATTCCCCTCACTTGGAGGTGAGAGGATGGAAATCTCGTAAAACGTCGCATATGGGGACATAATGTCCTGTAACATCTGCACCTCTGAGAACGTCAAGGATGGTGGACCGTATAGCCTATTCTGCCAGGTGTCAAAACAAGGGATGTATTATTCAGTTTGGCTTGTCCGTGTAATTTCCACTTCTCTAGAAAACCAGGTATTTGGGTAGAGGAGAGAAGGGAAGCACCAAACTGTGGTGGACCTATCACAAAAGTCTTTTTTTTTTTTAGCGGAAGGCAACCAGAGCATCAATGTTGACAGTGCACCTTCTTCCACCAGACCGTTATTTGGTCTGCTCCACAGAGGACCGTTCTGGAACCCAACCCAGTTGAGATGGTGTGGAAGAACCCAACTTGGTTCCCTCCATTTGGATTTGACCTTCTAGCTGAGGAATTCAGATGTTCCTCAAGAGCTGGACTAGCATGGTGGCAAATATTACCTGAAGATTCCCTACTCAGGAAAGCTTCGGTGAAGATCTCGTGAATCCAGGCTTGTAGCTCAGGATCCGCCTTCACGGCGTCGTCTGATCGGTAGTAGATGTCCACGATACCGGAGACAAATCTGAAAATGACCGCAGCACAATGGAGTTATTGGTGATCCTAAATCCCACGGGTCTACGACGACCGCCCGAAGAACGGAAAACCGTACAGACGTATCCCTGCAACTTTGGGCTATGGAGAAGCTCGGTTGGTGACATTCTGTCCTCTGAGGACGTTGCAAAGAAAGGGGAGACTTCCAGAGGGATGGGAGATCCACGAGATCCAAAAATCCTGAAGGAGGCATCTGCCAGAGTTCTTCAAGAATGGTCATTGCTCAAGAGACCTTTTGACCACACTAAGTGGAGATTCCTAGATCATCCAGGTCATGGTTGTCCCAAAGCTGCTTTTCCAAGAAGCAACTGGACTCTTGCTTTTTCCGTGAAGACCTTTCGCTTATCATCTAAGGAGCTTCTTCACATTCTGAAGAACCGATCCCCTTTGCGCTGAAGAACTGAAGAAGCTTCTTGGGTGAGAGGCGAGACGTCTTCAAGGAAAAACCAAGGAAGTCCAGTTGCCTTTGGGATTTCTGACCTCACACACACAAACACACACACAAAACCAGTATCTGAATTCTTCTAAACAAGCGGAGACTGCTGAGGGAATGGGGAAGAGCACTACAAGTCCAAGAATTTGGAAGGAGGCATCTGAGATACCTTTCCAGGAACCAGTATCTGAACGTCTTCTAAACCAGGGCTTTTCAACCAGTGGTACGGGTACCACCTGTGGTCCATTGGCACCTGGCAGGTGGTACGCGACCATCCTAGAAAAGGGGTAGCGGGGGAGGGGAATGAGCTGAACCGGTGGCAGCACCGCACAAGCCTGAGCGAGAGACGGCTGGAGCTGCAGGGCTGTCAGGGTTCAGCGGAGGCGCCAGGATCAGCGCCAGGCTCCAGCTGGAGCTCAGCGCTGATCCTGGCGCTTCTGCTGAGCCCTGAAGAAGCACCAATCAGCTGGAAGGCAGCACCGATCCTGGCGCTTCTGCTGAGCCCAGAAGAAGCGCCAATCGGCTGGAATGTTGCAGCCTCTCCAGGGTCTTGTGATTTCCATTCAGATGCTTGTGCAACCGATTCATATTTATGACGGTCACAGTGTCCCAGGGTCATGGGAAGGGACCAAAACCTGCTGCAACCACCCAGCAGACGGGGGGAATAAAAACCAAACACCCCCCCACCCCACCCCCGCCGCCAATCCTGGACAGAAATGCTCACAACAATGAAAACCTCGGACAGGAGGAAGAGCGCAGCCGGGCGGGCAGGCAGGCGTCTTGCTCGGCTGTGGCTTGGGGGGGGCACTTTTTTCAGTGCCATTGTAACTTCGAACGGTCACTAAGTGAACTGTTGTAAGTCGAGGACTACCTGTACTTTATCACTTTTTTTCCTTTTTTTGGGTCCAGTTTTGGACACCTTGCTAGGCGACTGGTGGTACTCGGATGTTGCCATATCCTAAAAGTGGTTGTTGTTGTTGTTAATCGTGTCCGACCCATCGCGACCCCATGGACAACGTTCCTCCAGGTCTTCCTATCCTCTACCATCTTCTGGAGTCCATTTAAGTTCACACCTACTGCTTCAGGGACTCCATCCAGCCATCTCATTCTCTGTCGTCCCCTTCTTCTATTGCCCTCAATCTTTCCCAGCATTGGCCCTTCTCCAGTGAGTCCTTCCTTCTCATTAGGTGGCCAAAGTATTTGAGTTTCAACTTCAGGATCTGGCCTTCTAAAGAGCAGTCGGGGTTGATCTCTTCTAGGACTGACCGGTTTGAACGCCTTGCAGTCCAAGGGACTCGCAGGAGTCTTCTCCAGCAACATAGTTCAAAGGCCTCAATTCTTTGGCGCTCAGCCTTTCTTATGGTCCAACTTTCACAACCATACATTGCAACTGGGAAAACCATGGCCTGGACTATACGCACTTTTGTTGGCAGGGTGATGTCTCTGCTTTTTAGTATGCTGTCTAGATTTGCCATAGCTTTCCTCCCCAGGAGCAAGCGTCTTTTAATTTCTTGGCTGCAGCCCCCACCTGAGGTGATCTTTGAGCCCAGAAAAATAAAATCTGTCACTACCTCCATTTCTTCCCCATCTATTTGCCAGGAATTGAGAGGGCCGGATGCCATGATTTTGGTTTTCTTAATGTTGAGTTTGAAGCCAACTTTTGCACTCTCCTTCTTCACCCGCATCAAGAGGCTCTTTAGTTCCTCTTCACTTTCTGCCATTAGCGTGGTATCATCTGCATATCTTCTAAAAGTGGTACAGTGGGTGAAAAGGTTGAAAAGCCCTGTTCCAAACTAGCGGAGACTGCTCAGGGAATGGGGAACAGCACCACGAGGCCAAAAATTCTGAAGGGGGCATCTGAGATACCTTTCCAGGAGCCAGTATCTGAAAGACTTCTAAACTGGTTTTATCTGTTTGGATCATTTAGCTTGACGGGTGTTTTCTTAATTCTCAGCTTTGCTAATTAAAGAGGGGAATGAAGTTCTGGCTCCAAGGAATCCATTCGGCTGAGTTTGCCGAAGCACATCTGGAAAACGGAGACGTGACTTCAGACGTCCACAATTTATACCTTCCACCCTCCACCCCAAATCCTTGGGGAACAATGTTTGATTTCCTTCCGCTAGGATCAGCCTCGTCTTTCTTTCCCGTTTCTTCCCTAGGAGCCTGTGAGACAAAGGTCTGGTGGAGCTCAAACGGCTTTGATTAAGACGGGCTACGCAGCGTTACAAGTAGTTGTAGCCACACACGGGTGTCTGTACTTCTTTTCAGCGAGGTCAGATCCACGTTTGGCCCTCCCAAAGAGAGAGCCCACCAAAACACAATTACCCAAAGCTCACTCACTTCTCGATGGCGGTCCAAATCTTCATCCCATCATCCCGATAGTAGAAGTTGGGCAGGTTGGAGACCCCTCTTTCTTCAAGGTCATCGGGGAGGCAGAGGGACGTGTAGTTGGAGAGTTCTACCCCTTTGGCTAGCAGTTTCAACATGCCATCGCGACCGGTAGCTGTGGCCTGGAAAATGAGAGATAGGAGGTCAACTGCTGTGAACACCGATTTCTCTTCTCGGGGAAGCTGAAGAAGATCCATCAACTGGCATCAGTGGGACCGGTTGACTTGGGAGCCACCTACTGGGTCCTCTGTCTTCCCATGAGGAGGTAATAGTAATAGTAGTAAAGTTGGAAGGGACCTTGGAGGTCATCTAGTCCAACCCCCTGCTCAGGCAGGAAACCCTACACCATTTTGGACAAATGGCTGTCCAGTCTCTTCTTAAAAACTTCCAGTGTTGGAGTCTGGATCCTTCAGTGCTAGTGATAGAAATTGAGGGAACCCATCCCTTGGAGCAGATGGTGAAGAACATCTGCCCAGTAACTGTTGGTGGGTTTCCAATTTCTGCTTCTAGACCAAAGGTAGGCAACCTTGGCTCTTTTATGACTCGTGGACTTCAACTCCCAGAATTCCTGAGCCAGCATGGCTCAGCTTGGAAACCTCTCCCTTATCCCCTCACTGTGGTTGGCTCAGGAATTCTGGGAGTTGAAGTCCACGAGTCATGAGGGGGCCATCGTTCCCCCATGCTGGCTCAGGAATTCTGGGAGTTGGTCCATGAGTCATAAAAGAGCCAAGGTTTCCTACCCCTGTTCTAGATTCTCACTGAGATCTTCTAAATTGTCTGTTGGTTCCTTGGCTACATTTTTGATCTGTTCGAACAGGGGGTCTCCAAAGTTGGCAACTTTAAGACATGTGGACTTTAACTCCCAGAATCCTTGAGCCAGCATGGCTGGCTAAGGAATTCTGGGAGTTGAGGTCCACAAAGCTGCCCAGTTTGGAGACCCCTGAATTAGAAGGTCCTGGTTTTCAGCTAATTCTGTATCACCCACTACTTTTAGTAGAGTCGTATTTCTACATCTCCCTAATTAAGAAGTGTTTTGTAGACCAGTGTTTCTCAACTGAAGCAACTTTAAGGCGTGTGGACTCCAACTCCCAGAATTCTCCAGCCAGTAAGGTGGACTGGGGAATTCTGGGAGTTTGAAACCCACACGCTTTAGTTGCTAAGGTTGAGAAACGCTGGCTTGAAGGACCATGTAGAGCAGGGGTCTTCCAACTTGGCCCTTTGATGAATTGTGGACTTCAACTCCCAGAATTCCTCAGCCAGGCACCCTGGCTGAGGAATTCTGGGAGTAGAAGTCCACAAGTCATAAAAGGGGTCCTAGTTCCCTCACGCTGGCTGAGGTATTCTAGGAGTTGAAGCCCGCAAGTCATAAAAGGATCCTAGTTCCCTCACACTGGCTGAGGAATTCTGGGAATTGAAGTCCACAAGTCATAAAAGGGCCAAGTTTGAAGACCCCTGCTTGTGGATTTGAACTCCCAGAATTCCTCAGCCAGGCACGCTGGCTGAGGAATTCTGGGATTTGAAGTCTACAAATCATAAAAGGGCCAAGTTTGAAGACCCCTGCTTGTGGATTTGAACTCCCAGAATTCCTCAGCCAGGCACGCTGGCTGAGGAATTCTGGGAGTTGAAGTCTACAAATCATAAAAGGGACATAGTTCCCTCACGCTGGCTGAGGAATGCTGGGAGTTGGTCCACAAGTCATCAAAGGGACATAGTTCCCTCACACTGACTGAGGAATGCTGGGAATTGAAGTCCACAAGTCATCAAAGGGCCATGTTTGAAGACCCCTGACGTAGAGAAATGGTGGCGAATGTTAAACACTCTCAAACGAATCCTATTTCAAATTGAGAAAACAAGCCTCAATAAAACCAGGATTGGTTGGTTTGGCAGCCCCTAGAATGTGCGCGTGTGAAGTTGTGTTCTCTGGCTGAACTCTTGATGTAGACTCAGCAGGCCAAAACTTTTCTGTTGTCAAAAATATCTCTTTGTTTTGAAGATTTCTTACCTTATCGAAGATCCCGCCCGGCTGGATGAGATTGGTCCGGGCAAGTGTATTAATATGGAGGGTGTAACGAGTATGGGGTATCAGGAGCTAAAATAAAGAAAAGAGGGACGGAGGGAGGGAGGGAGGGAGGGAGGGAGGAAGGAAGGAAGGAAGGAAGGAAGGAAGGAAGGAAGGAAGGAAGGAAGAAGGGGAAATGGGAGAAAGGGAGGACAATAGAAAAGAAGGGAGGGAGGAAGGAAGGAAGGAGAGAGAGAAAAAAGGGAGGATGGGAGAAAGGGAGGACAATAGAAAAGGAAGGGGAGGGAGGGAGGGAGAAAGGAAGGAAGGAGAGAAAGAGAAGGGGGGATGGGAGAAAGGGAGGACAATAGAAAAGGAAGGGGAGGGAGGGAGGGAGAAAGGAAGGAAGGAGAGAAAGAGAAGGGAGGATGGGAGAAAGAGAGGACAACAGAAAAGGAAGGAAGAAAGGCAGGAAGGCAGGAAGGAAGGAAGGGAGAGAGGGAGGGAGGGAGGGAGGGAGAGAGGGATACTGGTTAAACTTCACCAGGGAATATAATTTGGGGAATTTTGAGAGTTGATGTTTCCCCATCTTAAAGGGGCCAAGTTAAAAAAAAAATAGCGCTGCAGACCCCAAAGGTGTTGATAAGGTCCCCCTAGCTCTGGGATCCGAGAGTCCCTGGCTTTCCAAGACCTCCATGGTCACCTTCCCAGGTTGGCTTTGAAGGCCACCAACCCATCTTCAGAAGCTAACTCTCAACGTGGCCTCAGAACAAATCGGTCGATCCCTCCAGATTATCTCTGGGAACCCCCAACAAGTGCACAAGGCCCAGGACAGGCGGGCCCCCTCCTTCTCCAGACAATTACCTTGTAGATAGGGTGGCACATCGGGAGCTGCCGAAGAGTCGCCATGGCGTAGACCTCGCAGTGGAAGTGGGCTTCCAGAAGGTGGGTGATGACCTCGTGGACGTGGAAGTTGGCCATTCGCACCCAGATCTTGGCTAGCGTCCAGTCCCACTTACGGTCGGTGGGCAGGAAGATGGGGCTTTCCAGGCTGTGGGTCTGGCTCAGCTGGGAAGAGGGGAGAGAAACGGGATTTCAGCACATTCAGCCTCACTCAACAGCTCCTCTCGACCCAAATGGTGTCCAATTGTCTAGGAACAGAGGGCAGACAGTACTGCCTTCCACCACTGATGTTGTTACCTAGTTGGGTCATGAAACGTCTGCAAGGAAACAGCCAAGCACAGAGAGCACCGAGGACCCCACAGTCCTCCTCCTCCTTCTCCTTTTCCCTCTATCCATTCTTCCTTCCTTCCTTCCTTCCTTCCTTCCTTCCTTCCTTCCTTCCTTCCTTCCTTCCTTCCTTCTTCCTCAGAGAGCACCAAGGACCCCACAGTCCTTAAGCACAGAATTCTGGGCATTCAAGTCCACCTGTCTTAAACATGGAATTCTGGGAGTTGGTCCACCTATCTTAAGAATGGAATCCCGGGAATTGGAGTCCACCTGTCTTAAACATGGAATTCTGGGAGTTGAAGTCCACCTATCTTAAACATGGAATTTAGGGCCTTGAAGTTCACCTATCAAGAATGGAATTCTGGGAGTTGAAATCCACCTAACTTAAACATGGAATTTTGGGACTTGAAGTCCACCTATCTTAAGAATGGAATCCTGGGAGTTGAAGTCCACCTATCAAGAATGGGATTTTGGGAGTTGAAGTCCATCTATCTTAAACATGGAATTTAGGGCCTTGAAGTCCACCTATCTTAAGAATGGAATTCTGGGAGTTGAAGTCCACCAGTCTTAAACATGGAGTTCTGGGAATTGAAGTCCACCTATCTTAAACATGGAGTTCTGGGAGTTGAAGTCCACCTGTCTTAAGCATGGAATCCTGGGGGTTGAAGTTCACCTATCAAGAATGGAATTCTGGGAGTTGAAGTCCACCTATCTTAAACATGGAATTTTGGGACTTGAAGTCCACCTATCTTAAGAATGGAATCCTGGGAGTTGAAGTCCACCTATCAAGAATGGGATTTTGGGAGTTGAAGTCCACCTATCTTAAACATGGAGTTCTGGGAGTTGAAGTCCACCTATCTTCAACATAGAGTTCTGGGAGCTGAAGACCGGAAATTTCAAGCGTGGACTTTTAGGGCATGAAGACCAGCTCTCTCCACCCACCTTCCCGGGGCCAAGGTGGGCCAAGGCTGAGAAACCACGATCAACCCTGTTACCTGGATAGCCATCGGCATCATCTGCTCCTCCGAGTTGAGGTACAACAGGCAAATGGGGGCTGCCAGATACTGGTGCTTCCCGTTCAGTTTGCACGTCGGGATGTCCTCCAGGATCTTGTAGTCGGCAATGAAGATGGTTCCCTTCTGAATAGGAGAGAGAGATGAAGAAAGACGGGTGTGAATTCAGCCTAGATCTGCAACTCTGGAAAATCCAGATTTTCCAGTTGGGACCTGAAGGATGCCAGATCTCCTCTTTGCATCCATCAGAGGAGACCAATCCACCGTCGTTCCCATGTTAGAAAGGGTGGGAAGAGCACGGAAGAACCTGTTTGGGGTCCTACCATGAATTGGTGGCTCAAGCAAGATTTTGAAGGCCCGTCTCTCCAATTCGGATCCGATCCGAGTTCCGATTTACTCATCCTACAACTCAGATCTTTAGCAGGAGACCTCCTGGGGAGGTTGGACCCCTCCCACAAGCTACAAATATTCTCCATTATTGAATTCAGAATTAGAATAACAAGAGTTGGAAGGGACCTTGTCGGTCATCCAGTCCAGGGGTCTTCCAACTTGGCCCTTTGATGACTGGTGGACTTCAACTCCCAGAATTCCTCAGCCAGGCATGCTGGCTGAGGAATTCTGGGAGTTGAAGTCCGCCAGTCTTAAAGTGACTGAGGAATTCTGGGAGTTGAAGTCCACCAGCCTTAAAGTGACTGAGGAATTATGGGAGTTGAAGTCCCCAGTCTTAAAGTGACTGAGGAATTCTGGGAGTTGAAGTCCCCAAGTCTTAAAGTGACTGAGGAATTCTGGGAGTTGAAGTCCCCAGTCTTAAAGTGACTGAGGAATTCTGGGAGTTGAAGTCCCCAAGTCTTAAAGTGACTGAGGAATTCTGGGAGTTGAAATCCCCAAGTCTTAAAATGAGTGAGGAATTCTGGGAGTTGAAGTCCACCAGTCTTAAAGTGACTGAGGAATTCTGGGAGTTGAAGTCCCCAAGTCTTAAAGTGACTGAGGAATTCTGGGAGTTGAAGTCCACCAGTCTTAAAGTGACTGAGGAATTCTGGGAGATGAAGTCCACCAGCCTTAAAGTGACTGAGGAATTCTGGGAGATGAAGTCCATACGTCTTCAAGTGGCCAAGTTTGAAGACCCCTGCCTTACACCATGGATCCTTGGAAGGTTCTCCAGGGACCCAAGGAACGTCCAAGTCCCTCAAATGGTCCATCTTCTCCAACCCAACCGATGGGTCTTCTTAGTTCTAGGGCTTACCTTCAGTTCTTCTTCAAGGGTGGATTTCCCCAAGATACCAATGACCATCTCATCTGTCACCGGGAAGTTTTTCGGGATCTGGGTGCACTTCCGAAGCAGGACGGGGTTGACCCCATTCAGGAACTGGTAGCCGAAGAAGTCGTCATCCATCCAGTGGTCCATGACGTATTCTGGATTTACAGAAAGGCTTCTTAGAGAAGGCTGGGGGGGCCACATGGCCAAGGCTAGATATGGAGGCATTGAAGAAGGAAACAGAGGGAAGGGTAGGATAGGACAGGCTCCAAAACTCTCATCACACGACTGGGGCCTAGTCCTCGACTTACGACGGTTCGTTTAGTGATGGTTTGAAGTTACAACGGCTGTGAAAAAAAGGGACTCGGGACCGGTTTTCCCGCTTGGCGACCGTCGCACCATCTCACACAATCACAGGATCAAAATTCAGGCGCTTGGCAACCGACTCGTATTTATGACGGTCGCAGCATCCCAGACGGTCGCCTGATCTGCTTTTGCGACCTTCCGAATGGCAAAGTCAGCGGGGGGGGGGGGAAGCCGGATTCACTTAATGACAGTCACGTCATCTGCTTTTACGACCTTCCGACTGGCAAAGTAAGCGGGGAGAGCTGGATTCGCGTAACGACGGTCGCGTGATCCGTTTTTGAGACCTTCCAATCGGCAAAAGTCAGCGGGGGGGGGGGGGGGTGAAGCCGGATTCACTTAGACAGTATTACTAGCTTAACAGCTGCAATGATTAACAACATTGGCTTAGGGGGCTTAGGAAGAGCAAAAAAAAAAAAAAAAAAAGAGCGGGAAGTGAGGAGTAAAAAGCATGATGGAAGTGCATAAAATGGAATGTGGAGCGGAGAAAATAGGAGAGGAAAAAGCAATTCTCTTCCTCTCTTTCTTTTCTAAACTCCTGGCGTGAGCCAATAAATTGAAATAAATATTGGGAATATAGCAGAGGAAAAGAAAAACGTTTGTGCCTCTTTCATCTATAGCTACAGTATTTATCTTTCATCTCTCTCTCTCTTTCTCTCCATCTCTCCTCATCCATCTCTCTCTCTCTCCACCCACCCCTCTCTTTCTAATCTCTCTCCATTTCTCCATCTCTCTCTCTCCATCCACCCCTCTATTTAATCTCTCTCTATCTCTCCATTTCTCCATCTCTCTTACCCCTCTCTCCATCCACCCCTTTATCTAATATCTCTCTCTCTCTATTTCCATCTCTCTCTCTTTCTCCATCTCTCCTCATCCATCTCTCTCTCTCTCTCTCCATCCACCCTTCTCTTTCTAATCTCTCTCTCCATTTCTCCATCTCTCTCTCTCCATCCACCCCTCTGTCTAATCTCTCTCTATCTCTCCATTTCTCCATCTCTCTTATTCCTCTCTCCATCCACCTCTTTATCTAATATTTCTCTCTCTCTCCATTTCCATCTCTCTCTCTTTCTCCATCTCTCTCCTCATCCATCCCTCTCGCTCCATCCATCCCTCTCTATCTAATCTCTCTCTCTCCATTTCTCCATCTCTCTCATCCATCTCTCTTTCTCCATCCACCCCTCTTCATCTAATCTCTCTCTCTCTCTCTCTCTCTCTCCTTGTCTCTGTCTGTCTGTCTGTCTGTCTGTCTGTCTGTCTGTCTGTCTCTCTCTCTCGTCCATCTGACCTGCCTATTCTGCCTGGTTCTGGACCGCTTGGCAAAGGGGAGACCCACCTGTGACGGGAGTTTTGTGAAACCAGAAGATTTTGCGCATATCGTCCAGACTCTCCCACGACTCCGCCAGGTTGGAGAAGCCCTTCAGCCTCAGTTCGATCTCCCTGCGAGGAAGGACCGGAAGGGGGGATGAGCGGATGAGGGCGAGAACCCCCAGGATGCCCATCGATTAAACAGACTCTCTCTCCCTCTCTCATCTATCATGCATCCAGTCTCTCTCTCTCTCATCTACTCTGCCTGTCTGCCTCTCTCTCTCTCTCTCTCTCTCTCTTCTATCTATCTATCTATCTATCTATCTATCTATCTATCTATCTATCTATCATTTGTCTATCATCTATCTATCTCTATTATCTCTCTCTCTCTCTATCTATCTATCTATCTATCTATCTATCATCTCTCTCTCTCTATCTCTATCTCTCTCACACATCTATCTATCTATCTATCATCTATTTATCTATCCATCTATCTCTATTATCTATCATCTATCTATATTATCTCTCTCTCTCTCTCTTTCTCTCTCTATCATCTGTCTATCATCTATCTATCTATCTATCTATCTATCTATCTATCTATATCTCTCTATCATCTATCTCTCTATCATCTGTCTGTCTATCTATCTATCTATCTATCATCTATCTATCTATCTATCATCTATCTATCATCTCTCTCTATCTATCTATCTATCTCTCTATCATCTATCTATCTATCATCTGTCTGTCTATCTATCTATATATCATCTGTCTATCTATCTATCTATCTATCATCTCTCTATCTATCATCTATCTATCTATCTATCTATCTATCTATCTATCATCTATCTCTATTATCTCTCTCTCGATCTCTATCAATCTCTCTCAATCTCTCTCTCTATCATCTATCTGTTGTCTATCTCTATAACTTTCTCTCGATCTCTCTATCATTTATCAATCTATACCTATCTCTCTCTATATATATGTATCATCTATCTTTCTCTCTCTATCATCTTCTGTCTGTCTATCATGTTTTATATCTATCTATCTATCATCTGTCTATCATCTATCTATCTCTATTATCTCTCTCTCTCTCTCTCTATCTATCATCTATCTATCTATCTCTATCTCTCTCACACATCTATCTATCTATCATCTATTTATCTATCTATCTATCTCTATTATCTATCATCTATCTATATTATCTCTCTCTTTCTCTATCATCTGTCTATCATCTATCTATCTATCTATCTATCACCTCTCTATCTATCATCTCTCTCTCTCTATCTATCTCTCTATCATCTATCTATCATCTATCTATCTATCATCTGTCTATCTATCTATCTATCTATCTATCTATCATCTCTCTATCTATCTATCATCTATCTATCTATCTATCTATCTATATCTCTCTATCATCTATCTATCATCTGTCTATCTATCTATCATCTATCTATCTATCATCTCTCTATCTCTCTATCTCTCTATCTATCTATCTATCTAATCTATCTATATCTATCATCTATCTATTTATCTGTCTCCATCATCTATCTATCTATCATCTATCTATCTCTATTATCTCTCTCTTGATCTCTATCAATCTCTCTATCAATCTCTCTCTCTATCATCTATTTGTTGCCTATCTCTATAACTTTCTCTCGATCTCTCTATCATTTATCAATCTATATCTATCCTCTATATATATATATGTATCATCTATCTTTTTCTCTCTCTCTATCATCTTCTGTCTGTCTATCATGTTTTATATCTATCTATCTATCTATCTATCTATCTATCTATCTATCTATCTATCTATCTATCTATCTATCTATCTCTATCAAATTTATATGCTGCCCATCGCACCATTCAAGGAGACTCTGGGTGGCTTACAGTGCAATTCAAAAGAGAGATATAAAAACAATTACAAATATAAAAAGAACAGACTAAGATGACAAAAGATTAAACACAGAAGAAAGGACCCCCGGGTCAGCGGGGAGCAGCGGTGGGGCCTTCTCTGTCCCTGCCCCAATTCCAGGGGTGCAATTAGTGGACGTGACGCCAACATCGCAATCCCACCGACAACGCGGCAGCTGAAGCTGTAAACCGGATCCTGACCCGCAACCTCCGTTACTCACGACTTGAGGGTGCGCATGGCAAAGAAGGTGGTTTTGCTGAGCGAATACTTTGAGTTTGAATGCAGGTCGTCGGTGGTGTGGGCGTCCACGCATCTCGGCCAGCCCGGGGCATAGTTCTTCCAGCTGTTGTGAGAAAATGCAGCCCAAAAGATCATTTTTTAACAGACAAACACATACACACACGCACATATACAGAAAAAGACTATGGAACTCCTTGCTACATGACACAAGAGGTGCAAAGATTATTGTTGGAAGTGAATTCAGTCTCCCGTTTGTCAGCTTTGGATGTGCAGCTCCAGATGTGAGTTCCCCATTCCAAGCCCCCTTTGTACTACACACACACAAACACACACAGGCACACACAAATACACAGACATACAGACAAACATGCACACAGAAATACACAAACTCACAGTCATAGACACAGGCACACAAACAGCACTGAAACACACCTACACATTGTCACAGACAAACATGCACACACAGGCACGCAGATACAGACCCACAAGCATGCACACACTGACCCACACACACACAAAGAGACCCACAGATACTGTCACGCAAACACGCACACCCAACCTACAGATACAGACAGACAACCACGCACCCACCGACCCACACAAACACAACAGACACTCAAAACACACAGACCCACAGACACAAGAAGGCACACACAGACACCCCCCCCCCCAAAGGCACAAAGGCACAAATGTGTGCACGCAGCCCCTCACAAACGCACAGACACAAAGAAGGCCCAGGCACCCAGATAAACGCACGCACACACAAGAAACACACAAGACACACAATAGATTATATTCAGAATAAATATGGGACTAAAAAGTTCCATCTAGTTTATGAGTAAATTTTAGAGTATTATTATTATTATTAATAGTTTATTATAGTAGAATTTTTATTAGTTTTATTATTATTTTTAGTATTGGTATTATTAACAATTTGGATGTTTTATTGTTTAATAATATTGACTTTTTTATATTATTACGTTTATTTTTAATTTGTTTATACCTATGTTAAAGGGGAGTTAAAGCGCATTATGGACTTGGTTATTTATATAGTTGGTTAGTGTTAGTTAGAGTTTGATTATTATATTTGTAACCCTGTACTCAGCTCTGGGAAGTGGGGGAGGGAGAGGGGGGGTTTAGGGTGGGTGGGTTTTGGGGTGTATACTGTAATTTTAATAAAACTTTTCAATAATAATAAAAAAAGAAACACACAGACACAGACGCACAAAGCTGCACACACACACACACACACACACACACACACACACTCCATTCTGTCCGATCACACTTGTTTCAGATCACAACCTTCGTTCTTCCAGGTGAAGGAGATGCAACTTTGTGGGGGGGGGTCCCCCTAATTCAGCCTCAAAGGGGGAGAAATTGAATTGGAAGGCAACCGTTCCCCGTTTGCAGAAATCTAGCCGCTCAAGCCAATGGCCGTTTCTTCCCCAGAATACTATTTTTCTGGGTCTTTCTTCGACGCCCTCGGTTTCTGGGGTTCAGGGGAGCCGGTTTGGGGGTCCTGGGGGGGCTCCAGAGAGAGAGGAGGGAGGGGTTGCCTTGCTCACCCGTAGCTTTCCTGCCGTTTGGCCAGCTCTTTCTTGCGATGCTCCAGCAGAGAAGGGCTCCCCGCATCATCTTCCCTCGTTTTGGCTGCAGGGAAGGAGAACCGAAGGCCAGTTGGGGGGGCTCAGAGTGTGGAAATTGCCCCCCAAAAAACTCAGGATGAGTTAACGCCCGAGGCCCCGGCCTTTCCTGATGAAGCAGGGTGGCTGTGGAGTGCTGGAGACTCGTGGCATGCTCAGAGGCACTGTTCCAACCCGTTCCGCCTGTTCCAATCTTTCAGACCTAAGATCTCCAGCCTGGCACACACTGCTATCCCAGATATAGCTAATCCCCAGAGAGCAAGGGTGCTGGGGATGCTGGTTATTGCAGTACCGGGCCTCTGGGTGCCTTTATCTAACGCAGGGGTTCTCCACCTGTGGGTCGCGACCCCGTTTGGGGTCGAACGACCATTTCACGGGGGTCGCCCAACAATGCAGTCCGCCATTCCCCCCCCCCCTTTTCCTTAGCTGTGCTGCTCCCTTTGATTCTATTGGCTTTTGAAAGCCAATAGAAGAGACTCTCTTGAATAGAGTCTAATTCTATTGGCTTTCCAAAGCCAATAGGAATTGTCCAGGCTGTCTCTGCCCTGCCGAGCCCGCCAAAAGTCCCATTCTGCAAACGGTGCTGCACCCGTTGAGTAGTCCTCGACTTACGACCGGTTGAGTAGTCCTCGACTTACGACCGGTTGGGGGGTCGCGGCATTAAAAAGGTTGAGAACCACTGCTCTAATGCTCTTTCCTCCCCGTATTTTTCCCCAAAACATCAACCCTGTGAGGTGGGTTGGGCCGAGAGGAAGGGACTGGCCCAAGGTCACCCAGAAGGGTTTCGCGCCTAAGGCGCGACTCGAACTCACAGCCTCCTGGTGGTTGGGCCAAAGTCACCCAGCTGGCTTTCATGCTTAAGGTGGAACTAGAACTCCCAGATTCCTGGAGATTGGCCCAAAGTCATCCAGCTGGCTTTCAGGGCAAAAGCAGAACTAGAACTCCCTGTCTCCTTGTGATTGATTCAAAGTCACCCAACTAGATTTCATGCCTAAGGTGGGACTAGAACTCACTGTCTCCTGGTGATTGGCCCGAAGTCACCCAGCTGGTTTTCATGGCTAAGGCGGAACTAGAACTCACCGTATCCTCGTGATTGGCTCAAAGACACCTAACCAGCTTTCATGCTTAGGCTGGAACTAGAATTCCCAGGCTCCTGGAGATTGGCCCAAAGTCATGGCAAAAGTAGAATTACAACTCCTTGTTTCCCGGTGACTGATTGAAAGTCACCCCTATAGCTTTCCTGGCTAAGGCGGAACTAGAACTCCCCAATTCCTGGTGATTGGCCCGAAGATACCCAGCCGGCTTTCATGGTGAAGGCGGAACTAGAACTCACCATCTCCTCGTGATTGGCTCAAAGACACCTAACCAGCTTTCATGCTTAGGCTGGAACTAGAACTCCCAGGCTCCTGGAGATTGGCCCAAAGTCATGGCAAAAGTAGAACTACAACTCCTTGTCTCCCGGTGACTGATGGAAAGTCACCCCTATAGCTTTCCTGGCTAAGGCGGGACTAGAACTCCCTGTCTCCTGGTGATTGGCCCAAAGTCCCCCACCCGGCTTTCCTGGCTAAGGCGGAACTAGAACTCCCCGTCCCTGGTGTCAAGGCGAACAAATTAACCTCTAGTTACACCATGCCATCTGCTGCCGTATCTTGAAGACCCCCTCTGTGGGGGTGACCCACCCAGCTGGGTCTGGGGCCAAGGGGCTGGCTCACCTGCCTTCTCCCCTCCCTCCCTCCCTCCCAGGTAAGGGGGCGGGGCGTAAAGGCGGAAGTGCGCCTACCTGTCCCTTCGCGCAGATTCAGGGAGCAGTAGCCCTCCAGCCACTGATAGGAGGGGAAGTGGTAGGTCTCCCCGCGGGGCGCCTTCACCCTGACGTAGCTGCAGAACCAGTTGTCCTTGGGGAAGAACAGGTAAGGCTCCTTGTGCAGGCGGATCAGGATGATGGGTCCCAGGTCCTTCTCACAGGGCACCTCGTATTCGTCCACCTGGAGACGGGAGAGAGAAACCCCCATCCCCAAAACCGGCTTTAAACAAGGTGGGATAAAGAGACAGCCAAGCTGGAACAAAGGGGAAACTTACACTGACCACGAGGACAATTAACCGGTGGAACAGCTCGCCACTGGAAACTGTGGGCGCGCCAGGGCTGGAGGGTTGTTTTTTTTATTATTATTTTTTGTTTTAAAGAATGAGGAGATTGCACAGCCATCGGTCTGACGTGGTTGAGGGTCTCCAGCTTGGGCGGTGGGGGGGTGAGCTAGAAGACCTCCGAGGTCCCTTTCAGCTCTGTTATTCTGTTATTTAACCAGTGGAACAGCTCACCACCAGATGTTGTGGGTGAGCCTTCCTCTCTAGGAAAGGCAATTGAAGTACTTGTCTGCTCCGGATGGAGATGAATAGGTTGCGTTTGTGTTTGATTTTGTCATCCCCCCCGTTGTGAGATTCTGCAATGTTTGCAATTTTGCAACAGAATCTGTCTGTTTGTCTCTCTTTTTCTCTTTCTCTCTCTCTTTCTTTCATTCTCTCTCTCTCTTTTTTTCTCTCTTTCTCTCTCTCTCTCTCTCTCTCTTTCTTTCTCTTTCTCTTTTTTCTTTCTCTCTCTTCCCTTTTTATTTCTCTCTCCTTCTCTCTCCCTCTTTTTTCTTTCTCTTTCTCTCCCTTTTTTCTCTCTTTATTTTTTCCTTCTCTCTCTTTTTATTTTTTCTTTCTTTCTCTTTCTCTTTCTCTTTCTCTGCCTCTGCCTTTCTTTTTTCTTTCTCTCTCTCTTTTTTCTTTCTCTCCCTCTCTTGCTCACTCTTTTTTCTCTTTATTGTTTTCTATCTTTCTCTCTCTCCCTCCCTCTTTTTTCTTTCTCTCTTGTTCTCTTTCTTTCTCTCTCCTTTTTCTTTTTTCTCTCTTTCTCTCTTTCCTTCTCCATTTTTTCTTTCTCTTTCTCTCCCTTTTTTCTTTCTCTCTCTTTCTCTCTCTTTTTTCTCTATTTTTTTCTCTCTCTCCCTTTCTTTTTTCTTTCTCTCTCTCACTCTTTTTTCTTTCTCTTTCTCTTTCTCTCTCTCACTCTTTTTTCTTTTTTCTTTCTTTCTCTCGCTCTCTTTCTTTTTTCTTTCTCTCTCTATTTTTTTCTTTCTCTCTTTCTCTTTCTCTCTCCCTCTCTCTCTCCTTTTTTTTGCTCAATGCTGTCTGAGGCTGCCTAAGCAACTCCTTGCAGTTTTCTTGGCAAGGATTTTTTTTTTTTTTCAGAAATGGCTTGTGTCATTGCCACCTTTCTAGGGCGGAGAGAAGGTGGCTGGCACAAGATCGCCCAGCTGGCTTCAACTGCCCAAGGCGGGACTAGAACTCCCAATCTCCCAATCTCTAGACGGGTGCCTTCAGCACTACACCAAACCGGTTCGCTCAGTCTTGTACAAAACAATTAAGAGGGTTGGTTTAAGTGGCCCGATCCACTTAGCGTAATCCTAAACACCCCTGCGTGCGCGAGAAAGCCGGGACGACATGCAAAGTTCCCTCCCCCTCTTACAAAAGTAGAAGCCTCTATCCGCAGGCAATCTGCCTCCGCCTCCATGAAGATTTGGCAACTTTTAATTAAGCATCAGGAAATTACAAGGCACCCCCCTCCCCCCAAAAAATATTGGCCAGTTTTTTCTCCCTAACAGAAGAGGTTGAAATGAGGGGGTCCCTGGTGCTGTCTGAGCTGGGGGCTTTTCTTGCAGACATTTCAAGACCCAGCTAGGGAACGTCATCAGCGCTAGAAGGGAGTATGGGAGGAGGATGAGGAGGAAGAGGAGGAGAAGGAGGAGGAGGAGGAGGAAGAGGAGGAGGAGGAGGACTGTGCAGTCCTTGGTGCTCTCTGAGCTGGGTGCTTTCCTTGCAGACGTTTCATGACCCAGCTAGGGAACGTCATCAGAGCTAGAAGGGAGTGTGAGAACAGGGGGAGGAGGAGGAGGAGGAGGAGGAGGAGGAGGAGGAGGAGGAGGAGGAGGAGGAGGAGGAGGAGGAGGAGGAGGAGGAGGAGGAGGTTTTGTTGAAGATGTTTCATGACCCAGCTAGGTGACATCAGCAGCGCTAGAAGGCGGGGGGGGGGGATTTCCTCTCTGTTTCTATACAAGTGGTTTGCCACTACCAGCTCCAACAAACGATCACACAGTACACAAAAGCTCAATCCAGCAACTGTCAAGAAGAAACCAACGCTCCCATCCAAACTGACAGGGCAAGCCCCTCGTGTATAAACAGAGAGCAAACCCATCTCCCTTCCAGCCCTGATGATGTTTCCTAGTCTGGTCATGAAACGTCTGCAAGAAAACCTCCCCAGTTCAGAGAGCATCTAATACCTCACAGTCCTCCTCCTCCTCCTCCTCCTCCTCCTCCTAGAATAGAAGAGAGCTGGAAGGGACCTTGGAGGTCTTCTAGTCCAGCCCCCTGCTCAAGCAGGAGAACCTATACCGTCTCAGACAGGTGATTGTCTAGCCTCTTCTTAAAAACCTCCAGGGATGCTGCACCCACGATTTCTGGTGGCCAGCTGTTCCACTGGTTGATTGTCCTCACTGTCAGGAAGTTTCTCCTTAATTCCAGGTTGCTTCTCTCCTTGGTCAGTTTCCAACCATGGTTTCTCGTCCTGCCTTTTGGGGCTCTGGAGAATACGTTGACCCCCCTCTTCTTTGGGGCAGCCCCTCAAATACTGGAATGCTGCTAACATGTCTCCTCCTCCTCCTCCTCCTCCTCCTCCTCCTCTCCACACACCCAACTCCCTTCCAGCTCTGATGACGTTCCCTAGTTGGGTCATGAAATGTCTGCAAGAAAAAACCCCCAGCTCAGAGAGCACCAAGGACCCCACAGTCCTCCTCCTCCTCTTTCTCCTTCTTCTCCTTCTCCTCCTCCTCCCTCTTGCACTGATGATGTTCCCTAGTTGGGTCATGAAACGTCTGCAAGGAAAACCCCCCAGCTCAGAGAGCACCAAGGACCCCACAGTCCTTCCCCTTCTCTTCCTCCTCCTCCTCCTCCTCCTCCTCCTCCTCCTCCTCCTCCTCCTCCTCCTCCTCCTCCTCCTCCTCCTTCTCCTCCTCCTCCTCCTCCTCCTCCTCCCACACTCCCTTCTAGCACTGATCACATTCCCTAGCTGGGTCACGAAACGTCTGTAAGAAATCCCCCCAGCTCCGAGAGCACCAAGGACCCCACAGTCCTCCTCCCCCTTCCTCTTCTCTGCAAACCCCTCTCCCTTCTACCCCTGATGACGTCCCCTAGTCTGGTCACGAAACGTCTTGCCGGGGAAACCACGCATTCCCCTCTCCAGCTCCCAGAGCAACAAAGACCTCACCCCTTGCCCATGGCAGAACCCCTTCCGAATCCCCCTCCTCGCCGGGGTCCCACTACTCACAGCTCCCGGGACGAAATCTCTGCCCAGCTTGTCCAGACGCTGCTTGGCGCTTTCGGACCGCTCGCCCACCAGGGTGATGGAGATGCTGCTGTAGGTGCCCGCTAGGATCATGTCGCCGGTGGCCACGGAGACTTTGTACGTCGCCATTCGGGAAGCCGGGAGAAAGAGAGAGAGAGAGAGCTCAGAACGCAGCCGGGGAAGGAAGGATTCTGGCGAGCCAGTGCCTCGAACGGGCTGGGACATGTAGACCAGCTCCTCCCAGGTGTGCCACAAACACCTGCTGCAAAGAAATTAGCCACGTCGCCCAGGCCTTGGGCAAGACATGGGACCAGTCCCTGGTTTTGAAGTGGCCAAGATCTGAACTGGCTAGTTTGGCTTCAAAAAAAAGACAGCACTGGAAAATAGAATAGAAAATATGGAATGGAATAGAATAGAATAGAATAGAATAGAATAGAATAGAATAGAATAGAATAGAATAGAAAATATGGAATGGAATGGAATGGAATAGAATGGAATAGAATAGAATATGGAATAGAATAGAATAGAAAATATGGAATGGAATGGAATGGAATAGAATGGAATAGAATAGAATATGGAATGGAATAGAATAGAATATGGAATGGAATGGAATAGAATAGAATAGAATAGAATAGAATAGAATAGAATAGAATTCAATTCATAATGGAATAGAATAGAATAGGAATTCAGAATAGAATAGAATAGAATTCAGAACAGAATAGGAATTCATAATAGAACAGAATAGAATGGAATAGAATTCAAAATAGAATATAGAATGGAATGGAATGGAATATGATAGAAATTAGAATAGGAATAGAAATAGAAATAGAATAGAATAGAATAGAATAGAATAAGGAACAGAATAGAATAAGGAGTAGAATAAGGAATAGAATAGAATGGAATGGAATGGAATAGAATAGAATAGAATATTGGAATAGAGTACAAAATACAGAATAGAATAGAATAGAATAATAAGAAATAGAATAGAATAGAAAATACAGAATAGAATAGAATAATAAGAAATAGAATAGAATAGAAAATACAGAATAGAATAATAAAAGAATAGAATAGAAAATACAGAATAGAATAGAATAATAAGAAATAGAATAGAATGGAATAAAAAATACAAAATAGAATAACAAAATAGAATAGAAAATACAGAATAGAATAGAATAGAATAGAATAATAAGAAATAGAATAGAATAGAAAATACAGAATAGAATAGAATAATAAGAAATAGAATAGAATAGAAAATACAGAATAGAATAGAATAATAAGAAATAGAATAGAATAGAAAATACAGAATAGAATAATAAAAGAATAGAATAGAAAATACAGAATAGAATAGAATAGAATAGAATAGAATAGAATAGAATAGAAAATACAGAATAGAATAGAATAATAAGAAATAGAATAGAATGGAATAGAAAATACAGAATAGAATAATAAAATAGAATAGAAAATACAGAATAGAATAGAATAATAAGAAATAGGGTAAAATAGAATAGAATAGAAAATACAGAATAGAATAGAATAGAATAGAATAGAATAGAATAAAATAAAATAGAATAGAATAGAATAATAAGAAATAGAATAAAACAGAATCTGGGAAAGACCTTGGGGGTTTTCTAGTCCAGCCCCCTGTTCAGGCAAGCAAACTTATATCCTATCCTATCCTACTTTCCTACTGCTCTGCAAGGCCCCAATTTAGAGCTTCTGTTCTCGCCCATCTTATCCTTGAGCAAGCATCAAACACCAGCCAGTCTGGCACCAGAAAGAGGTGTGGACAGACATGAGGGGTCTGCCAGCCCTGTAATTGCCCCGACCCAAATCCACTGACCTTCTTGGGACCCTTCCAGTGAACCAACCTACCCATCATCCAGGCAGGGCCCTCCGTCTGGGAAGCGCAGACGGCTTCGGGCTGGGAGATCAAAGCCCCGTGGACCTTTCCCCGGAGTTACGAAGGAAAGCAGACTTATTTGGAGAGCAATTAGATTTCACTTTGAATTTTCTTTTCTTTTTTGCCGGTCGAAAAATCGATCACACAGAAGCGGAACTCTGCTTTTCAACTCGGGTTCTGGGTCAGAATAGACCTTGGAGGTCATCTACTCTGACCCCCTGCCTCAAGCAGGAGACCCCGTACCATTTCAGGCAAGTGGCTGTGCAATCTCTTCATAAAAGCCTCCAGTGTTGGGAGAAGCACCCGCCACTTCTGGTGGCCAGCCGTTCCACTGGTTAATTGTCCTCTCTGTCAGTAAGTTTCTGCTTAATTCCAGGTTGCTTCTCTCCTTGAGCGGTTTCCATCTGTTGCTTCTTGTCCTGCCTTCTGGTGCTCTGGAGAATAAGTTGACCCCCCCCTCTTCTTTGGGGCAGCCCCTCATATATTGGAAGACTGCTATAATAATAATAATAATAATAATAATAATAATAACAACAACAACAACAATAACAACAACAACAGCAGCAGCAGCAGCAGCAGCAGCAGTAGCAGCAACAGCAGCAACAACAATAATAAAAAGTTGGAAGGTACCTTGGAGGTCATCTAGTCCAACCCCCTACTCAGGCAGGAAACTCTATACCATTTCAGACAAATATCATGTCCTGCCCACTAGTCCTTCTTTTCTTTAGCCTGGCCATACCCAAATCCTGCAACCGTGCTTCTTCCTATATTTTAATCTCCAGGCCTTTAATCATCTTAGTTCAGGGGTCTTCAAACTTGGCCCTTTGATAACTTGTGGACTTCAACTCCCAGAATTCCTCAGACAGGCACCCTGGCTGAGGACTTCTGGGAGTTGAAGTCCACAAGTCCTCAAAGGGTCCTAGTTCCCTCACGCTGGCTGAGGAATTCTGGGAGTTGAAGTCCACAAGTCCTCAAAGGGTCATGGTTCCCTCACGCTGGTTGAGGAATTCTGGGAGTTGAAGTCCACAAGTCCTCAAAGGGCCAAGTTTGAAGACCCCTATCTTATTTGCTTTTCTCTGCACTTTTTCCAAAGTCTCTGAAGAATGAACAATTTCCAGTTTTGAGAATGAGGTTGCCCCCCCCCCCAAGCCCTGCCTGGGTTTCCCTCCCATCAATCTGGCCTCTTGGACTGATCCAATCTCAACACTCCCCCCCATCCCTATGGATTGGTACACCCCCAACCACCCAAAAGAGAAATTCCTAGCAGAACCGCAGAGGGATGCGCAGCAATGGCGCCACCTGGAGACCGCAGAGGGTAAAGCCAAGAGCCCTTCCAGGTGCTTTGGAAAAACTTTGCCAGACTTTGACCTAAATAAACATTTTAATTGTCAACCTTCCTTTTTATTCCCTCCCTGCCCGGGAGGATTTTCATCCTGTGATGGATAGTTTGCAGCTTTTAAATTAAAAAAAAATACATATTCGCCCTCTCCTTCAAACCCAAAATACAGGGTGCAAATGGTGAACAGGCTTGTAATTAATTTTTTTTTTGGAGTGGTTTCATGGATGCATCCGTGTTTTTCTCCTGTAGTCGATCACTGTCTCCCTCCGGGACACCCTTTCATCCTCCTTGAGATTTCCTGTGTGGATCCCATCCAATCCCTAACCAGTTCTGGCTCTACTTAGCTGCCAAGACGTTGCCCAGTTGGTTTTGCCTCCTACTGACTATAATTCATATTTTTTTAAAAAGAATTTCTGAATGCTCAATTCAGTCTTGGACAAACTCCTGAAATTTCCAGGAAGATGATGATGATGATGATGATGATGATGATGATGATGATGATGATAATAATAATAATAATAATAATAATAATAATAATAATAATAATAGTAAGGCACTACCTTGACATGGTTGTGGGGCTTGTGTACTCTGAGGAAGATGAGAGCTATGCCAGAGGTTCAACCATACTGGACAGGTCTCATCAGAGGAGTCAGACAAAGAGTGTCTCTCCCATAAAAAATATGGTGAGACGTAAATTTCAGAATGCCATACCGGCTCGGACGTCGCCCGGGTTAACAAGGTCCGCACTAGATATTGGAGTTCCTGGATATCTGGTGAAAAATGGGTTACAGGACTCAGGACTGTTGGCTGAGCAACCAGGGCCAGCAGCTGCAGAACTACTGGAAGAAAAGGTGTTTACCCGTCGCAGATACACAGTGATGGAAAACAAAGAAATAATGATCTGTTACTACAGATCAAGTCCAACAAGACGAGGATATCTAAAACGAATGCCATTCTGGAAAGAACAACATCCAGAATCAGAAATAACAGAACAGAGACTAGCAGATCAACGCCGATTTATAACACGAAATAAAGTATTTACAGAAACAGAATTGGACGAACTGCAAAGGTTTACCCAGGGCAAAGAAATCAAAGCCTTACAAGAAGTAATTCAGAATGTAGAGGCAAACCAGGGGGAGTTGGCAGTGAAAGAATCCAGTAGAGATATACAACTGTTCTCATTTGGAAACCAGGCACCTCTTCCTCAGGAAGAACAAAACCCTCTAACTAAAGAAATAAAAGAATTGAAACAAAGAATAACTGAGCATCTAGAACAGCACAAAAACAACAGAATAAGGCTGCCTGCATTGAAGCTTGTTCCAAAGAAACAGCTAGCACAAGCATTAAAAGATGCAAATACTGCAATAGCAAGTATAAGCACCAATTCACTGCAAGAAACAAACCAACTAATGTACAGCACAGCTGCAGTTATAACAGAATACCTGGGATGTAAAATCAACAAAAAAGAAAAACAAACAAACAGTGCACCAGAAAAATGGAAGGTTAGACTAGAAAATAAGATCAGCAAGTTAAGATCACATGCAAGCAAGCTAGAACAGATGAAAGAAAAGAAGCTGAAGAACAAGAAGACCAAAGAATACCTAATCAAGAAATACCACTTAGAAACAAGGAAGATCAAGGAAGCACTGGAAATAATAAAGCAACAAATAACAGCTATAGCCAGGAAAATCAGTAGATATGAAGCTCGAATTGCAAACTATAGGCAGAACCTCCAATTTCAATCCAATCAGAAACGTTTCTACCAATCCATCAATGGAGAAACTGCAAGGAATCAGTCAGTACCTGACAAGGAAGAAACAGTGCAGTTCTGGAAGCAGATATGGGATAACCCAAAGAAATACAACAAGGATGCGGCTTGGTTAAAAGAGGTGGATGCAAATAAAACAGAAGTTGAAATGAAAGAACTAGTAATAACAACAAAAATGGTAGAAAAAAGAGCAAAGAAAATCAAAAATTGGTCAGCACCAGGTGAAGATGAACTGCATGGGTTTTGGTTGAAACATCTAACTGTTATACACCCACTCATTGCCAAGCAGTTCAACAATATACTACAAGGAGGAGAAATTGAAAAGTGGCTAACAACTGGGAAAACCTACCTAATAATGAAAAATCCAGCAAAAGGGGCAACACCAGGTAACTACAGGCCAATTACCTGCTTACCAACAACTTTCAAATTACTAACTGGTGTAGTAGCTGATGCAGTGCAACAGCATCTAGTTGAAAACAATCTCTTTCCACCTGAGCAGAAAGGAAACCGCCCCAATAGCAGAGGAACAAAAGATCAACTCCTAATAGACAAAATGATCTTGGAAAACTGCAAGAGAAGGAAGACCAACCTGAATGTGGCATGGATTGACTACAAAAAGGCATTTGACTCTCTGCCACATGATTGGATAATCAAGTGCCTAGAAATAACAGGAGTCAGTAGAAACATCAGAAAATTTGTGCAAAGATCGATGGCACAATGGAAGACACAGTTGCAGATCAATGGTGAGAGGCTGGGAGAGGTTAATATCAAGAGAGGAATATTTCAAGGAGATTCATTATCACCATTACTATTTGTTATTGCACTGTTTCCTCTGTCAACAATACTGAATAACTCAGGACATGGCTATCAAACATCAAAAACATCTGCCAGACTATCCCACCTCCTTTACATGGATGATCTGAAGCTGTATGGAAAAACATCATCTGAAATAGAATCGCTGCTCAACACTGTCCGTATATATAGCCAAGATATTGTAATGGAGTTTGGCTTGGACAAATGTGCCACACTTACTATCAAACAAGGAAAAATAGTGAAAACTGAAGGAATCAAGATGCCCCACGAAAATAACATTAAGAGTCTGGATGAGGAAGAGTACTACAAATACTTGGGTATCCTTCAAGCTGACAACATCAAGCACACTGAAGTCAAGAAAAAGATTAGAGGTGAATACATCAAGAGAGTGAAGAAGATCTTAAAATCCAAACTCAATGGAGGAAATACCATAAAGGCAATCAACACCTGGGCAATCCCAGTCATTAGGTACACAGCTGGAATAGTGGACTGGACTCAAGCAGAACTAAAAGCAATGGATAGGCAGACCAGAAAAATAATGACAATGAATCACGCCCTTCATCCACGCAGTGACATTGATAGACTTTATCTACCAAGGCAAATAGGTGGGCGTGGAATGCTACAAGTACATCAGATAGTTGAAGAAGAAAAAATGACTTTGGAAGAATATCTGAAGAACAATGATGAAGATGCATTGAAATTAGTATATCAGGAAGGCTTACTAACTACTGGAGAGACCAAACTGGCCTACAAGAAAGACCAAATGAAGAACAGAATAGAGGCATGGGAAGACAAAGCACTACATGCCAATACATGAAAAAAATAGCTGGAAAGCAGATAATAATAAAACCTGGCAATGGCTAAGAGCAGGAAAATTGAAGAAAGAGACCGAGGGACTAATTCTGGCTGCACAAGACCAAGCCTTAAGGACAAATGCATACAAAGTCAAAATTGAGAAGACAGCAACAGACAGTAAGTGCCGCCTATGCAAAGAAGCTGAAGAAACAGTGGACCACCTGGTAAGCTGTTGCAAGAAGATTGCACAGACTGACTACAAGCAGCGGCATGACAAAGTAGCAACAATGGTGCATTGGAAGATCTGCAAAAAATATCATTTGCCTGTAAGCAAAAACTGGTGGGATCATAAAATAGAGAAAGTCATAGAAAATGATAAAATTAAACTGCTCTGGGACTTCAGAATTCAAACAGACAAGCACCTGCAACATAACACCCAGACTTAACAATTGTCGATAAGAAAGACAAAAAAGTCTGGATAGTGGACGTGGCAGTGCCTGGAGATAGCAGAATAGAAGAGAAAGAACTGGAGAAGATAACAAAATACAAAGACCTACAAATAGAAATAGAAAGACTGTGGAAAAAGCAAGCAAGGGTAGTACCAATAGTCATAGGCTCCTTGGGCGCAATCCCAAAACAACTGGAGCACCACTTGAACACCATTGGCATTGACAAATTTGCTATTAGTCCATTGCAAAAGGCGGCCTTATTAGGAACTGCTTCCATCCTGCGACGATACCTGTAATACCATCAAACATCCACATCTGCCTATCCCAGGTCCTGGGTAAGGACTCGATAGGTAGACAAAATGCCAAATCCAGTTTGAACATCTGGCTGACTGTGCGATGAATGATAATAAAAATAATACATAACACCCCAGACTTAACAATTGTCGATAAGAAAGACAAAAAAGTCTGGATAGTGGATGTGGCAGTGCCTAGAGACAGCAAAATAGACGAGAAAGAACTGGAGAAGATAACAAAATACAAAGACCTACAAATAGAAATAGAAAGACTGTGGCAAAAGCAAGCAAGGGTAGTACCAATAGTCGTAGGCTCTTTGGGCGCAATCCCAAAACAACTGGAGCACCACTTGAACACCATCGGCATTGACAAATTCACCATTAGTCAGTTGCAAAAGGCGGCCTTGCTAGGAACTGCTTCCACCCTGCCACGATACCTGTAATACCATCAAACATCCACATCTGCCTATCCCAGGTCCTGGGTAAGGACTCGATAGGTAGGCAAAATGCCAAATCCAGTCTGACCATCTGGCTGACTGTGAGATGAATAATAATAATAATAATAATAATAATAATAATAATAATAATAATAATAATAATAATAATAATGTTGGAAGGGACTTTGGAGGTCATCAAGTCCAACCCCCTGCTCAGGCAGGTAACCCTATACCATTTCGAACAAATGGCCGTCCAGTTTCTTCTTAAAAGCTTCCACTGTTGGAGCATTCACCGCTTCTGGAGGCAGGTTGTTCCACTGACTAATTGTTCTCACTGTCAGGAAGTTTCTCCTTAGTTCTAGGTTGCTTCTCTCCTTGATGAGTTTCCACCTGCTGCTTCTTGTCCTGCCTTCAGGCGCTTTGGAAAATAGCTTGACTGCCTTTTCTTTGGGGCAGCCCCTGAGATATTGGAAGACTGCTATCCTGTCCCCCCTTGTCCTTCTCTTCATTAAACTAGACATCCCCAATTCCAGCAACCATTCCTTGTATGTTTTAGCCTCCAGTCCCCTGATCATCTTTTGTGCTCTTCTCTGCACTCTTTCTCAGCATCTTTTTTACATCGTGGTGACCAAATCTGGATGCCGCATTCCAAGTGTGGCCTTACCAAGGCCTTGTAAAGTGGTATTAACACTTCACCTGATCTTGATTCTATCCCTCTGTTAATGCAGCCCAGCGCTGTGTTGGCCTTTTTGGCAGCTGCAGCACACTGCTGGCTCATATTAAGGTGATTGTCCACTAGGACTCCGAGATCCCTCTCACAATTGCTACTATTGAGCCAGGTACCCCCTATACTATACCTGTACATTTGGTTTTTCTTGCCTAAATGTAGAACCTTGCTTTTTTCACCATTGAGGTTCCAACTTAGGAATCTAGGCAGCATCCATAGCTGGAGAATATAGATTGGAAATTTATTGCCATGATGACCAAATCCCTTATATTTTAATTTTCTGCACAGAATGCAGGTAACCTTCAACTTATGCCGAGGATTCAAAGTCACGATGGCAGTGAAAAAAAGTGATTTATCACCGGTCCTCACACTTACGACGGTGGCAACATCCTCATGGTCACGGGATCAAAATGTGGCCACTTGGCAAGCGGCATTTTATGACTCTTGCAGTGGGCCAGGATAAGGCGGTTCACCATTTGGGACTGTCCCAAAGGTGGAAAGGTGGATTCACTTAACGATCGTGTGATTCGCTTAGTGACGGCCGTGACTCACTTAACCCTAGCAAAAAAAAGGGTTTATAAAATCAGTCCTGGCTCACTTAAAAACTGCTTTGCTTAGACCAGGGGTCTTCAAACTTGGCCCTTTGATGACTTGTGGACTTCAAGTCCCAGAATTCCTCAGTCATTTTAAAACCGTGGGGACTTCAACTCCCAGAATTCCCAGTGTCTGGCAGAGGAATTCTGGGAGTTGAAGTCCACCAGTCATCAAAGGGCCAAGTTCAAAGACCCCTGCTTCTGGACTTCAACTCCCAGAATTCCTCAGGCACAAGTCATCAAAGGGCCATGGTTCCCTCACGCTGGCTGAGGAATTCTGGGAGTTGAAGTCCATCAGTCATCAAAGGGCCAAGTTTGAAGACCCCTGCTTATGGACTTCAACTCCCAAAATTCCCAGTGTCTGGCTGAGGAATTCTGGGAGTTGAAGTCCACAAGTCATCAAAGGGCCAGGTTTGAAGGCCCCTGGCTTAGCCACAGAAATTCTGCTTCCAATTCTAGTCTTTAAGTTGAGGATTGCCTGTAATCACTCTGTTTTCTCTTTCTAAGTTCAGGATCCAAAAAGATCTCGGCAGAACTCGAACGAGGAGCCCTGGGCAACCCCATGAAATTTGACGTGGAGAAAAACCAGGTTTTACACCTAGGCAGGAAAAAAAACCAAAAGGGCAAGTAAAGATATAGCGTTTCCTGGCTGAGCAGCGGGTTGGACTAGATGACCCCCCAAGGTCCCTTCCAAGAATAATTATTATGAAATAGGCGGTATATTTTCTCCATTTATTTTCCTCCGGTGCTTTTCAAGAAGCAACGCTGTTGAGTTTTAACCGGCACACCGAAGAAAGAAAGCATGCCATTTTAGATCTAAGACACACTTTTATTTCATATATATATATATATATATATATATATATATTTGAGAGGAAGTCAAAAAGAAAAAGAAAGGAAGAAAGGAAAGAAGGAAGGAAGTCAAAAAGAAAGAAAAGAAAGAAAGGAAAGAAATAAGAGAAAGAAGGGAAAGGAAAAAGAAAGAAAGAAGAAGGAAGGAAGGAAGGAAAATAGATGAAAGGAAAATAGATGGGAATGAGAAGAAGGAAGAAGGAAGGAAGGAAGGAAGGAAGGAAGGAAGGAAGGAAGGAAGGAAGGAAAGAAGGAAGGAAAGAGGATGGAAAGAAAGAGACCATTTTTAAGCTGCCCTTAATTACAAAAAACGGTGTAATTCTTTTCTCGCAACGGTGAAATCCCACATTCAAGTTGCGACGTAGGTGTTTCATTTCGAAAACGTTGTGCAAAACAGGCACCCAATTGTCAAAGTCGCGGGCCGTTAACGCAACGCCACACGGCTTTAAGTAATTGGACGAGCTTAAAAAAAAAATACACTTCCAGGCCAGGTGCCTGACCGAGAATCTGGCCAACACAATGTCAGTGTGTTGTCCACAAACAACAATACACACAAATGTTTTGTCTTTGAAGCGGGAGGCTGGAACCAGGAAGAGTCGATTTTTCGTCTTGACGTGACTCGGACTCTGAAGCCAGACTAAAAGCACGAGTCGATGTTCTCCTGCTTGCCGCCAAGTCCCATCATCCTTGGCCAGCTTAGGTTGCTTCTCTCTTTCAAGTCCTCGACTTACGACGGCCGAGTCCCAAATTCCTGTTGTTAAGTGAGACCTTTGTTGAGTGAATTTGGCCCACCCGTTTTATGACCTTTCTACAACCCGGTTTGTTAAGAGAATCACTGCGGTTGATAAGTTAGTAAGTTGGTTGTTGAGTGAAACTTTGCCCGTCAAAACTGGGATCTCGGGACACAGCGACGGTCGTAAGTACGAGTCGGTGGCCAAGCAGAGCTGAATTTGGATCAGGTGACCGGGGGGATGATGCAAAGGTTATAAAGCATGGGAGTTGAATTCTGGGAATTGAAGTCGTCAAGTCTTAAAGTGACTGAGGAATTCTGGGAGTTGAAGTCCACCCGTCTTAAAGTGACTGAGGAATTCTGGGAGTTGAAGTTTACCCGTCTTAAAGTGACTAAGGAATTCTGGGAGTTGAAGTTCACCCGTCTTAAAGTGACTGAGGAGTTCTGGGAGTTGAAGTCTACAGGTCTTAAAGTGACTGAGGAATTCTGGGAGTTGAAGTCCACCAGTCTTAAAGTGACTGGGGAATTCTGGGAATTGAAGTCCACCAGTCTTAAAGTGACTGAGGAATTCTGGGAATTGAAGTCCACCAGTCTTAAAGTGACTGAGGAAACTGGGAGTTGAAGTCCACCAATCTTAAAGTGACTGAGGAATTCTGGGAGTTGAAGTCCACCCGTTTTAAAGTGACTGAGGAATTCTGGGAGTTGAAGTCCACCAGTCTTAAAGTGACTGAGGAATTCTGGGAGTTGACGTCCACCAGTCTTAAAGTGACTGAGGAATTCTGGGAGATGAAGTCCCCAAGTCTTAAATTGGCTGAGGAATTCTGGGAGTTGAAGTCTACAGGTCTTAAAGTGACTGAGGAATTCTGGGAGTTGAAGTCTACAAGTCTTAAAGTGACTGAGGAATTCTGGGAGTTGAAGTCTACAAGTCTTAAAGTGACTGAGGAATTCTGGAAGTCCCCAACTCTTAAAGTTGCCATGTTGGGAGACCCCTTGGTCTAGTCCGATGAAGAGTAGGACCAGAGGTGACATAACGGTCTTCCAACATTTGAGGGGCTGCCCCAAAGAAGAGGGGGTCAAGCTATTCTCCAAAGCGCCTGAAAGCAGGACAAGAAGCAACGGGTGGAAACTAATCAAGGAGAGAAGCAACATGGAACTAAGGAGAACCTTCGTAATGGTGAGGACAATGAACCAGTGGAACCACCTGCCACAAGAAGTTGTGAATGCTCCATCCCTGGAGGGTTTGAAGAAGAGACTGGACAGCCATAGGATAAGGAGTCATGCTCGAGCAGGGGGGTGGACTAGAAGACCTCCAAGGTCCCTTCCAACTCTGTCGTTCCTGAAAGGATCCTGCTGGATGGGCCAATCAGGTGAGGCTAGATGGAGACACTGTTCTCCACGCAGGTGGGGTTGAGGTAATCGTAGGGGAGAGCCAGCGCCTGGTTCCGCTGGTTGATCTGCTCGGAAATGTCCGCCAGGCGTGTCCGAAAAGCCTGCATGAGTCTTTTGGGCTCCTCTTCCACAAAATGGCGGTCTGGGTAGAAGCCCAGCGGTCTCTGGGAGGGAGGGAAGCGGAGAAACGCGTCAGCAGCACAACACACGCCCTGAAGGACGGCCTGTGCTCCCTTCGCATTTCCTAGACAAAAACTAGAATAATGTCTCTTGATCTACGGATGAGTAAAAAAGGGATTCCAGGTGAGAGACCCTTAAAAAGACCCTTAAAAGGGGTCTCTTTCTCTTTCTTTCCTTCCTCCTTCCTTCTTTCCTTCCTTCCTTTTCCTCCCTCTTTCCTTCTTCTCATTCCCATTGCCTTCCTTTCGTCTGTTTTCCTTCCGTCCATCCTTCTTCTTTTCTTTTTTCCTTTCTTTCCTTTCTTTCCTCCTTCCTTCTTTCTGTTTTCTTTCTTTCTTTTTGACTTCCTTCCTTCCTTTCTTTCTTTTTGACTTCCTCTCTTTTTCTTTCTTTCTTTTTCTTTCCTTCCTTCCTTCTCTTTCTTTGTTTTTTCTTACTTTTTGACTTCCTTTCTTTCTCTTTCTTTCTTTCTGACTTCCTCTCTTTTTTTTCTTTCTTTCTTTCTCTTTCTTTCTTTCCTTCCTTATCTTCTTTCTTTCCTTCCTTCCTTCTTCCCTTCCTTTCTACTTTTTCTTTTTCCTTCTTTCCTTCTTTCATTCCTTTCTTTCTTCCTTTCTTTTCTTTCTCTTTTATTTCTTTCTCTTTCCCTTTCCTTCCTCTCTTTCTTTCCTTTCTACTTTCCCTTTCTTTTTTCTTTCTTCTTTCTTTCTTTCTCTCTCTCTGTGTCTCTCTCCTTCCTTCCTTCCTTCCTTCCTTCCTTCCTTCCTTCCTTCCTTCCTTCCTTCCTTCCTTTGTCTCTGTGTGTGTCTCTCTCTCCTTCCTTCCTTCCTTCCTTCCTTCCTTCCTTCCTTCCTTCCTTCCTTCCTTCCTTCCTCCCTCCCTCCCTCCCTCCCTCTCTCTATCTCTCTCTCTTTCTCTCTTTCTTTCACATAACTGGACACACAAGGAATTTGTCTCCGTTGCATAAGCTCTCAGCATACATACAAACAACGACGTGATATCTTGAAATCTCTTCCCTTCTCCATCGGGTTCCTTGCTACTTACCCGATCCCCGGCTTCCTTGCTCAGGAGCCAGAGGGAAGAGAGGGCAATGCAAGTAATGTTGACTGGCGGGAGGGTCCTGAGGATGCTCTCCAGAGAGGCAGAGCCCTTCACGCTGGGCGGGGGTCTCCTCATGGTTGGGGGGACGTTTGGCATCCAAGCCCCGAAGTCGAACTGAGAACGAGAGAGAGGGCAGGTGAGCAGACCTCAGAAACGCCCAGCCTGCGCGATAAGGGCAGATTTCCCCATAAACATGGCAAAGTTCAGAGGCCAAATTGCAAGATAATAATAATAAAGTTGGAAGGGACCTTGGAGGTCATCTAGCCCAACCCCCTGCTCAGGCAGGAAACCCTATCCCATTTCAGACAAATGGCTGTCAAGTCTCTTCTTTAAAACTTCCAGGGTTGGAGCATTCACCGCTTCTGGAGGCAGGTGGTTCCCCTGGTTAATTGTTCTCACTGTCAGGAAGTTTCTCCTTAGTTCTAGGTTGCTTTTCTCCTTGATTAGTTTCCATCCGTTGCTTCTTGTCCTGCCTTCAGCTGCTTTGGAGAATAGCTTGATTCCCCCTTCTTTGGGGCAGCCCCTGAGATACTATAACACTGCTATCATGTCCCCCCTCATCTTTCTTTTCATTAAACTAGATATACCCAATTCTAGCAGCCATTCCTTGTATGTTTTAGCCTCCAGTCCCCTTATCACCTTTGTTGCTCTTCTCTGCACTCTTTCTAGAGCAGTGGTTCTCAACCTTTTTAATGCCGTGAACCCCCAACCGGTTGTAAGTCGAGGACTACTCAACCGGTCGTAAGTCGAGGACTACTCAACTGGTGCAGCACCGTTTGCAGAATGGGACTTTTGGCGGGCTCAGCAGGGCAGAGACAGCCTGGACAATTCCTATTGGCTTTTGAAAGCCAATAGAATTAGACTCTATTCAAGAGAGTCTATTCTATTGGCTTTCAAAAGCCAATAGAATAAAAGGGAGGAGCACAGCTAAGGAAAAGGGGGAAAAATGGCGGACTGTGTTGTTTGGCGACCCCCGTGAAATGGTCGTTCGACCCCAAATGGGGTCCCGACCCACAGGTTGAGAACCACTGTTCTAGAGCAGTGGTTCTCAACCTGTGGGTCGGGACCCCATTTGGGGTCGAACCACCATTTCACGAGGTTCGCCAAACCACGCTGTCCGCCATTTTTTCCCCTTTTCCCTAGCTGTCCTACTCCCTGTTATTGGTGGCCACACCCACTTGGGGGTCATCACAACATGGGGAACTGTATTATGAGGTCACGGCATTAGAAAGGTTGAGAACCACTGTTCTAGAGTCTCAGCATCTTTTTTACATCGTGGAGACCAAAACTGGATGCAGGATTCCAAGTGTGGCCTTACCACAGATATTACACTGGATAGGCTTTCTCTGTTATGAATGAAGGTTGTTAATGAAATTCGGGGCCCACACGCTCCAGGTTGGAGACCCCAAAGGAAGGGGAGAGGGTTGAAAACCGTCCAGACTTAGACGCGATAATAGCGGGAGGAGAACATCTTTGTAGCTCAGGGTTGAATTATGGAGTCCTCGGTGCTGTCTGAGCTGGGTTGTTTTCTTGCATAGGTTTCATGATCTGCAAGTAGTCCAGTATTTGAGGGGCTGCCCCAAAGAAGAGGCAGTCAAGCTATTCTCCAAAGCGCCTGAAGGCAGGACAAGAAGCAACGGAGGGAAACTAACCAAAGAGAGAAGCAACCTGGAATTAAGGAGAAATTTTCTGACACTTAGAACAATGAATCAGTAGAACAACCTGCCTCCAGAAGTTGTGAATGCTCCAACACTGGAAGTTTTGAAGAAGAGACTGGACAACCATTTGTCTGAAATGGTCTAGGGCAGTGGTTCTCCACCTGTGGGTCGGGACCCCATTTGGGGTCGAACGACCATTTCACGGGGGTCGCCAAACAACGCAGTCCACCATTTTTTCCCCTTTTCCTTAGCTGTGCTACTCCCTTTTATTCTATTGGCTTTTGAAAGCCAATAGAATAGACTCTCTTGAATAGAGTCTAATTCTATTGGCTTTCCAAAGCCAATAGGAATTGTCCAGGCTGTCTCTACCCGGCTGAGCCCGCCAAAAGCCCCATTCTGCAAACGGTGCTGCGCCAGTTGAGCAGTCCTCGACTTACGACCGGTTGAGTAGTCCTCGACTTACGACCGGTTGGGGGGTCGCGACATTAAAAAGGTTGAGAACCACTGGTCTAGAGTGTCCTGCCTGAGCAGGGGGTTCGACTAGATGACCTCCACGGTCCCTTCCAGCTCCGTTATTCTGTGATTTTATTATCTAGGGTAGGCTGGTTCTCACCTGCCCGCTGTTGACCGCAGCATGTTGAACCGAACAGGTAAAAATGACCATGGTCAAGAATTTGGTGAGCTCCTGCGCAGTGGTCAGTGACGAGGGAGCCTCTGACGCCTTTTGGCTCTGGAACGCTTCCTTGAAGATCTCCCGAATCCAGGCCTGCAGCTCGGAGTCACCTCGGATCCGGCTGTCATTCCAGTAGTAATATCGGACGAAGCCCGCCACGAAGCTGGAAGACAAGGAGACGAGTTGGGGAGGGGTCTTCTAAGACAAGCTTTCCACCAAGTCGGAGAGTCCCTCAGATATGTTGGGTTTTCAGGGAAAAAAACACAAAGGTCCACGTTCAGGTTTCGAGCGAGACCTGGGTCAAAAAAACAGCCATGGTGAGAGGGACCTCAGAGTCCTAGTGGACGATCGCTTGACCGTGAGCCAGCCGCGTGCGGCAGCAGCCAAAAAAGCCAACACAATCCTGGGTGGTATTAAACAGAGGCAGAGAATCAAGATCACGCAAAGTATTAGCACCGCTTTGTAAAACCCTAGTGAGGCCAGACCTGGGATACTGGAGCCAGTTTTGGTCAGCATAACCCAAAAAAGAGGTTGAGAGTTTGGAAAAAAAAAATTCAGAGAAGAGCAACGAAGATGATCCAAGGCCTGGAGACTAAAAGGTCTAGAGACCAAAACGTATGAAGAACGGCTACAGGATTTGGGTTCGGCTAGTTCTAGAGACAAGAAGGACTAGGGGAGACAGGATAACAGTCTTCCAGTATTTGGGGGGCTGCCCCAAAGAAGGGGGGGTCAACTTATTTTCCAAAGGAGCTGAAAGTTCCAGTATACTATTCTAATTCTTTTCTAATTCTAATTCTAATTCCAATTCTATTCTTATTCTTATTCTATTCTGTTCTATTCCATTCCATTCCATTCCATATTCCATTCTATCTCTTATTCTGTTCTGTTCTGTTCTGTTCTATTCCATTCCATTCCATATTCCATTCTATCTCTTATTCTACTCTTTCCATATTCTATTCTTTCCATATTCTATTCTATTCTATTCTATTCTATTCTATTCTATTCTATTCTATTCTATTCTATTCTATTCTATTCTTTCCATATTCTATTCTATTCTATTCCATTCCATTCCATTCCATATTCCATTCTATTTCTTATTCTACTCTTTCCATATTCTATTCTTTCCATATTCTATTCTATTCTATTCTATTCTATTCTATTCTATTCTATTCTATTCTATTCTATTCTATTCTATTCTGTTCTGTTCTGTTCTGTTGTTCTGTTCTGTTCTGTTCTATTCCATTCCATTCCATATTCCATTCTATCTCTTATTCTACTCTTTCCATATTCTACTCTTTCCATATTCTATTCTTATTCTTATTCTATTCTATTCTATTCTATTCTATTCTATTCTATTCTATTCCATTCCATTCCATATTCCATTCCATATTCCATTCTATCTCTTATTCTACTCTTTCCATATTCTATTCTTATTCTTATTCTTATTCTTATTCTTATTCTATTCTATTCTATTCTATTCTATTCTATTCTATTCTATTCTATTCTATTCTATTCTATTCTATTCCATTCCATTCCATTCCATTCTATCTGGGACTTCAGCGAGTGTCCAACCCAAGGCCAGGCCCCACCTCTCTATGGCAGCCCACAGCGTGCTGGCGTCATCTCGGTAATAATAGTTGGCGACAGACTCCACTCCACGGGCCTTGATGTCCTCCGGCAGGCAGAGGGAAGAGTAAGTCAGCTGCTCCACTCCTCTGCTCACCAAGGGGCCGATGCCTTCGAATCCAGCCGAGGTGGCCTGGAAGACGGAGAAGGCGGGAGTCATGACCCCAAATCTCTGCTGTTTTAAGCAAGATGGCGGCTAAGCGAGTTTTATGCTATAGTTGTGTATACCGAATCATTGCAGCGGTTAAGCGACTCACGCAGTCGTTAAGCGAAACTGGAGTGCCCCCCCCCACTTGACTTTGCTTGTCAAAAGATTGCCAAAGTGAAGCACCTGACCGTGGGACGCTACGACCGTCATAAATACTGGCGTGTCGGTTGCCAAGCCCCTGAACTTGGATCACAGGATCGTTGGGAATGCTTGATGGTGGTTAAGTGTAGGGACCAGTTCTAAGTCATTATGTCTACCTATCTACCTGCCGGCCAGATCTATCTGCCTGTCTGTCTGTCAGTCTGTCTGAACTATTTATCATCTATCTATATCTATAGATCTCCATCTCTCTATCTATCATCTATCTCTATCTCTGTCTCTCTATATGTCTGTCTGTCTGTCTGTCCGTCCATCCATCCATCCATCCATCTATCTATCTATCTATCTATCTATCTATCTATCTATCTATCTATCTATCTATTATCATCTATCTCTCTCTATCTATTATCATCTATATATCTCTACAGTATATCTATCATCTATCTCTATCTATTGCTATCTCTCTGTCTCTCTATTATCATCTATATATCTCTATATACATCTATCATCTATCTGTATCTATAATCCATATATATATATCTATCATCTATCTATATCTCTATCTTATTATCGTCAACATCCCTATATCTCTGTCATCTATCTCTATCTCTGTCTCTCTATCTCTGTCTGTCTGTCTGTCTGTCTGTCTATCTATCTATCTATCTATCTATCTATCTATCTATCTATCTATCTATCTATCTATCTATCTATCTATCTATCTATCATCTATCTCCCTCATTGAGTGGCTCTGGGAGGTTTTACCAGTGCTGTTGTAACTTTGAATTGTTGTTAAATTAAGGAATTAAAGGGAAACTTCCTAACAATGAAGACAATTAACCAATGGAACAGCTTGCCACCAGAAGTTGTGGGTGCTCCATCACTGGAGGTTTTTAGGAAGAGACTGGACAGCCCTTTGTCTGAGATGGTCTAGGCCTGGTCTCCTGCTTGAGCTGGGGGTTGGACCAGAAGATCTCCAAGGTCCCTTCCAGCTGTATTTTGATTGATTGATTGATTGATTGATTGATTGATTGAATGAATGGCTATAAGTCGTGGATTACCTGTGCTTTATTTGAGGCTTACTTTGGCTGGACAGGGGCCTTAATTCTGATTTATATTGTTGCCAAGATGCCTTTCTTTGCAAACATCGCTGTATTCAAATAAACGTTTGACGGAACGCAAAGTTTACTCCAGGCGTCGGCCGCTTGCAGAATCCGTAAAGGGGAGGAACGGCGAGGGGGCAGAGGTGAAAACAGACCAGGTAGAGAAAACTGACCCAGAAAGTCCCCCTTACCTGATCCATCATGCCACCTTTCCTGATCAGCCGTATCCTGGCGAATATGTTGATCTGAAGTGTGTATCTTTGGTGAGGAATCAGGAGCTGCGGAGGACAAGGGGGGGGGGGAAAGCGATTAAGGCCCTCAGTCGTCGCGTCGGAGAAGGTTGGCGGAGACGAAGGAGGTCAACGGAGAGGGCGTTGCAAGGTATCTGACACCCCTTTGGTGTGACCAACAGACCAAATTGCAGAAAGCAGGTGGAGGTACCTGGACCTGCCAGGTGAGCAGAAAACCTGGATTTGCACCTTCAAGAAGTAGAGGGAGATGGGGACAGGGACAAGATCTGAAGGAGATCAATTCCTGAGGAACAAAATGGGGAACGTTCTTGGTGGAACACACTCTCCAGGACAGAAGAACAGAAGAACAGAGTTGGAAGGGGGCCTTGGAGGTCTTCTAGTCCAGCCCCCAGCTCAAGCAGGAGACCCTAACCCATTTCAGACAAATGGTTGTCCAATCTCTTTTATTGTTCTCACTGTCAAGAAAGGACATAGAACAATAGAACAGAACAGAATAGAATAATAATGGTTAGAATAAAATAGAATACAGAATATAGAGTAGAGTATAGAGTAGAGTAGAGTAGAGCAGAGTAGAGTAGAGTAGAGTAGAGTAGAGTAGAGTAGAGTAGAGTAGAGTAGAGTAGAGTAGAGTAGAGTAGAAGCTGGAAGGGACCTTGGAGGTCTTCTAGTCCACCCCCTGCTCAAGCAGGACAACCTACACCATCTCAGACAGGTGAATGTCTAGCCTGTTCTTGAAAATGTGACGGAGCGCCCATGATTTCTGGTGGCAAGCTGTTCCACTGGTTGATTGTCCTCACTGTCAGGAAGTTTCTCCTTAATTCCAGATTGCTTCTCTCTTTGATCAGTTTCCAATCATTGTTTCTCGTCCTTCCCTCTGGTGCTTTGGTGAACAATCTGACCCCCTCTTCTTTGGGGCAGCCCCCCCAAATACTGGAACACTGCTATCATGTCTCCCCTATTTCTTCTTTTCTTTAGACTAGCCAACCCCAAGTCCTGCAGCTGTTCTTCGTACGTTTTAGTCTCCAGGCCTTCTCTGAATTTTTTCCAAACTCTTAACATCTTTTTTGTGATATGGTGACCAAGGTCTTGTCATGGGATGTCAGCCCTTCTGAGTCAAGCTGCCTTTTGCAATTGACCGATGGGGATGTTGTCAACGCCATTCAAGCAAAGCTGCCCTTTGCAATTGACCGATGGGGATGTTGTCAATGGCATTCAAGCAAAGCTGCCTATTGCAATTGACTGATGGGGATTTTGTCAACGCCATTCAAGCAAAGCTGCCCTTTGCAATTGACCAATGGGGATGTTGTCAACGCCATTCAAGCAAAGCTGCCTTTTGCAATTGACCGACGGGGATTTTGTGAACCCCATTCAAGCAAAGCTGCCTTTTGCAATTGACCAATAGGAATATTGTCAATGCCATTCAAGCAAAGCTGCCCTTTGCAATTGACTGATGGGGATGTTGTCAATGGCATTCAAGCAAAGCTGCCTTTTTTAATTGACCGATGGGGATTTGTCAACGCTATTCAAGCAAAGCTGCCCTTTGCAATTGACTGATGGGGATTTTGTCAACGCCATTCAAGCAAAGCTGCCTTTTGCAATTGACCAATAGGGATATTGTCAATGGCATTCAAGCAAAGCTGCCCTTTGCAATTGACTGATGGGGATGTTGTCAATGGCATTCAAGCAAAGCTGCCTTTTTTAATTGACCGATGGGGATTTGTCAACGCCATTCAAGCAAAGCTGCCCTTTGCAATTGACCGATGGGGATGTTGTCAACACCATTCAAGCAAAGCTGCCCTTTGCAATTGACTGATGGGGATTTTGTCAACGCCATTCAAGCAAAGCTGCCTTTTGCAATTGACCAATAGGGATATTGTCAATGGCATTCAAGCAAAGCTGCCCTTTGCAATTGACTGATGGGGATGTTGTCAATGGCATTCAAGCAAAGCTGCCTTTTGCAATTGACCGATGGGGATTTTGTGAACCCCATTCAAGCAAAGCTGCCTTTTGCAATTGACCAATAGGGATATTGTCAATGCCATTCAAGCAAAGTTGCCTATTGCAATTGACTGATGGGGATTTTGTCAACGCCGTTCAAGCAAAGCTGCCTTTTGCAACTGACCAATGGGGATTTTCTCAGTGCTGATGGTGTTCCAGTAATGCTCCAGCTGTTTGGGGATTGGACCCAAAGCACCCAGCATTATTGGCCCTATCTTCTTTTTGCTATGGTTTTATTATTATTATTTGGGTCCACTATTTGAATAGGGTGTCCCTCATTATTTCATATGGGCTAGAAGACCTCCAAGGCCCCTTCCAGCTCTATTCTATATCAATTTGCGCATTAAGCTTAACTGTATTCGTTTTGCGGACTGCCCCCCCCAAAAAACATTGCATTATGGGGAAACTAGAGGAATACAGTGACCATGTTCTTGTTGATCTGCATCAAAACTCATGTGAGACAGCAAACGGTCCATACCTTGAAAACTGGATGACACATGGGGAGGTGCCGTAGCGTAGCCATGGTGAAGATCTCGGCCATCAGGTGGGTCTTCAACAGGTGGGAGATGTTCTGGTGGACGTGGAAATCGGCATTGCGGACCCACATCTTAGCCAAGGTCCAATCCCAGCGTGGGTCACTGGGAAGGAAGATGGGACTCTCAGGACCGGGGACTTGGCTGAGCTGAGAGAAGGAAGAAAAAGAAAGAATGATAAACGTAGAAGAAGAAATGAATGAGCAAGGAGCTGGGTCAAGGTTCAGTGCACCCAACTCTCTCTCTCTCAAGTTGGATTAATCCAAGTTGGTTTACCTGGATTGCTATGGGTACGAGATCCCCAGATGACCTCTGGTGGAAGAGGCACAAAGGCGTGGCCAGATACTGCTGTTCCCCACCGATGAAGTTGGTCGGAATGCCTTGAAGGATCTTGTAGTCCACTAGGAAGATGTTCCCCTTCTTTAAACAGAAGAAAGAAAGAAGTTAGGGAGGTCCTTGCTATCGTTTGGAAAACAGCTAACCTTCACGGTCAAAATGCAGCCCACAAAAGGAGATGTTTATGTGTGTCCACGGGGACAGGATCAGAAGGTCAAAATGCTTCAGAAAGATTAGAAGTCAAAAGGGCGGCTTCAGAAAGATCAGAAAGTCAACATGGGAGCTTCAGAAAGATTAGAAGTCAAGAGGATGGCTTCAGAAAGATCAGGAGGTCAACATAGGAGCTTGAGAAAGATTAGAAGTCAAGAGGATGGCTTCAGAAAGATCAGAACGTCAATATGGGAGCTTGAGAAAGATCAGAAGTCAAGAGGATGGCTTCAGAAAGATCAGAAGGTCAACATGGGAGCTTGAAAGATTAGAAGTCAAGAGGATGGCTTCAGAAAGATCAGAAGGTCAACATGGGAGCTTGAGAAAGATTAGAAGTCAAGAGGATGGCTTCAGAAAGATCAGAAGGTCAATATGGGAGCTTGAGAAAGATCAGAAGTCAAGAGGATGGCTTCAGAAAGATCAGAAGGTCAACATGGGAGCTTGAGAAAGATTAGAAATCAAGAGGATGGCTTTAGAAAGATCAGAAGGTCAAGATAGGGGCTTCAGAAAGATTAGAAGTCAAGAGGATGACTTCAGAAAGATCAGACGGTCAAGATAGGAGCTTCAGAAAAATTAAAAGTCAAGAGGATGACTTCAGAAAGATCAGAAGGTCAACATGGGAGCTTGAGAAAGATTAGAAGCCAAGAGGATGGCTTCAGAAAGATCAGAAGGTTAAGACAATGTCTTCAGGAAGTTCAGAAGTCAAGAGGATGGCTTCAGAAAGATCAGAAGATCAAGACAATGTCTTCAGGAAGTTCAGCAGTCAAGACGATGGCTTCAGAAAATTCAGAAGGTCAAGATGGTAGCTTCGGGAGTGGAGTCGCAACCACCAACTTCCCTCTACTGATTCTCCTTGGAGATTCCCCAGTTCCTTCACTGAGAACGTCCCTAGGTCAACCCAACCTTAGTGAGATTCTTGGGGAAACGCAACTACAGTTCACAAGAGAAAGCTAGAAACCCACACCCGGTCACCTGCATTTCTTCCGAGAGAGTGGTTGATTTTCCAAGGGACTCGGCGACCATTTCCTGGGTCACCGGGAAGTTGGCCGGGATCTCAGTGCACTTCTCAATCACCACAGGGTTGACCCCGTTCAGATACTGGTAGCCAAAAAAGGTGTCTTCTTCCCAGTGATCAGCCACGTACTCTGGAGAGTCAAGAGAGGATCGAAAGCAAAAAGGGGGTGACTTCCTGACGAATCACGAAGTCCGCCCCGAAGATCTTGAAGATCAGATGATGGACTGTGAAGAAGGGAGGACCGACAAGTTGGACCAGGTCCCTTCCAACGCTGTTATTCTATTAGTAAGCCAAAGTTGCAGTGTTACAACTATCTGTCCTTTCACCACGTCCAAGATGGCCACCTTACTTTTCTAATACTAGGACCAGGCTCTGCACGTCCATTTTATCTCGGATGAATTCTGGGATTTTGTCAGTGTCACGTAGAAAAAGAGCAGGCCGAGCTGGAGGTGGAATTAAGGGCGTCATGAGCTTAGAATCATTAGTTGCCGCAAATGGTTCACCTCCAGCTCCTGAATTCTGTTGACCCTCATTGGGCTCCAATTTAACATTCAACTTTAATTGATTTAGATGCTTGGGCATAAGCTTGAGTCAACTAAAGTTCAATATTCAATAGTTTAATGTTTTCCACAGTGGTTGGGGGATTCTGGGAGTTGAAGTCCACCCGTCTTAAAGCAGGCTGGCTGAGGGATTCTGGGAGTTGAAGTCCACCTGTCTTAAAGCAGTCTGGCTGAGGGATTCTGGGAGTTGAAGTCCACCCATCTTAAAGCAGGCTGACTTTGGAATTCTGGGAGTTGAAGTCCACCCATCTTAAAGCATGATTGGCTAGAGAATTCTGGGAGTTGAAATCCACCCCTCTTAAAGCAGACTGACTTTGGAATTCTGGGAGTTGAAGTCCACCCCTTTTAAAGCAGGCTGGCTGAGGGATTCTGGGAGTTGAAGTCCACCCATCTTAAAGCAGGCAGGCTGGGGAATTCTGGGAGTTGAAGTCCACCCCTCTTAAAGCAGGCTGACTTTGGAATTCTGGGAGTTGACGTCCACCTGTCTTAAAGCAGTCTGGCTGAGGGATTCTGGGAGCTGAAGTCCACCCCTCTTAAAGCAGGCTGACTTTGGAATTCTGGGAGTTGAAGTCCACCCCTCTTAAAGCAGGCTGGCTGAGGGATTCTGGGAGTTGAAGTCCACCTCTTAAAGCAGGCTGACTTTGGAATTCTGGGAGTTGAAGCTTAAAGCAGGGATTCTGGGAGTTGAAGTCCACCTGTCTTAAAGCAGGCTGACTTTGGAATTCTGGGAGTTGAAGTCCATCTTAAAGCATGGCTGGCTGGGGAATTCTGGGAGCGGAAATCCACCCACCTTTGAAGCCCCTCAATTCTGGAGCTCCGCGTTCTCTACATGGCCCCCGTGTTTCTTCCACGCATTTTAGCCACTCCCTGTATCCGTGGACATCCCGTATTTTTCCTTCGTTGCCCTCCTCCTCCTCGGATACCAACCTGAAACCAAAGTCTTGTTGAACCAGAAAATCTTGCGGATGTGCTCAAGTTTTTTCCAGGATTCCTGGTAGTTCATTAAGCCTTTTAGCCTGAACTCCAGCCGCCTGAGGATCGAAAGAGAAAGGGAGACGGAGTGAATCCGGGTCGCCCTTCATGTCGCCAGATCCGGGCGAACCGTTTTTTTCTTCAGCAAGGAGGAAGTAAGGGTAAGTGCAAAGGCTTCCCCTGTCGGCCTTGGTGGGAGAAGTCTGGGTGATTCTTTCTTTAGGCCTACGGGAGCCACAGGTATATAAAGAGAGAGCAAACCTCACCCTCCCTTCTAGCACTGATCACGTTCCCTAGTTGGGTCATGAAATGTCTGCGAGGAAAACCACCAAGCTCAGCGAGCAGCAAGATGTCCACAGCAATTCTCCTCCTCCTCCTCCTCCTCCTCCTACTCCTCCTCCTCCTCCTCCTCCTCCTCCTCCTCCCTCCATAAACCCCACTCCCTTCTAGCACTGATGATGTTCCCTAGTTGGGTCATGAAACATCTGCAAGAAATCAGCCAAGCTCAGAGAGCACCAAGGACCCCACAGTCGTCGTTGTCCTCCTCCTCTTCCTCTTCCTCCTCCTCCTCCTCCTCCTCCTCCTCCTCCTCCTCCTCCTCCTCCTCCTCCTCCTCCTCCTCCTCCTCCTCCTCCTCTCCCCTGCAAACTCTTCTAGCACTGATGATGTTCCCTAGTTGGGTCATGAAACGTCTGCAAGAAATCAGCTAAGCTCAGAGAGCACCAAGGACCCCACAGTCGTCGTCGTCCTCCTCCTCCTCCTCCTCTTCTTCCTCCTCCTCCTCCTCCTCCTCCTCCCTTCTAGCACTGATGACGTCCCCTTGTTGGGTCATGAAACGTCTGCAAGGAAACCAGCCAGCTCAGAGAGCACCAAGGACCCCATAGTCCTCCCTCCCTCCCTCCCTCCCTCCCTCCCTCCCTCCTTCCTTCCTTCCTTCCTTCCTTCCTTCCTTCCTTCCTTCCATCCATCCTTCTAGCTCTGATAATATTACCTAGTTGGGTCATGAAACGTCTGCAAGGAGACCAGCCAGCTCAGAGAGCACCAGGGACCTCACCTCCTCCTCTTCCTCCTCCCCCCTGCAGACCCCCCCCTCCCTTCCAGCACTGGTGAGGTTCCCTAGTTGGGTCACGAAACGTCTGCAAGGAGACCACCCAGCCCAGAGGGGGACTCCCAGGGTCTCCCCGTCCCATCCCGGAGCTGCCCGAAGCTTCCCTGGGACTCACGTCAGTTTGGAGCGGACCATGAACGTGCTCATCTTGGTTAAGGAGAACTTGATGTTGGTGTTCATCTCATCCACGGTCTCCACCACAAAGCACCGAGGCAAGCCGGGGGCGAATTCAGCCCACCTGGCGTTTCAAAGGGAGAGATTAAATTCACGTTCAGCACAGTTTTCACGGCAAGACTTCCAGGACCAAACAGAACAAGGTGAAAGAAAGTGGAGACCGCAAGAAAATGTGACCGTTGCAGCTTTAATCATATAATTAAGGTTTAGAGCAGCGGTTCTCCACCTGTGGGTCGGGACCCCATTTGGGGTCGAACGACCCTTTCACGGGGGTCGCCAAACAACGCAGTCCGCCATTTTCCCCCCCCTTTTCCTTAGCTGTGCTCCTCCCTTTGATTCTATTGGCTTTTGAAAGCCAATCGAATAGACTCTCTTGAATAGAGTCTAATTCTATTGGCTTTCCAAAGCCAATAGGAATGGTCCAGGCTGTCTCTGCCCTGCCGAGCCCGCCAAAAGTCCCATTCTGCAGACGGTGCTGCACCAGTTGAGTAGTCCTCGACTTACGACCGGTGGAGTAGTCCTCGACTTACGACCGGTTGGGGGTCGCGGCATTAAAAAGGTTGAGAACCACTGGTTAGGGTTAGGGGTTTTTTTTAAAAAAGAACATTCTTTAATACTTAGCAAACGGGCAAACCAACCATCTAGAGACACACAGGCCTAAGTCACGTTGACACACCTCTGCGGAAAGGCTATTTTCAAGACTGTTGGCAGAGAGGAGGGCTGGGGTGTGTTGGGGGTGCCGTGGGGGTGTGAGCGTGCTCCGGTGTGCAAGTCTCTTGTGTCGGAATAGAAGGGACGGTTTAAAAAAAAAAAAAAAGACAAAATGGCTCCGGAACGCCTTACCTGTAGGTGTCCTGCCTGCTTCTCAGCTCCTTCGTCCGGTGTCCCAGGAGGCAGGCGTTCTGGCCATCATCACAGATCAATTTGCCTGGGGGAGACCAAAAAAAAAAAAAAAAAAAAAGGAAGGACAATGTCCTCAGCACTGGATTCGAATCGTGCACACATTTCCGCTAGGGTTTTCAGATCCACCAACAAGGGGTGTGGCTAACTCTGGGGGGGTGGGGGAAAAAACCTTCCTATTCCTCAAAAGTGGAGAGGAGAATATTGTCATTTGTCTGAAAAGGGATAGGGTTTCCTGCCTGAGCAGGGGGTTGGACTAGATGACCTCCAAGGTCCCTTCCAACTTTATTTATTATTATTATTATTATTATTATTATTATTATTATTATTATTATTATTATTATTATTATTAGTCTGAAATGGTATAGGGTTTCCTGCCTGAGCAGGGGGGGGGACTAGATGACCTCCAAGGTCCCTTCCAACTTTGTTGTTGTTGTTGTTGTTGTTATGATTATTTGTCTGAAATGTTATAGGGATTTCTGCCTGAGCAGGGGGTTGGACTAGATGACCTCCAAGGTCCCTTCAAACTTTATTTATTTATTTATTTATTTTATTGTTATTGTTGTTGTTATTATAATTATAATTATAATAATAATAATAATTATTATTATTATTATTTGTCTGAAATGGTATAGGGTTTCCTGCCTGAGCAGGGGGTGGGACTAGATGACATCCAAGGTCCCTTCCAACTTTATTTTTATTATTGTTATTATTATATAATTGAAAACATACTGGAATGCGCAGAAATGGATGCTTAACATTAAAAATCAAAGAAAAAAGAAGAAACGGACTATTCCATGACATGGGACTTGTTTCAAAACAGAGGTTAGAAAGTTGGAAACATGAGAATTATGAGGATTAAGTGAGCGAGATTGATAACGGATTAGTAAATACTTTGATTGCTCTATAACTAATGTTAATGCGGGTCATGTTGTTTTTAATAATTTGATTTTGCTATTTTCTAGTATATGAATGTATTTTGATAAGATTAGTATGAATGCGATGATTATTTGAATACTTGTATACCTAGACAACGCACGGTTCAATGTAGAAATGGATTTTTTTAAAAATAATAATAATAATAAATTTTTAAAAAGTGGACAGTGATGGGTCAGAAAAAAAAGGGGATGATTTAGGAAGATCAAATTCAAGATCTGAGTCACGTTTCCGTCTCAGCACAGAAGACCTGGCAGAGTTGTCACCGGAGATATAAAATAAGGCATCCCATAATAGTAATAGTAATAACAATAATAAAAGTTGGAAGGGACCTTGGAGGTCATCTAGTCCAACCCCCTGCTCAGGCAGGAAACCCTACACCATTTCGGACAAGTGGCTGTCCAGTCTCTTCTTAAAAACTTCCAGTGTTGGAGCATTCACCGCTTCTGGAGGCAGGCTGTTCCACTGGTTAATTGTTCTCACTGTCAGGAAATTTCTCCTTAGTTCTAGGTTGCTTCTCTCCTTCCCAACATACGGCTAGTCCTTAACTTACGACCATAAACTCCAGTTGTTAAGTGAAACACATGGCGCAAAAGGGGATCACGTCACACACACACACACACACACACACACACACACACACACACACACACACCCTGGGACGCTGCGACCGTCATAAATACAAGTCGCTTGCCAAGCATCTAGAATTTTGATCAGGTGACCACACGAAAGGCGGCAACGGCCGTTAAGTGTGAAAAACCATCGTGAGTCGCTTTCTCCAGTGCCGTGGTTAAGTTTGGATGGTCGCTAACCGAACCGTTGTAAGTCAAGGTCTGCCTGTACATCTTTATCAGCTCCTATGGGATTCTTTCAGGGTTGTTGTTGTTGTTGTTGTTATTACTACTACTACTACTACTACTACTACTACTACTACTATTATTATTATTATTATTATTATTTTTCTTTCCCAAGATGGGGATGGACTGGATGATCTCACCTGTCCCCTCTCTGAGCTCCAGGGTCCGGTAGCCCTCGAGCCATTGGTAGCAAGGAAAATGGAAGGTCTGGCCATCCGGCGTGGTCAGCTGGACGAAGTCACAGAACCAGGGGTCCTCCGGGAAAAATTGATACGGTTCCTTGTGCAGCCGGATTAAAAGCAGGGGACCAAGGTCACGGTCACTCAGGACCTCGTAGTTGTCCACCTAAGGGAAGGAGAGGGTCTGTTGGAGAATAGAATAGAATAGAATAGAATAGAATAGAATAGAATAGAATAGAATAGAATAATAAAATACAGAATAGAATAGAATAAGAAATAGAATAAGAAATGGAATAGAATAAGAAATAGAATAAGAAATAGAGTAGAATAGAGTAGAATAGAATAGAATGGAATAGAATAGAATACAGAATAGAATAAGAAATTAGAATAGAATAGAATAAGAAATAGAATAGAATAAGAAATAGAATAAGAAATTAGAATGGAATAGAAAAAGAAATTAGAATAGAACAGAATAGAATAGAATAAGAAATAGAATAAGAAATAGAATAGAATACAGAATAGAATAGAATAAGAAATTAGAATAGAATAGAATAAGAAATAGAATAAGAAATTAGAATAGAATAGAAAAAGAAATTAGAATAGAACAGAATAGAATAGAATAAGAAATAGAATAAGAAATAGAATAGAATACAGAATAGAATAGAATAGAATAGAATAAGAAATAGAATAAGAAATTAGAATAGAATAGAAAAAGAAATTAGAATAGAACAGAATAGAATAGAATAGAATAAGAAATAGAATAGAATAGAATAAGAAATAGAATAAGAAATAGAATAGAATAAGAAATAGAGTAAGAAATTAGAATAGAATAGAATAGAATAAGAAATTAGAACAGAATAGAATACAGAATAGAATAGAATAAGAAATAGAGTAAGAAATTAGAATAGAATAGGTTAAGAAATAAATAGAATAAGAAACAGAATAGAATAGAATAGAATTTGGTTGGAAACCCTAAAGATGGCCTCCCCCCCCACCGCCCCCCCTGAGCCCAGGGTCCCAATCTCACCGCCCCGGGGATGAAGTCCTTCCCGGTCTTATCCAGCAGCTGCTTGGGGCTTTCCCCCTTTAAGCCCACCAGGGTGATGGAGACGGAGTTGAAGGTGGCCGAACCCCAGAGCTTCCCGGTGGCGACTTGGACTTTGTACACCAAGGATGGCGCTGCTTTGCTGCAGGAGCTCCACCATCTCCCCAAATTCTTCTTTTCCGGCTTCTGGAGGAGGAGAAAAGGCGAGATCAAGGATTGCAGGCTTTGGATTTGAAAAAAAAACGACAGCCACTTTTGTTAATATAAGCGGGTGATAGCAAAGGTGCTTTTTTTCCCCCAGGACTTCCGTGTGTTGTTTTTTTTCTTCTGAAGACGTTTCGCTTCTCATCCCAGAAGCTTCTTCAGCTCTGACTGGAGGATGGGGAAAATGGAAGGATTTACACTCCTTGCAGACAGCCGGTCATTTGCACCCTTTTAGAGGGTCGTTGAGACCCTCAGTTGCCCCTTTTTCAGGAGGCAACTGGACTTTCTGGTTTTCCTTCTGAAGATGTTTCGCTTCTCATCCCAGAAGCTTCTTCAGCTCCGACTGGATGGTAGGGAAATAGAAGGATTTATACTCCTTTGCAGACAGCCGGTCATTTGCACCCTTTTAGAGAGTCGTTGAGGCCACTTGGAGTTTTGTCTGTGTCCTCAGGCTCACGTGAGTGGTGCAAATTGGCGTGGAACTGCTGAAAGGACTGTGTGGTAGACTGGAGATAGAGGATGTGATTTGCACCGCTCAGGTGACGCTGAGGACATAGGTAAAACTCCAGGTGGCCTCAACGGCTCTCTAAAAGAAGGCAAATGACCAGCTGTCTGCAAGGAGTATAAATCCTTCCATTCCCTACCATCCAGTCGGAGCTGAAGAAGCTTCCGGGATGGGAAGCGAAACGTCTTCAAAGGAAAACAAGGAAGTCCTGAAAAAGCACTTTTGAGACAAACCTCCAGGTGGCCTCAACGACTCTCTAAAAGAAGACAAATGACCAGCTGTCTGCAAGGAGTATAAATCCTTCCATTCCCCACCATCCAGTCAGAACCTGAGGAAGCTTCCGGGATGAGAAGCAAAACCAAAGAAAAACAAAGAAAATCCAGCTCCCTCTTGAAAATGCACCTTTGGGACAACTGAGGACACAGGTCAAGCTCCAAGTGGCCTCAACGACTCTCTAAAAGAAATGCAAATGACCAGCTCTCTGAAAGGAGTATAAGTCTTTCCATTCCCCACCATCCAGTCGGAGCTGAAGAAGCTTCCGAGATGGGAAGCGAAACGTCTTCAAAGAAAAACAACGGAAGTCCAGTTGCCCCTTGGAAAAAAGCACCTCCATAAACAGTGATAGTATATAAAGATTCTTAAGTGAAAACACGAATACGGGTAGTCCTCGGCTTACGACCGTAACCGGGCCCCAAATTTCCGTCGTTTAAGGGGGACCTCTGCCGCGTGACTTTCTCAACGCTTTACGACCTTCTCGGCCGTCGTTGTTAAGCGGGTCGCCCGGTTATTAAGCGAATCTCGTTTCCCCACTGACTTTCCTCGGCTGAAGGTCCGCCAAAGGAGGGAAATCACGTGAGAGGAGGAGACATGGCGACCGTCATAAGTACAAGTCGGTTGGCAAGCGTTCGAATTTCGATCACGTGACCAGGTGGGAGGTTGCCAACGGTCGTAACGGGGAGAAACGGGTCGCAAATCCCCTTTTTCCCTGCTGTTGTTAACTGTGAACAGTCACTAAACAGACCGTCGTAAGGTGAGGACAGCCTGTAGACGGGGTTTGCGCCGCCAGGAAGAAAAAAAAAAGCAGACATGGTGAAATTGTTCAAAAGGGAGAATATCTTTTGTTATGTTTTCTTTTTTAATTTGGAAATCGCTTCTGGATTTTGTACCTGGGACGAAAAAAAATAAAGAGAGAAAGAAACTCCGGACTTTGGTTTTGCAGATTTGATCGATTTCTTGTTCCAGAAATGGCTAGTTCTTCATGTGCAAAAGTGAAAAAGTTGAGGCCGTGAGGTTATTTTAACCACTGGAAGTTTTGAAGACTGGACAGCCCTTTGTCTGAAATGGTATAGGGTTTCCTGCCTGAGCTGGATGGAGGATCGAGAATGAGGAAGTTCCTGCTCTGATTGGCTGGGGGGTTGGCTGTGCTCTGATTGGCTGGGGGGTTGGCTGTGCTCTGATTGGCTGGGGGAGTGTTCTGTTTGGTTGTGCTCAGGTTAGTCTGAGTTGCAGAGGGGTTTAATATTTTGGGCTGCCTTGCTATTTTTTGGCTTTGCGTTCGTGGTCGTGCCTCCTCTTCATGGAGGGTGTCAGTTTGCTTCATGTATGGATTGGAGGAGTTTAATGACCCCCCAGCCAATCAGAGCACAGCCAAGCCCCTAACCAATCAGAACACACCTCCACCCAATCAGAACACAGCCAAGCTCCCACCCAATCAGTTCATACCCCCACTGGCAGTTAAAAGGAAGAAACAGCTAAGACCACACATTGCTGCTCGAAGCACGAAGCTGAAAACACCAGCCTGAAGATGACGAATGGGACTTCGTCGAAACGTCGCCAAGACACTTCCAATTTTACGCGGGAGAAAACCCGAACAACCAAAGACCTACATACAAACACCCGCGAAAACCTCAGAAAACAAATATATATATATATATATTATATATATATATATATATATATATATTATATATATTATATATATATATGTTTTCTGAGGTTTTCGCGGGTATTTGTATATAGGTCTTTGGTTGTTCGGGTTTTCTCCCGCGTAAAATTGGAAGTGTCTTGGCAACGTTTCGACGAAGTCACATTCGTCATCTTCAGGCTGGTGTTTTTAGCTTCTTGCTTTGAGCAGCAATGTGTGGTTTTAGCTGTTTCTTCCTTTTAACTGCCAGTGAGGGTATGAACTGATTGGATGGGAGCTTGGCTGTGTTCTGATTGGGTGGAGGTGTGTTCTGAATGGTTAGGGGCTTGGCTGTGCTCTGATTGGCTGGGGGAGTGTTCTGTTTGGTTGTGCTCAGGTTAGTCTGAGTTGCAGAGGGGTTTAAGATTTTGGGGTTAGGGAGTCGTTTGTCAATAAGGGCAGGTTTCCAAATGGCTGGTAGGCGGGAGGTATCATCTCGCTTGTTCATGCTGTGTGGGCGTTTTTCTATCTCGATGGCTTCTCTGATTATTCTGTTATTAAAATGTTCACTTTTGGCAATGGTTCTGGTATTTTTAAAGTCAATTTCATGTCCTGTGGCTTTAAGGTGTTGGACCAGGGAAGATGTTGGTTCCTCTTTTTTGACTGAGTTCTTATGTTCTTCAATGCGTGCACTTATTCTTCTGTTGGTTTGTCCGATGTATGTGGTGGGACAAGTGGTGCATGGGATTTCGTATACTCCTTGATTTTCTAATTCAATTTTATCTTTGGGGTTTCTAAGGATGGTGGATATTTTTCTGTTTGTGCAGAATGCTGTTTTGATGTTGTGTTTATGGAGGATCTTACTGATTCTGTCTGTGGTGCCTTTTATGTATGGGAGGAGGGCTTTGCCGTTTTCTTGTTCTTTGTCTTGGATTTTAGTGGGGGTTTCTTTTTGGATTAGGTTTGTAATCTTATTTCTATGGAATCCATTGGATGTTAGTACATTGGTGAGAGTGTGTAGTTCGGGTTTTAGGTGTTGTTCGTCAGCTAAGCGTTTTGTTCTGGAGATGAGTGTCTTGGCTACAGAGTTGATCTGTGCTGGGTGGTGGTGTGAGAGAACGTGTAGATAGCGGTTTGTGTGTGTTTTCTTCTGGTAGATGGTATATATATATATGTAGGTCTTTGGTTATTCGGGTTTTCTCCCACGTAAAATTGGAAGTGTCTTGGCGACGTTTCGACGAAGTCTCATTCGTCATCTTCAGGCTGGTGCTTTCGGCTTCGTGCTTCTATATATATATCTATACACACACATATCTATACACATATATATATACACACACACACATATATATACAAACACATATACACATTATTCTCCAAAGCGCCTGAAAGGCAGGATAAGAAGCAACAGATGGAAACTAACCGAGGAGAGAAGCAACCTGGAACTAAGGAGAAACTTCCTGACAATCAGAACAATTAACCAGTGGAACGATTTGCCACCAGAAGTTATGAATGCTCCTTTACTGGAGGCTTTTAAGAAGAGACTGGACAGCCCTTTGTCTGAAATGGTATAGGGTTTCTTTCCTGAGCAGGGGGTTGGACTAGATGACCTCCAAGGTCCCTTCCGAGTCTGTTATTCTGTTATCCTTCCTTCCTTCCTTCCTTCCTTCCTTCCTCCCTCCCTCCCTCCCTCCCTCCTTCCTTCCCTCCCTCCCTCCTTTCTCCAATGCTGGACAGGGTACAGAGTTTCCTGCCTGAGAAGGGGTTGGATTAGATGACCTCCACAGTCCCTTCCAACTTATGATGATGATGATGATGATGATGATAATGATTAGTCTGAAATGGTATAGGGTTTCCTGCCTGAGCAGGGGGTTGGACTAGATGACCTCCAAGGTCCCTTCCAACTTTATTATCATTATTATTACATACACACACACACACACACACACACACACACGTGTCCGAATTTTGAACACGTGACCCCAGGAGATGCTTCAGCGGACGTGAAGTGAGAAAAACGCTCATAGGTCACTTTTGTAACTTCAAACGGCCACGAAACAAAGGGTTTCAGTAAGTCGAGGACTACCTACCTCGTGCGACTCACTTAACGACAGCCAACAGAAGTTTCCTTTGCGGTCGTAAGTTGAGGACTGCACGCATACACTTGCAAAAAAATCCAACAACCACCCAGATAATCTTACCTGCATTTCTCTTTGCAAAACGGCGCCGTTTCCCGATAACGAAAAACCGCATCTTTGAATTCCTGGGAATCCAAACAAAAGCCTGGATCTCTTTAGACTCATCCGGTTCAAACCAGGGTTGCCAAAACCAGCCAACTTTCTCCAAGGATCACCGCTGTAGGCTGCAAAAAACAGGATATATATATATTTCAAAAGACCCTCGGTCATCTGGGTCCATTTCCTGCTGGAAGAAAACCATAGGCTGATTTATTGCAGCAGAAAAATTTATTGCAGCTGCGATAAATCAGCCCATTGTTGATTTTTTTTTTCTCTGCGTAAATATCAATTTTGGCTGAGAAGCAAAACAACCTTTTGACCCCAGGAAGCAACACGGTGTGTTAACTCCCAGTCACAATCTCCTTTCTCCCAGCTGTTCCCACTCTTGCTTATAATCGCTGCAATGACCCCTTTTTATCACTTTCCTTTATTCCTTCAGCCTTGTGCAATATTTATTTACTGGGGTCATCGGCCAGCCGGGGAGAGAGAGAGAAATACAAAAGCCGAAAGTGGTTTTTCAGCTGCCTGGAATGGAATGGAATGGAATGGAATAGGATAGGACAGAGCATAGTATAGCATAGCATAGCATGGCATGGCATGGCATGGCATGGCATAGCACAGAATAGAATAGAATAGAATAGAATAGAATAGAATAGAATAGAATAGAAATAAGGAACAGAACAGAACAGAATAGAATAGAATAGAACAGAACAGAGTAGAGTATAGAGTAGAGTAACAGAGTTGGAAGAGATAACAGATCAATAATGGATAGAATAAAATAGAATACAGAATAGAATAGGGTAGGGTAGAGTAGAGTAGAGTAGAGTAGAATAATGGATAGAATAAAATAGAATACAGAATAGAATAGAGCAGAGTAAGTAGAATAATAATGGATAAAATAAAATAGAATACAAAATAGAGTGGAGTGGAGTGGAGTGGAGTGGAGTGGAGTGGAGTGGAGTAGAGTAGAGTAGAGTAGAGTAGAGTAAAGTAGAGTAGAGTAGAATAATAATGGATAGAATAAAATAGAATACAGAATAGAGTAGAGTAGAATAATAATGGATAGAATAAAATAGAATACAGAATAGAGTAGAATAGAATAATAATGGATAGAATAAAATAGAATACAGAATAGAGTAGGGTAGGGTAGGGTAGGGTAGAGTAGAGTAGAGTAGAGTAGAATAATGGATAGAATAAAATAGAATACAGAATAGAATAGAGCAGAGTAAGTAGAATAATAATGGATAAAATAAAATAGAATACAAAATAGAGTGGAGTGGAGTGGAGTGGAGTGGAGTGGAGTGGAGTGGAGTAGAGTAGAGTAGAGTAGAGTAGGGAGTAATAATGGATAGAATAAAATAGAATACAGAGTAGAATAATAATGGATAGAATAAAATAGAATACAGAATAGAGTAGAATAGAATAATAATGGATAGAATAAAATAGAATACAGAATAGAGTAGAATAATAATGGATAGAATAAAGTAGAGTAGAGTAGAGCACAGTAGAGTAGAATAGAGTAGAGTAGAATAATAATGGACAGAATAAAATAGAAAACAGAATAGAGTAGAGTAGAATAAAGAACAGAGTTGGAAGGGACCTTGTAGGTCATCTAGTCCAACCCCCACCCACCTGACCAGGAGGCCCTACACCAATTTCTGACAAATGGCAGATCCAGTTTCTCCTTGAATGCTTCCAGGGACGAAGCTTCCACAACGTCTGTTTAAAACACGGGGAAAATTAAAAAAAACCCCTAAGGGAATTCATAATAAATAAGCTGGTTCCAGATGTGAGACGGGAAGCAATGCACAGCTGCAGATACTCCTTGAATGGCTTTTCATTTAGTTCAAAGTTACAGCAGTGCTAAAATAAAAAAAAAAAAAGGATTTGGGACTGTTTTTTCACACTTACGACCGTCGCGGCACCCCTGCGTGTCACGTGATCGAAAATCGGAGGCTTGCAAACTGACTCGCATTTATGACGGTTGCAGCGTCCCATGTGACCCCCCCTCTTGTGCCCTGGTGCGGTCAAACTCGATGAGAAAGGTGGATCCACTGAACAGGTTAAGTACGAAATAAACAACCGGCGCAGAAGGTTGTCAAATGGGGCACAATCGACCGCTTCGCTTAGCGGCAGAAAGTTAGGGCTCAACGGCGGTCGTAAGTCAAGGACTAGCGGTCTTTGCCAAACCTCAAGGGCCGTTGAACTTAAGGAGCCCGCCCTGGGAATTCCAAAGAACTTTTTCGTGTTTTTGTTTTCCTGCAGTATAAACGGGTTGAATTCGACCGGCTTGGCTTCTTCGGTAAATTCCTCCACCCGATTTTTTTTTTGCAAACTGCTCGCATTGTACATTGTTGTTTTTTTTTTTTTTTTGAAAGAGTTTAACTTGCCTTTATTTTATTACTTTTATTATTTTTTTTAAAAAAGTGCTGAATGACTCTGAAGTTACGCCTTGCAGGATAACTTTCCAGCAATGAAAGCAAATTCAAATTCCACTTTTTTTTTTTTTTTTGGCCAGGGAGGGCGGTACACACAATGTCAACGCAATTCTGCAGCTGCCTGCCAGAGCTGAATCGCACAAAGGGGAACTATTTTGCAAAAGAAACAAACAAACAAACAAAAGTTGGTTCAAGTTCAACTGAAATGGGGTTTGTTTAAAGGGCTGGGGACCCCCTTAATTCCAAGCTAAGTAAGACATTTGGATCCCCAAAAGGGAGAAATGTTGATGGCGTTAGCAGAGATGGCTAAATTGATTGCTTTGATATATATACACCCTTCCAACTCTGTCATTCTGTGAAATTCTGAAAAAAATGTTTATTATTATTATTAATCATTTGCCTGTAAGCAAGAACTGGTGGGATCATAAAATAGAGAAAGTCATATTATGGATCATCGCACAGTCAGCCAGATGTTCAGACTGAATTTGGCATTTTGTCTACCTATCGAGTCCTTACCCAGGACCTGGGATAGGCAGATGTGGATGTTGATGGTATTACAGATCTCATCGCAGGATGGAAGCAGTTCCTAGTAAGGCTGCCTTTTGCAATTGACTAATAGCGAATTTGTCAATGCCAGTGGTGTTCAAGTGGTGCTCCAGTTGTTCTGGGATTGCACCCAAGGAGCCTATGACTATTGGTACTACCCGTGCTTGCTTTTGCCACAGTCTTTCTATTTCTATTTGTAGGTCTTTGTATTTTGTGATCTTCTCCAGCTCTTTCTCGTCTATTCTGCTGTCTCCAGGCACTGCCACGTCCACTCTCCAGACTTTTTTGTCTGTCTTGTCGACAATTGTTAAATCTGAGGTGTTATGTTGCAGGTGCTTGCCTGTTTGAATTCTGAAGCCCCAGAGCAGTTTAATTTTATCATTTTCTATCACTTTCTCTATTTTATGATCCCACCAGTTTTTGCTTACAGGCAAATGATACTTTTTGCAGATCTTCCAATGCACCATTGTTGCTACTTTGTCGTGCCGCTGCTTGTAGTCAGTCTGTGCAATCTTCTTGCAACAGCTTACCAGGTGGTCCACTGTTTCTTCAGCTTCTTTGCATAGGCGGCACCTACTGTCTGTTGCTGTCTTCTCAATTTTGACTTTATATGCATTTGTCCTTAAGGCTTGGTCTTGTGCAGCCAGAATTAGTCCCTCGGTCTCTTTCTTCAATTTTCCTGCTCTTAGCCATTGCCAGGTCTTGTTATTATCTGCTTTCCCAGCTATTTTTGTAATGTATTGGCCATGTAGTGCTTTGTCTTCCCATGCCTCTATTCTGTTCTTCATTTGGTCTTTCTTGTAGGCCAGTTTGGTCTCTCCAGTAGTTAGTAAGCCTTCCTGATATACTAATTTCAGTGCATCTTCATCATTGTTTTTCAGATATTCTTCCAAAGCCATTTTTTCTTCTTCAACCATAAGATGTACTTGTAGTATTCCACGCCACCTATTTGCCTTGGTAGATAAAGTCTATCAATGTCACTGCGTGGATGAAGGGCATGATTCATTGTCATTATTTTTCTGGTCTGCCTATCCATTGCTTTTAGTTCTGCTTGAGTCCAGTCCACTATTCCAGCTGTGTACCTAATGACTGGGATTGCCCAGGTGTTGATTGCTTTTATGGTATTTCCTCCATTGAGTTTGGACTTTAAGATCTTCTTCACTCTCTTGATGTATTCACCTCTAATCTTTTTCTTGACTTCAGTGTGCTTGATGTTTTCAGCTTGAAGGATACCCAAGTATTTGTAGTAATCTTCCTCATCCAGACTCTTAATATTATTTTCGTGGGGCATCTTGATTCCTTCAGTTTTCACTACTTTTCCTTGTTTGATAGTAAGTGTGGCACATTTGTCCAAGCCAAACTCCATAACAATATCTTGGCTATATACATGGACAGTGTTGAGCAGCGATTCTATTTCAGACGATGCTTTTCCCATACAGCTTCAGATCATCCATGTAAAGGAGATGGGATAGTCTGGCAGATGTTTTTGATGTTTGATAGCCATGTCCTGAGTTATTCAGTATTGTTGACAGAGGAAACAGTGCAATGACAAATAGTAATGGTGACAATGAATCTCCTTGAAATATTCCTCTCTTGATATTAACTTCTCCCAGTCTCTCACCATCGATCTGCAACTGTGTCTTCCATTGTGCCATCAATCTTTGCACAAATTTTCTGATGTTTCTACTGACTCCTGTTGTTGTTGTTGTTGTTATTGACCATCGCACAGTCAGCCAGATGTTCAGACTGGATTTGGCACTTTTGTCTACCTATCGAGTTCTTCCCAAGCACCTGGGATGATATTATTATCATCATCATCATCATCATCATCATCATCATCACTGCAGCTGTTCAGTTAGTAATACGGTTGTTAAATGAATCCCGGCTTCCCCATTGGTCACAAAAGGAGGAGCCAACATCCAAATTTTGATCCCCCGACCACGGGGAGGGTGGCTGCAACGGTCGTTAAGTGTGGGACACAGTCTAAAGCCACTTTCTTCAAAGCCCTGGTCACTTTGAACGGTGGCTAAACAAAGGATCGTTAAGACGAGGGCGATCCGTAATCAGAGGATGAAGATGTTAACACACAAACACACACACACACAAAGGGAATGTTTGCAAAGATCAAAAATGAGAAAAAGAACGGGAGAAAACCGCCTTTCGGCTTAGGAAATCTTGGAGATTGCGGCAGCCAATGCGAATGGTAATGTTATTATTTCGAAACCACGAGGTTAAGAAACGAAAGGAAATTAAGAAAGATGTGTTAACACGGAGGAAATAAAATGTCACCACTTTGATGAAAAGGAATGTCTGGCCAGGGGGGGGGCAGAGGGTGGTGGTTTTGTTTCGTTTGGCCGTTTGCCACATTCGAATTAGAAATAGAATAGAAGCTGGAAGGGACCCTGGAGGTCATCTAGTCCAGCCCCCTGCTCGGGCAGGAGAATCTATATATCGTTTCAGACAAGTGGCCATCCAATCTCTTCTTTAAAAAGAGGAGGAGGAGGAGGAGGGGGAGGAGGAGGAGGAGGAGAATACAGGGACCCTGGAGGTCTTCTAGTCCAGCCCCCTGCTCAAGCAGGAGAACCTATATACCGTCTCAGACAAGTGACTGACTCTAGCACCTTCTTAAAAACCTCCAGTGATGGAGCGCCCACCATTTCTGGTGGCAAGACGACTCGGCGTATAAGATGACCCCCGACTTCGGCGCCGATTTCAATGCTTTAGAGCAGTGGTTCTCAACCTTTTTAATGCCGCGACCCCCAACCGGTCGTAAGTCGAGGACTACTCAACCGGTCGTAAGTCGAGGACTACTCAACCGGTGCAGCACCATTTGAAGACTGGGGCTTTTGGCGGGCTCAGCAGGGCAGAGACAGCCTGGACGATTCCTATTGGCTTTTGAAAGCCAATAGAATTAGACTCTATTCAAGAGAGTCTATTCTATTGGCTTTCAAAAGCCAATAGAATAAAAGGGGTAGCCCAGCTAAGGAAAAGGGGGGAAAAAATGGCGGACTGCGTTGTTTGGCAACCCCAGTGAAATGGTCGTTCGACCCAAATGGGGTCCCGACCCCAGGTTGAGAACCGCTGTTCTATTGCAAAAAAATATTGGTCTAAGATTCATAGATGGTTAAAAAAGATGATGAAAATCCAGATAGAATTTAAACCGGAATTGTTCCTGTTAGGTATATTAAGACCTAACTATGGCAAAGAAAAGGATTATTTAAAATTACATGTATTAACAGCTGCAAGAATAGTATTTGCCCAATTTTGGAAAAATGAAAACCTACCATCAGACGAGATTATAATTTTGAAAATCCTAGATTGTGCAGAAAGGGACTAGATTAACGTTCGAGATGAAGGAGAAAGAAGATTCCATTTTTTCATAAAACCTGGGGAAAATTTTATCAGTGGGTTGAAACACGTTAGACTAAGAAGAGATTTTAGAGATTTATTACATTAGGTTGATGATTGGAAATAGTTGTTATGCGATCAACTATGTTAATTATTTAAAGGAATATTAGTGTTTTGCCAAATGTCAGTTGTAACTATACCGATTTCTTCTTACAAATATCTAGTATTATATAGACAATAATACTCCATATGAAGACCTGGACGACAGTTTGTTCGCTGAATTACGTATTTACTGTAGTTATCCACACCCTGTCCCCTTTATCCCGATTTCCCTGTACCTGCACCGACCCCACCTTTTCCCTACCCATATAAAATCTAATAAAATATATTTTTTTAAAAAGAGAGAGACTGGACGACCAACTGTCTGAAATGGGTTAGGGTTTCCTGCTTGAGCAGAGGGCTGGACTAGATGACCTTCAAGGTCCCTTCCAACTCTATTCTCCTCCTCCTCCTTTTTAAGAAGAGATTGGATAACCATCTGTCTGAAATGAGTTAGGGTCTCTTGCTTGAGAAGGGGGTTGGACTAGATGACCACCGAGGTCCCTTCCAACTCTGTTGTCCTTCCTTCCTTCCTTCCTTCCTTCCTTCCTTCCTTCCTTCCTTCCTTCCTTCCTTCCTTCCTCCCTCCCTCCCTTCCTTCCTTCCTTCCTTTCTTCCAAGAGACAGCCACTTGTCTGAAATGGGTTAAGGTCTGCTGCTTGAGCAGCGGGTTGGACTAGATGACCACTGAGGTCCCTTCCAACTCTGTTATCCTTCCTTCCTTCCTTCCTTCCTTCCTTCCTTCCTTCCTTCCTTCCAAGAGACAGCCAGTTGTCTGAAATGGGTTAGGGTCTCCTGCAAAGTAGGGGGTTGGACTAGATGACCTCCAAGATCCCTTCCAGCTCTTTTCTGATGGACTGCCTTGCGATGTCGTTTTTTGTGGGTTTTTTTTTTGACAGCCGATCAACCATTCGAACAGTAGCAAAAGAAAAAAAAAAGGGCCTTATTTAAATTCGCCTGGCAAGGGAAAAGAAACCGCAAATTAAAAGTGTTACAAAGTGTAGAGGGAAAAAAAAACAGGGCTGGGTTTTACCGGTTTGGGAAATGTATTTTTCATGTAGTTTGTGGTTTGTTTTGGACGAAGGAGCGGAATCAAGAAACAAAAGACGTTTAGAGTTAGAAGATCACCGCCTGCGGTTTGGATGGCACGGGTCCTTAAGGGCACGATAAAGTTTTTTTAAAAAAAAACTAAGGTGGTTTTTTTTTTTAAAAAATATTTTATTAGAGGTTTCTCCGGTTGAGAACGTGGACTATAACAAAAGGATAACAGAATAACCGAATCGGAAGGGGACCTCGAGGTCATCTAGTCCAACCCCCTGCTATAGCAGGAGACCCTATCCCATTTCAGACAAGAGGCTGTCTCTTGGAAGGAAGGAAGGAAGGAAGGAAGGAAGGAAGGAAGTCAACAGAGTTGGAAGGGACCTCGGAGGTCATCTAGTCCAACCCCCTGCTCAAGCAGGAGACCCTAACCCAGTGGTTCTCAACCTTTTTAATGCCGTGACCCCCAACCGGTCGTAAGTCGAGGACTACTCAACCGGTCGTAAGTCGAGGACTACTCAACTGGTGCAGCACCGTTTGCAGAAGGGGACTTTTGGCGGGCTCAGCAGGGCAGAGACAGCCTGGACAATTCCTATTGGCTTTTGAAAGCCAATAGAATTAGATTGTATTCAAGAGAGTCTATTCTATTGGCTTTCAACAGCCAATAGAATAAAAGGGAGGAGCACAGCTAAGGAAAAGGGAGGAAAAAAATGGCGGACTGCGTTGTTTGGCGACCCCCGTGAAATGGTCGTTCGACCCCAAATGGGGTCCCGACCCAGAGGTGGAGAACCACTGCCCTAACCCATTTCAGACAGATGGTTATCCAATCTCTTCTTAAAAAGGAGGAGGAGGAGGGGGAGGAGGAGAATAGAGTTGGAAGGGATCTCGGAGGTCATCTAGTCCAACCCCCTGCTCAAGTGGCTGTCTCTAGGAAGGAAGGAAGGAAGGAAGGAAGGAAGGAAGGAAGGAAGGAAGGAAGGAAGGAAGGAAGGAAGGAAGGAACCGCCACAGCAAGAAAGATCAGGAAATGGGGCCAGGCTGGCTTCCCAAATGTCTCCCTCGGGAACATAAATTTATCGATCGCAAGCCGAGGACCGCCTGCATATTTCCGCACCTGATCAAAAGCATCCCTTCCTTTGGCCTCCCTGGATCTCACGCCAAGAATCAGGATTCTTACCTCTGGCTGAATTTTGCCTGAAACTTCGGCAGCCATTCAGGAGAACCATCCAAGGTCTGTGCAACTTCTGAACCGCGTGGAGCTGCATTTTGGGGGCCCCGTGAAGGCGATTTAAGTAAACGTACGGAGCCGACATTCCTAAGAGGCAAAAACATCCCGGAGGGAATTTTTATTTTTTTTATTTTTTATTTTCCCAACAAACCTCAAACGCCAGCGCTGAAATTGCAAAAGTCATTTTTATTTTTCCAACAAACCTCAAACGCCGGCGTTGAAACGGAAAAAGTCATTTTTATTCTTATTTTTTTTCCCACCCCCTCCCTCTGGCCTTCCTAGTGGGCTGCCTCCAGGGATGACCCACTCAGGTTATCGGTGCAGTAGTCCAGCCCAGGGACACCAAAAGGCCGATGGCGAGCCGGTTGGATCCCGTTTTAACTCCTCCCTGTTTCTTGGCTAGGATTTTTCTGGACTTTGGAATAAGCAGCGAGCCCGGACTGAGGAAAAGATTATTTTGGGAGTAGGGAACCCGAGTGCTAATCCTACTCGGGTGTGGAAGCCAGTTGGATGACTTTGGGCCAGTCCTCTGACTTTTTTTTCCTTTTTTTTTTTAAATAAATAGCTGCCAAGAAAACTGCACGGACTTGTCCACATCCGTTGCCAGGGGCCAAGTTTGACTTAAGGCACCTATCTACATGTGTGTAGTTAAGATCGGGCAGCGCAATCCGGCAAGGTGCAGCGGCCACACACGGCGAGGGATCTGAGTTGCCAGAATGGGCGTTGTATTACCAAGCATCTGTTTTTTTAACAGGGGGTGAAAGAATGGATAATGCTTAGAAATAAAAGGTCGTTATATTTAGAGGAGCATGACTTACAAGCGGGGCGGCACGCTTTCCTACGGTGTGGGAAAAACAGCTCATAAACATTTCCAAAACCACTATATAAGAAAGGCTTTGTTAACAGTATGGGGGAAAAAATTAAAGCTAAAATACACTTTGTGGGTATCTCCGACGGAGGCATTTTTCTACATCCAAACGTGGTAGATATTGAAAAAAAAAAATACGGGCATATAGAGGTATTCTAACTATTGGTGGGAATTTGAAATCTAAATGAGAAAATCAGGGGATCAACCTGTCGTGGTGGGCACATTTACAGGTGCAAAATAGATCTGAAAAAGAGGTGAAAATGTATGGATTTTATAAAGATCAAACTGATAAGATGTGGTTAACTTCAGGTGAGAAATTTAAGAAAATGTACAATTTTTTTCTTAATTTTGGAAATGGAAAGCGAACAATTTGACGCGGGAGAAAACCCGAATAACCAAAGACCTATGGATGTATGTATGTAGGTATGTATGTATGTATGTAATTTTTATCACTGCTTTGAGTGCTGCAGCAGTGATTAGAACTGAGTTTTGCAACACACGCAAACAGGTGTATGTGTGAGTGTGCATACGGGTGTGTGTGTGTCCGTGTGTGTTGCAAAACTCAATTCTAATCACTGCTGCAGCACTCAAAGCATTGATTAAAAAAACAATACAGGAAGTCCTTGACTTACAGCTCATTTAACGACGGGTCTAAGTTACAACGGCATTGAAAACAGCGACCTAGCGACCCTTTTCCACCCTTATGACCGCTGCAACCTCCCCACAGTCACGGGGTCAAAATTCGGACCCTTAGGGACCGACTCACACTTATGGCGGTCGCTGCGTCCTCTGTGTGTGTGTGTGTGTGTGTGTGTGTGTGTGTGTGTGTGTCACGGGATCCCCTTGTGTAACTCTCTAACCAGCCAAGTCAATGAGTCCCTAGGGATTGGGTGGCATATAAATTTTATTAATAAATAATAAATAAATGGGACAGCCAGATTCACTTAGCAACCGCCTGACTCGCTGAACGACGGCCGCGATTCGCTTAGCGCCCGTGGTCGTAAAACGAGGCGAAAGCCCCCCCCCGCAAAGGTCTCGCTTAGCAACGGACTTTTTAGGGCTCCTGTTGAGGCGGTAAGCCGAGGACCGGCTGCAAAGGCCAGAGCCGAGCAGAGAAAAGAAGGGCAGCTATCCCTGTTGAACTTCTGCCTGTCCTGCAAAGGCATCTGCGCAGCCGAGGAAGGCGCTTACCTTGCCGGGAGATCTGCTCCCGCTTCCCTTCCCCAAACTGGAAGTACTCACTCCAAAGTCCCGGGAGAGGTGTAAGCCTGGAGAGGGAGAGGGGGGGGGGGAAAGAGTCACAAATCCCATGCGCCCCGGCTCCGGACGCAATTCAGGGCTTCCCAAGGCGGTTCCCGGGCTGCTTCTCCACCTCCCACTACACCACCCATGGTGCCCCGCCGACAGACCTGGGCGATCCTACAACGGGGAGGAGGAGGAGGAGGCAGGGCAGCACTCAGCCCCTTCCCTCCCCGCGCGGCGCCGCTCTCAGGATCGCGCGGCGCTGCCCTCAGGATCGCGCGGCGCGGCGCCGCTCTCAGGATCGCGCTGCGCGCCGGAGAAAGGTCCCCCGGCGGTTCGGCGGGGGCAGCGAGCGGGACAGTCCGGGCAAGCGGTGCGGAGAGGCGTCCGGCCTGCCGTCTCTGCGCTCCGGAGCGGCTGCTGGCGGCCTTGGCTGGCGGGCTGGGCGGCCCCGGCTGCGCCGCGGAGCTCCACCTGGGGAGGGCGGGGCGCCTCCGCAGCAGCCGCCGCCTCCGCCTGGCGAGCCGCTGCCCGGCCGGGTCTGCCGACAGCAGCTGGGCGCCCGTCCTTCCCTGCCCGCCCGCCCGCGCCTCGGGCAGCGCCATCCGGCAAGGCGCAGCTGGGCAGGCGGGAGGGAGGGAGACAGGGAGGGAAGAAGGCTGGGTGCTTCCTCCGGTGCCGCCGCCTCCTCCTCCTTGCTACCCCCCCTTCCTTCTAGCACTGATGATGTTCCCTAGTTGGGTCAGAAGAGGTCTGCAAGGAAACCAGCCAGCTCAGAGAGCACCAGGGACCCCACAGTCCTCCTCCTCGTCGCACTGATGATGTTCCCTAGTTGGGTCATGAGACATCTGCAAGGAAACGAGCCAGCTCAGAGACCCCCGTGGACCCCACAGTCCTCCTCCTCCTCCTCCTCCTTTTTAAGAAGAGATTTGTAGACAACCATCTGTCTGAACTGGGTTAGGATCTCCTGCTTGAGCAGGGGGTTGGACTAGATGACCTCCAAGGTCCCTTCCAGTTCTTCTTCTTCTTCTTCTTCTTCTTCTTCTTCTCCTCCTCCTCCTCCTCCTCCTCCTCTTCCTCTTCCTCTCCTTCTCCTTCTCCTCCTCTTCCTCTTCCTCTCCTTCTCTTTCTCCTCCTCCTCTTCCTCTTCTTCTCCTTCTCCTTCTCCTCTTCCTCTTCTTCTCCTTCTCCTTCTCCTCTTCCTCCTCCTCCTCCTCTTCTTCTTCTTCTTCTTGTTCTTCTTCTTGTTGTTGTTGTTGTTGTTGTTTTATTATTATTTTTTTTATTAAAAAAGTTTTTATTTTCCATTTATTCATACAAAATACAATTAACCATTGGTACAGCCTGCCCATTCCCCCCAGGCTGCGTCCACCCTCTCTAATACCTTCCCTACTTCCCTCCTCTTTCTCTCCTCCCCTCCTACTCTCTTCCCCTCCCCACCTCCTCTAACCATCCTACTTCCTCCTTACTCCTTCCTCCCCTCTCATCCCTCTCACACACATGAACGAAGCATAGGGGAAATGCCCAAGCGTTTACCATGTCTATATTATCATTACCCACCCACTCACCCACCCACCCACCCTCAACCCTCCCCCCCCTCACTTCCCAGAGCAGAGTACAGGGTTATTAATAAGAAGGTTAACAATAATAATCCTCCTCCTCCTCTTCTTCTTCTTCTTCTTGTTGTTGTTTTATTATTATTATTATTATTCCTCCTCCTCCTCCTCTTCCTCCTTGCCAACCCCCCTCCCTTCTAGCGCTGATGACGTTCCCTAGTTGGTTCAGGAGACGTCTGCAAGGAAACACACATAGCTCAGAGACCGCCATGGACACCACAGTCCTCCTCCTCCTCCTCCTCCTCCTCCTCCCAAATTCCACTTCCTTGAAGCACTGATGATGTCCCCTAGTTGGGTCATGAAACGGCTGCAAAAAATAACCAAGCTCAGAGAGCACCAAGGGCCCCACAATCCTCCTCCTCCTCCTTTTTCCACGGTGAAAAAAAGGAAGCTTCTATATTTGGGCAAGAAAAGCCAAATGCACAGGTATGGAACCTGGCTCCATAGTCGCCACGGCGAAGGAGGGATCCTTGCCACACCAGCACCAGGTTCCCGTTCTGGTCGTAAGTCGGGGACCTAGAGTACCTGTATTCATGGCCTGCGTTTTTGAAGGCCGGTGGGCATCGGACGTCCTCGGCAGGAAATACATCGTAAGGACCGTTGTGGTCAAAAGCCATGTGGGCGCTTGCCAGACGGCGGCCCTGTCTGAAATCGAAGAATTCGCCGTTGGAGACACACGTAACCAAGCGACAGGCAGGGCTTTAACATCTGTTTAATCTCCTCTTATCTGCTTTCCTCTTATCTCCCTTTGAAGTGGGCCGCTCAGGGTGGCGTTCGGTTTTATCCGCGGCAGGTGAATCGCGCCGTTTCCCTGCACCTGGAATTCGCAATGCATTTATTGTTTCCTTGGGAATATTCGTTGCTAGGGGTTGAACTGCAAGGTCCTCAGTGTTTGCCGATCTCTGTATTTCTCTCATTATTATTATTATTATTATTATGGATCATTGCACAGTCAGCCAGATGTTCAGACTGGATTTGGCATTTTGTCTACCTATCGAGTCCTTACCCAGGACATGGGATAGGCAGATGTGGATGTTTGATGGTATTACAGGTATCGTTGCAGGATGGAAGCAGTTCCTAGCAAGGCCGCCTTTTGCAATTGACTAATAGCGAATTTGTCAATGCCAATGGTGTTCAAGTGGTGCTCCAGTTGTTTTGGGATTGCACCCAGGAGCCTATGACTATTGGTACTACCCTTGCTTGCTTTTGCCACAGTCTTTCTATTTCTATTTGTAGGTCTTTGTATTTTGTGATCTTCTCCAGTTCTTTCTCGTCTATTCTGCTATCTCCAGGCACTGCCACGTCCACTATCCAGACTTTTTTGTCTTTCTTATCGACAAGTGTTAAGTCTGGGGTGTTATGTTGCAGGTGCTTTTCTGTTTGAATTCTGAAGTCCCAGAGCAGTTTAATTTTATCATTTTCTATGACTTTCTCTATTTTATGATCCCACGAGTTTTTGCTTACAGGCAAATGATATTTTTTGCAGATCTTCCAATGCACCATTGTTGCTACTTTGTCATGCCGCTGCTTGTAATCAGTCTGTGCAATCTTCTTGCAGCAGCTTACCAGGTGGTCCACTGTTTCTTCAGCTTCTTTGCATAGGCGGCACTTACTGTCTGTTGCTGTCTTCTTTATATGCATTTGTCCTTAAGGCTTGGTCTTGTGCAGATAGAATTAGTCCCTCGGTCTCTTTCTTCAATTTTCCTGCTATTATTATTATTATTATTATTATTATTATTATTATTATTATTATTATTATTTCCTGAGGCTAGAACATCTTTCACGAGAAAGAGAAAACGCGATGCTCCAAATCAGTACAAATAAACTAGACCGAAGAACAGGAGAACGGAAGGGATCTCGGAGGTCATCTAGTCCAACCCTCTGCTTGAGCAAGAGACCCTATACAGCAGGGCTCTTCAAGCTTCATCTTACACGAAAAAGAGGAAAATACGACGCTCAAAATCAGTACAGTAAGCTAGACACAGGAGTCATAACAGAATAACGGAGTCAGAAGGACCTTGGAGGTCTATTCTATTCTATTTCCTATTCTATTTTCTATTCCATTCTATTTTCTATTCTGTTCTGTTCCGTTCCGTTCCATTCCGTTCTATTCCGTTCTATTCTGTTCTATTCTATTCTATTCTATTGTTCTATTCCGTTCCATTTCGTTCCATTCCGTTCCATTCCATTCTATTCTATTCTATTTTCTATTCTATTCTATTCTATTCTATTCTATTCTATTCTATTCTATTCTATTCTATTCTATTCTGTTCTATTCTGTTCCATTCCGTTCCATTCCGTTCTATTCTATTCTATTCTATTCTATTCTATTCTATTCTATTCTATTCTATTCTATTCTATTCTATTCTATTCCGTTCCATTCCATTCCGTTCTATTCTGTTCTATTCTGTTCTATTCCTTATTTCTATTTATTCTATTCTGTTCTATTCTATTCTGTTCTATTCTATTCTATTCTATTCTATTCTACTCTACTCTGTTCTATTCTATTTATTCAGCTATCAAGTTGATCAAATACGTGTACAGCCCATCACACCTGCGTAAAGCCGTGTGGTTTACAAATAAATCTACAGAATCAATACCAAAGCTGTGTTTTTAGTAAACTGATACAACTGTTCAAGGCAGGAACCTCCCTAGAGGCTTCTCAGTTGTGTTGTGCGCACGGCAACCCCATCTGCCCAGTTCTCTGATCCGAAACCTGGGTTCAGAGGAATGCAGGGCACGCCACAACTGGCTCACCCGCTATCAAATTAACAATCTCTTCCGGCCCTCCATTGACTTCCCATCAATGACGCTTGTGCTGTTGCATCGAGAGGCAATTTGAAATGTGAATTCTGGTGTGGCGTATTGTGACAACTTTCTCTTGGGCAACAGGTTTTTATTGTGTGTGTGTGTGTGTGTGTGTGTTTCGCCCGTGGAGAAGAAGAAGGTGGCGGGATGGACTCAAAAGACTTGCATCCTTCAGCGGAAAAAGGGCCTGGCAAATCGTAACGGGCCTGGGTTCAGATAGACTGCCGCTGAGCATGGAGGGTCTGCGGCTAGTGGGCCTCAGGTACGGCAGGGGTGCCTCCTACGAACGTGGGGGAAATCTACAGGCCAGTCCTGCAGTTCCTCCAGCGGCGGGCTCAAGCCTCCAATGGCACTAAAAAAAAAGGGGGGGGGACTTGTGACTTGCGGTTCATGCTTAACGACCGTCGCAGCATCTCTGTGATCCAAAAAAAAAAAAAAAAAATTCAAGGGCTTGGCCGCTGGCTCCTATTTATGACTGCCGCAGTGTTCCCAGAGGTTCATGGGATCCCTTTTTGCAAGGAGAAGGAGAAGGAGGAGAAGAAGAGGAGAAGGAGAAAGAAGAGGAGGAGAAGGAGAAAGAGAAGGAGGAGAAGCAGAGGAGGAGGAGGATAAGAAGAAGGAAGAGGAGAAGAAGGCAGAGAAAGAAGGAGGAGAAAGAAGGAGGAGAAGCAGAGGAGGAAGAGGAGGAGGAGAGGAAGAGGAGGAGGAGGAGGAGAGAAGAAGGAGGAGGAGGACGAAGAGGAGGAGAAGAAGAGAAGGAGGAGGAGGAGGAGAAGGAGAAGGAGGAAGAGGAGGAGAAGAGAAGAAGGAGGAGAAGGAGAAGGAAAAGGAGGAAAAGAAGAGAAGGAGAAGGAAAAGAAGAAGAAGGAGGAGGAGAAAGAGGAGAAGGAGAAGGAGGAGAAGCAGAGGAGGACAAGAAGGAGGAGGAGGAGAAGAGGAGGAGAAGCAGAGGAGGAGAAGGAGGAGGAGGAGGAGAAGAGAAGGAGGAGGAGGAGAAGAAGGAGAAGGAGGAAAAGGAGGAGGAGGAGAAGAGAAGAAGGAGGAGAAGAAGGAGAAGGAGGAAAAGGAGGAGGAGGAGAAGAGAAGAAGGAGGAGGAGAAGAAGGAGAAGGAGGAAAAGGAGGAAAAGAAGAGAAGGAGGAGGAGGAGA